TCCCCCTCCCATGTGTTCTCTCTCTCCTACCTCTTTTCCCCTCCCCACCCCCGTGTGTGTGTGTGTGTGTGTGTGTGTGTGTGTGTGTATGAGAGAGAGAGAGAGAGAGAGAGAGAGAGTATATGTTTGGGCCACATCTGCACATCTGGCAGTGCTCAAGGTTTACTCTTGGCTCAGTGCTCAGGGATTGCTCCTGGGAGACGCTCCAGGAACCCTATGTACCGCCGTGGGGATCAAATGAGAGCAGGACAATCCAAAAGGCACATGAAAAAATGCTCCACATCGCTAGCCATCAGGGAGATACAAATCAAAACAACAATGAGTTATCATGTCACACCACAGAGACTGGCCGACATTCAAAAAGAACAGAAGCAACCAGTGCTGGCGTGGATGTGGGGAAAAAGGGACGTTCTTTCGCTGTTGGTGGGAAGGCCTACTAGTCCAGCCTTTCTGGGAAACAATATGGACAGTGGACAGTTCTTCAAAAACTAGAAACTGGGGCCGGAGTGATAGCAGAACGGATAGAGCGTTTGCCTTGCACGCGGCTGGCCTGGGTTTGATCCCCGGCATCCCATATAGTCCCCCAAGCACTGCTAGGAGTAATTCCTGAGTGCAGAGCCAGGAATAACACCTGAGCATCGCTGGGTGTGACCCAAAAAGAAAAAAAAAACTAGAAACTGAGGTTCCATATGACCCTGCAATACCACTTCTGGGAATATATCTCAAGGATGCAAGAAAGCACAGTAGAAATGACATCTGGACCTATATGTTCATTGCAGCACTGTTCACAATAGCCCAAATCTGGAAACAAACCAAGTGCCCTAGAACAGATGACTGGTTAAAAAAAAAAAAACCTTTGGTACATCTATGCAGTGGAATACTATGCAGCTGTTAGCAAAGATGAAGTCATGAACTTTGCTTATAAATGGATAGCCACGGAGAGTATCATGCTAAGTGAAACGAGTCAGAAAGAGAGGGACAGACATAGAAGGACTGCACTCATTTGTGGAGTACAAAACAACACATGTTTATACAACATGAGGCTGACATCTAAAGATAGTAGATACACGGGACAGGAGGATTGCTCCATAGCTGGAAGCCTGCTTCATGAGCAAAGGGGAAAAGGCAGCTGGAATAGAGAAGGGATCACTAAGAAAACTAATCACTAAATCAATCACTAAACTAATCACTAAAATGGCTCGAGGAACTGGTTGGGATGGGAGATCTGTGTTGAAAGTAGATCAAGGACCAAACATGATAACCTCTCAGTGTCTGTATTGCAAACCATAATGCCCAAAGGTAGAGAGAGAGTCTGGAGGAGACTGTCTGCCATGGAGGCAGGGGGAGGGTGGGAAAGGGGGGGTATCCCGGGGATATTGGTGGTGGGGAATGCGCACTGGTGGAGGGATGGTGTTTGATCATTGTGTGATTGTAACCCAAACATGAAAGCTTATAAGTATTTCATAGTGATTCAATAAAATTTTTTTAAAAAAATGAAAAAAATGAGAGTAGGCCTCCAGCAAATGCCTGAACTCCTGTATTATTTATACAGGACCATTTGCTTTTTTGTTCGTTTGGTTTGGTTTTGGGACCACACCCGCTGATGCCCAGGGGTTCCTCCTGGCTCCACACTCAGGAATCACTCCTGGCAGGGCTCAGTGGACCCTATGGGATGCTGGGATCGAACCCGGGTCAGCTGCGTACAAGGCAAGGGACCTAACCTCCATGTTATGCTCCAGTTCTAGGACTGTTTCTGGTTTTTATTTATTTGTTTGTTTTGCCTCTGTACACCTGGTGATCTGGGGAGGGAGGGGTTACTTCTGGCTCTGTGCTCAGTGGTGCTCCCCGGGACCCTGGCTATGAGGAACCCAGCTAAGAGCGACTTCCTACATATTCCAGTGACTAAGCCGCCACTCCTGGCCCCTAAGTTCCTATATTGATTTTTCTTCTCCACAAGCGATGAAAGATTCTCAGGTTTGGCCAATTCCTTCTTTAACCAAAGCTAGCCCCAAGTCTTGATATTGTGTGTTGTGTGTGTGTGTGTGTGTGTGTGTGTGTGTGTGTGTGTAAAAGATTCTCAGGTGTGGCCTATTCCTGCTTTAACCAAGGCTAGACGCAAGTCTTGATGTGTGTGTGTGTGTGTGTGTGTGTGTGTGTGTGTGTGTGTGTTTGGGACACAAATGGGAAATGCTCAGGGCTTCCTCCTGGCTCTGCACTCACGAATCCCTCCTGGATATGCTTGGGGATTATATGGGATGTCGGGAACTGAACCAGGTAGGGAGCTCACACAAGTCACGCTGTCCTATCTCTGCGACCTCAAATCATTTATTTTTTTTTTAATTTAATTTTTTGCTTTTTGGGTTCCTCCTGGCTCTGCACTCAGGAATTACTTCTGGCGGTGCTCAAGGGACCATATTGGGATGCTGGGAATCGAACCTGGGTCGGCCACATGCAAGGCAAACGGCCTACCTGCTGTGCTATTGCTCTGGCCCCACAACCTCAACTCTAGATGTCTTGAGGGTAGCCGTGAAGTGTGAGTAGTTACAAATGCCTTCCTGTGTTTGCTCTCCTTTTTGTTTTTTGTTTTGCTTTTTAGTTCCTGAGGGGTGTGAGCTCAGGAGCAAATGTGATCTCCAAGGAAGCCAGGGAGGGGACCAGCATGCAAAACCCCACCCTAACCCCTGAGCTACCCCTCCAGCCTTTTCCTCTGCCTCTGGTTCATGGTTAAGGACAAACCCAGTTGGTAGCACTGCACCCAGTTTTTCATCGATTTGCTCGAGCGGGCACCAGTAACGTCTCCATTGCAAGACTTGTTGTAACTGTTTTTGGCATATCTCACCCAGCTGGTATAAGCAACTGTTCACTGTCACTGTCCTCCCACTGTTCATCGATTTGCTAGAGCGGGCCCAGTAACGTCTCCATTGTGAGACTTGTTGTTCCTGTGTTTGGCATATCGAATATGCCACGGGTAGCTTGCCAGGCTCCCCGAGAGGGGTGGAGAAATCGAACCTGGGTCGGCCAGGTCGGCCACATGCAAGGCAAACGCCCTACCTGCTGCGCTATAGCTCCAGCCCAGAAGCAACTATTCTATTTTTTTTCTTTTTTGGGGTCACACCTGGCGATGCACGGGGCTGACTCCTGGCTCTGCACTCAGGAATCACTCCTGGCAGTGCTCGGGGGACCCTATGGGATGCCGGGGATTGAACCTGGGTCGGCCACGTGCCAGGCAAACATCCTCCCTGTTGTGCAATCCCGCTGGCCCATGATAAATACTCTAAAACAGACCTACTGGGAACGAACATCCAGGGTTTAACAGGAAACCAAGGCCAGCTCAGGAGGACGTGGGTGGTCAAGAGATTTGAATCCTTTTCTGGAAGGTCGAGAGTCACATTTTCAGGTAGATCAACCTGGCCCTTGCTCCCGGCAACGGGGCTGGGTGATGGGTGACCATCCTTAGTCTTTAGAGCCGGGACAGACTGGCCTGTGTGGGCTGCCACCATTGCCTTTCTCCTTCCCTCTCACCCACCTTCACCCGAATTTCACCTACACCTTGGCCTTGTACGCAAGTAAGTACTCTCTGTCCTAAATCTCTTGGTATCATCTCTTCTCATTTTGTTTTTGGGCCACACCTGGCGGTGCTCAGGGGTCACTCCTGTTGGGATTCAGGGGACCATACTGGGTCAGCCACATGCAAGGCCAGCGCCTGACCGGCTGGATTACCTCTCCAGCCCCTTGAAGCAGTCTTTAATTCCCCTCTGGTTTAAATCTGTTTGTTTGTTTGTTTGTTTTTGCTTTTTGGGTCACACCCAGCGATGTACAGGGGTTACTCCTGGCTCATGCACTCAGGAATCACTTCTGGCTCAGGGGACCATGTGGGATGCTGGGAATCGAACCCAGGTCGACTGTGTGCAAGGCAAATGCTCTACCCGCCGTGCTATCGCTCCAGCCCCTTTAATTAAAAAAAAAAAATCTTTTGGATTTTAGGCCACACCTGGCAATGCTCAGGGGTTTACTCCTGGCTCTGCACTCAGGAATTACTCCCGGTGGGGCTCAGGGGACCCTATGGGATGCTGGGGATGGAACCCAGGTCAAACCCAGGCCAAACGCTTGCAAGAAAAAAAAGCCCTCCCCACTGTACTTTCACTCCGGCCCCCCACCCCTCTATTTTTTTTTAATTAAAAAAATGTTTTTTTCTAAATTTTGGGCCACACCCGGCGAGGCTGGGATTAATCCTGGCTCTGCTGTCAGGAATCACTCCTGGAGCTCAGGCGGGCCTCTGGGATGCTGGGGACGGAACCCGTGTCGGCCACGTGCAAGGCAAGCGCCTTACCTTCGGTCCTATGCTCCGGCCCCCATGTCCCCCTTCGGGGGCTGCGAGGTGTCCTTTCAAATTACTTAACTGCCCGTTTGTGCCACACGCCTCTGCTAGGGCCTGGCTCGCACCAGTCCAACCTGCCCCGACCCCTGGCGTGGGACTCGCGGGCGGCGCTCCCGGCTGCCCAGCCGCCGGCCCCGCACACGATGACACGAGCCCAGAGTGGACAGTGGACGCCGGTGGCGGCCCCTGGGGTCGCGATCGCGGCGAGCGCTCCGCGGCCCGGGAAGGCGCGCGCCCGGCAGTGGGCGGGGCTCCCACCAGTAGGGGCGGAGCGTCCACCAATGGGCGGCGCGTCCTGCGTGTGGGCGGGGCCCCGGCGCACCAATGAGAGGCCGAGCCGGGGCGAGCCGCGCGGCTCCGGCCCCGGGAAGGCGCGCGCCCGACAGTGGGCGGGGCGTCCTTGGCGGAGGGGGCGGAGCGTCCACCAATAGGGGCGGCGCGGCCGGCGTGTGGGCGGGGCCCGAGGCGCCCGGTGCACCAATGAGAGGCCGAGCTGGCGCCAGCCGTGCGCGTGACGCTGCGTAGCGGGCCGCGGGGCTGGGGGCGGAGGGGCCGGCCCGGCGGCCGCTTTATCTTCGGCCGCGGCTGGGTCGGCCACCGGCTTTGCACCCCGCGACAGCCGCCCGGAGCCCCCGAGCGTGCTCCGTCGCTGCCCCCCGGACGGCTGCCCGCCTCTGCTTCCTCGCTGAGGTCCCCGCCGCCCCCAGGTAACGCACCGGCTCCCGGACCCCCACCCCAATCTCCTGCTCAGGGCCACCCCCCAACGTCCAGCTGAGGGGGGTGGCCGGCCTTGGGCCCGAGGGGCCGAGGACGCGGCCCGGGAGTCGGGAGAGACCCCGCGATCGTGGGTGGGGATTTGCAGGGGGGGCTGGGGGAGGGTTGCAAAGTTCCCGTGAAGATCGGTGGCTCCCCCCAGGCCCCCCTCCTCCCAAATCCGGTGGCCTCTGTCTTAAGATTCAAGAAGTTGTGAATGAGGAGACATTTATTCCTTTAAAAAAATTTGGAATTAAATTGAAAAAAGCGACGCGAGGCGGGAGCAGGGCATGCATGCACGCCGGGACCCCGCGTGCGGGCTTTGCAGCGGGACCTGCGGGAAGGGGGGTCGCGTCGGGTGCCACATCCTGTGGCCTCTTCTCTCCGATGCAGGACAGCGTGCCAGCCACCGGGGTTAAGTTCTTTGCCAGTCTGGGCACGGGCTCGGGACTTCGCTCGCCGCCGTTATTTTCTAGAGAGGTGGTTGAGTTTTGGTTTTTTTTTCCCCCCCACTATTTAAAGTGCCTCTATGCAAGCCCCTTGCAAGGCTTGCACCCAGAGGTGCCCAGGGGGGACGGGGCTGCGCCCCGGATTAAGCTCCCCCCTCCCCTCCTGTCTCTCGGCCCACCCCGGGAGCCGCTTTGCGCGTGCTCTGGGCTGCAGGGTGGGTACCAGGCGCTTTCCAGGGTTATCATGTGAGCGAGCACGTGGCAGGGGCATCAGGGCTGAGAAAGCGCCAAGATCTCCCCATCCCTTGGGACACAGTCCGAACAGAGGTCAGGGCCAGCTGCTGACTCCCCCTGCCCCCCTCCCTGCTGTCTGGTCCCCCGAGGCATCCGGGTTTTCTCCTCCCCTCCCCCTCTCCCCGTTGCTAGCTCCTGATCTCCAAGAAGGGGGAGTTTCTGCAGCTGGAAGGGACACACACACACCCAAGATGCCTCAAGTGTCCGCCTCGGTGCTGGGTGCTGCCAGCCTCCCGCCCTCTGTGCATCTCGGGGTGATGAGTTAAGTTCATCACACGCTTTTTCTTGAAGGCGGGCCAGCCTGTCCTAGTAATCCTAGTAATCTCTTTTTTTTTTTTTTTGCTTTTTGGGTCACACCCAGCGATGCACAGGGGTTACTCCTGATTCATGCACTCAGGAATTACTCCTGGCTGTGCTGGGGGACCATATGGGATGCTGGGAATTAATTAAACCTGGGTAAGCTGCATGCAAGGCAAACGCCCTACTGTGCTATCACTCCAGCCCCAGTAATCTCTTTTTTGGGGTTTGTTTTTGGATCAGTGCACAGAGCTTTACTCTTTTTTTTTTTTTTTTTTTTTGCTTTTTGGGGCACAGCCAGCAATGCACAGGGGTTATTCGCGGCTCTACACTCAGGAATTACTCAATTACTCCCGGCGGTGCTCGGGGGTACTCTATGGGATGCTGGGAATCTTAACCTGAGTCAGCCGCGTGCCAGGCAAATGCCCTCCCCGCTGTACTATCGCTCCAACCCCCAGAGCGGTTCTCTTGGTTCTGCCCTCAGGGTTCAGGGGACCCTATGGGGTGTCGGGAATCAAACCTGGGTCAGCTGCATGCAAGGCTGACACCCGACTTGCTGTCCACTCCCGGCCCTATCCGATGACCCATCTGAGTGGGAAATATATAGAGAGGAGGGATTGTTTGCTTGAGAGTGTTTGGAGGTGGGGTAGGGACCAATTAACAGAGCTCTGTAAAATTCCTTTTCTTGACGAAATTTGCTTTTGGAATTTATGACTTAGGAGATAACGGATGATGAGATCACACAGATGTGAGCACTTTTACTGTTTGGTTTTGTGTGTGGTGGAATGGAAGAAAAAAGTGGTTTTGGTTTGGGGGCCACACCCTGTTGTGTTCAAGGAGCCAATTCCTTTAGCTAAATGACCAAATGAGGGGCTAGAGTGATAGCACAGCGGGTAGGGTGTTAGCCTTGCAGGCAGCCGACCCGGGTTCGATTCCCAACATCGCATATGGTCCCCTGAGCACCACCAAAAGTAATTCCTGAGTGCAGAGCCAGGAATAACTCCTGTGCATTGCCGGGTGTGACCCCCACCCCCAAATAAATAAATAAATGACCTCATGAGCTCTTTTATAGATGGTCATTATATTTATTATTATTATTATTATTATTACTATTATTGGGGTGGAGCGATAGCACAGTGGTAGGGTGTTTGCCTTGCACGCAGCTGGCCCGGCCGAACCAGGTTCGATTCCTCCGCCCCTCTCGGAGAGCCCGGCAAGTTACCGAGAGAATCTCGCCTTCACGGCAAAGCCTGGCAAGCTCCCCGTGACGCACTCGATATGCCAAACACAGTAACAAGTCTCACGATGGAGATGTTACTGGGCCCTTTTGAGCAAATCAATGAATAACGGGACCATAATTATTATTATTATTATTGGTGGGCTGGAGTGATAATACAGTGGGTAGGGCGTTTGCCTTGCATGCGGCCGACCCGGGTTTGATTCTTCTGCCCCTCTTAGAGAGCCCGGCAAGCTACCGAGAGTATCTCGCCCACACGGGAGAGCCTGGCAAGCTCCTCGTGGCGTATTTGGGATGCCAAACACAGTCACAACAAGTCTCACAATGGAGACGTTACTGGACCCGCTCGAGCAAGTCAATGAACAGTGGGAGGACAGTGCTACAGTGCTATTATTATTGGTATTTGGTTGGGGAGGCTCATACCTGGTGGTACTCAAGGCTTACTTCTGGTTCTATGCTGGGGTACCATATGGGATGCTGGGCATTGAACCGGGATCTGTTGTATGCAGGGCACTGCCCGATGAACGATTGCTCCAGCCCTCTTTTCTTTCTTTCTCTCTCTCTCTCTTTCTTCCTTCCTTCCTTCCTTCCTTCCTTCCTTCCTTCCTTCCTTCCTTTCTTTCTTTCTTTTTGGGTCACATGGGGTGATGCTCAGGAGTTACTCCTGGTTCTGTGCTCAGGGATCACTCCTGGCGGTGCTTGGGGGACACTATGGGATGCCGGGATCGAACCCAGGTCTGCCGCCTGCAGGCAAACGCCCTCCCAACTGTGTTATCTGTATTATTGCTCCAAGCCTCTGATCTTTTTATCCCCTATCCTTCCCTTTTTATTGCTCCCTGTGATCTCCATGCGGGCTGCATGCAGGCCGTGGTGCTGGGGGTTGAACTCAGAGCTTTAATTAAGCTTTCCAGGGTGGTACCAGGAACGAGGCACTGGGAACCTCCCTCCACTTCAAGCTCTCCTCTGTTCCTGAGAATTTTGTAGGACTATGCCCGGTGAGGCTGTTGGGGAGTGGGGGAGCCTTTGGGGGAGCCCCTGATGTTTCCGATGACGTATTGATCAGTCCTTCCTTCCCCCTCTGAGCTCAGAGCAGTGCCACTGTTGAAATGGATTAGGCTGTTAATGTCGATTTTTTTTTTTCCTTTGAGGGTTGAGATCTGGGCTGCGCCCCTCCCAGTGGTGCTCAGGGCTGACTCCTGACTCTGCTCAGGACCACTCCTGGCGGGGCTCTGGGCACCCTATGGGATAGCGGGGATCAAACTCAGGTCGGTCATGTGCAAGGCAAATGCCCTCCCCGCTGTGCTATCGTTCTAGCCTCTATATTCTCTCTAGTTTGCTTTTGGTCACCTTGGTGGAATTGTTCACACTTGTCACATTTGTGACATTGGGCCAGTGTCTGTCACCTTTTCCCAGTCTCCCGCATCTTTCTGAATGCAAGACTGGGTCTCCAACATGTCCCACAGTCACGGATGAGTGTTCCTCTCCCCTCCCAACCCCCACTTCCGCCCCTGCACCCAGGGCCTTGGAGCTCCTGGTCTTGTGACCCCTCCTTTCACTTCCTCAGCTCGTTGGGTGTCCCTCTCCGATTTAGCTCTTTATCCTTCCTGAAAGTGAGCTGTACAAGTGGTGAAGGAACGCTGAGTCTCGGGTGTCCCCAAGTTGTGAAATACCATGTGTCTCACTCCACAAGCCCCGCCCCACTCCTTTTTTGGGGGTGGTATCGGGGAAATGACTTCACTGCCAGTAAAAGAGACGCTTTGTCTCTTCCACGGGGGGGTAGGGTCATGACTGAATGAGTCGCAGCCAGTGCCCAGTGACTGAGCTGGACTCTTGGTGTCCTTCCTGAGCCCAGACCTTCCCCGGCCTGTCTTGGCCATGGTCCCATCTTACTGGACTTCTGCCATGTGGGATAGCCCAGCCCTCCACAGGGAAAGCGAGGCTTGAAAGTCAACTCTGTTCCAGTCACTTCACTGGCCCACTTCACTGACCCTTCCTGGCCCTCTGTCCTCGGTGTCTGTGACGATTCTTGCTACTCATTCATTCATTCAACTATTCTATCACCCATCTGTTCACTCAACCAATCATCCATTCATTCAACCATCTGTCTATCCATCCATCTACCATTCATCCCTCCATCCACTCATTCAACCATCCACCCATCCATCCATCTACTCATTCAACTATCCATCCATCCACTCATTCAACCATCCACCCATCCATCCATCCACTCATTCAACTATCCGTCCATCCACTCATTCAACCATCCACCCATCCATCTATCCACTCATTCAACCATCCACTCATCCATTCATCCCTCCATCCACTCATTCAGCCATCCACCCATCCACCCATCCATCCATCTACTCATTCAACCATCCACCCATCCATCCACCCACTCATTCAACTATCCGTCCATCCACTCATTCAACCATCCATCCATCCATCCATCCATCCACTCATTCAACCATCCACCCATCCATCCATCCATCCATCCATCCATCCACTCATTCAACCATCCACCAATACATCCATTCCTCCATCCACTCATTCAACCATCCACCTATCCATCCATCCATCCACTCATTCAACTATCCCTCCATCCACTCATTCAACCATCCACCATCCACCCATCCACTTATTCAACTACCCATCTATCCTCTCATTCAACCATCACCCATCCATCCATCCACTTATTCAATCATCCATCCATCCATTCATTCAGCATCTACTCATTCAACTATCCATCCACCCATTCATTCAACCATCCATTCATTCATCCATCCATCCATCCATACATACACACATCTACTCATCCAACCATCAGTCCAGTCATTTAACCTACCAAACATCTCAACCCTCCATCCAGTCATCCATCCATTCCTTTAACCAACCATCCACCCATTCGTCTACTCATTCAACCATCAATTTAGTCATTCAATCAACCATCCATCCATCCATCCATCCATCCATCCATCCATCCATCCATCCATCAATCCATTTAACCAGCCACCCAGCCAGCCGTCCAGCAAATGCATCCTAAATGCAGAATGTATTGGAGGCACAGGTTTAAGTAACGCCGATGGGCTGGAGCTCTGATACAGCAGGTAGGGCGCTCACCTTGCCTTGTGGCCAGAGTGAGAAGGGGTCAGGGGCCAGCAGAGTGGACATTGCACTGGGTGCGGGAGATTGAGAATCCAGGCTGGCCCATCAACTGCCCTGAGGGAGGGTCCCAGGACTGGCCTAAGGGGCCCCATTCACCGATCACCTCAGCCACGTCCGTGCAAGCTGGTCCTGGGAAGGCCTCTGGGGACGCGTCTGGATGTGTTGGGGAGACTCACAGAACTCGGGGGATTGGCATCGGGGTGCGGGGATTGAGGGCATTCCTGAGCTTCATGGGGAATTTGGGGTCAGTGCTGTGACTGGGATGGGGGCAAGTGGGGGCATAGAGGCCAACTTGGAGCAGACCGGAAGCCGTGAAAGGTGGGGGAGGGACAAGCGTCACTTCCTCAGGGAATGGGGTGCAGGAGGGGTGTCCAGGGGCAGTGGCCTGGGGCAGGAGTACGAGCAGCTCATTCACCCCTGAGCAACACTGATGTGCCCTTCCCTGGACAAAATGTTTAAAGAAAAATGGGACTGTGGCCAGAGCCATAGCACAGTGGGGAGGGCGTTGGCCGGCATGAGGCCAACCCGGGTTCGATCCCCGGCATCATCCCATAGGGTCCCCCGAGCACTGCCAGGAGTAATTCCTGAGTGCATGAGCCAGGAGTCAGCCCTGAGCATCACCAGGTGTGACCCAAAAAGCAAAATGAAAAGAACCCTTGCTTGGGGTCAGAGTGATAGCACAGTGGGGAGGGTGTTTGCCTTGCACGTGGCTGACTCGGGTTCGATCCCCGGCTTCCATAAGGTCCCCCGAGCACCACCGGAAGTGATCCCTGAGTGCAAAGCCAGGAGTCAGCCCTGAGCATCACCGGGTGTGGTCCCCAAATAAGAATAAGAAAAGGGGGGCTGTATGATAGACAGGGGTGTAGAAAGTGGTCGTGTAGGGAGGATCCCACCGGTTGGTGTCTCGGGGCTACTCCTGGTGGCACCAGGGGTCAAACCGGAAGCTCCTGCATGCAGAGCGTGACCCCCAAGCCCCGTGGCCTGGCTCTCTGGCCAAAGGTGCCTTGCTCGTGTTCTGCTCCCCCCTTTCCTGTCGCACCCCTGAGCTGCTTCTCTCCTTGCAGCATGAGCCAGGAGGACATGTCGCTCCGGAAGCGCCCGGCCCGGCCCGGGGAGGGTCCCGAAGACGCCGCAGACCCCAAGGTCCCCAGCAAGGATGCCCAGGGGACGCCCGAAAACGGTGAGGCTTTCTGCAAAGCAAGTTGGGGACCCCGGGGCCCGGCGTGCCCTTCTGTCACAGGTGGCCATGCTGGCTCCTGGGGGATGGGCAGGGGCAGAGGACAGCCCAGGACACCAGCCCCTGTGCCTTGTGTGTCCCTGGGACCCTGGCGGAAATGGCTGCTGACTCAGGGCGGGTGGGGGTGAGCGCTCCCCGGGGCACTGGTGGCTGAAGGGGACACATGACAGGATGGACAAGGCACGAAGCTTTAGGACGCAGGAATAAACTCTTGTTAACTCCGGAAAGATGCTCTGGCTTACATATGTGTGTATTTTGTCATGCCCGGTGATGCTCAGGGCTAACTCCTGGCTCTGCACTCAGGAATCACTCCTGGCGGGTGCTCAGGGCACCCTGTGGGATGCTGGGGATCGAACCCGGATCAGCCGCGTGCCAGGCCAATGCCCTCCCCGCTGTGCTATCGCTCCAGCCCCAAGCAAGGGTTCTTTTTATTTTGCTTTTTGGGTCACACCTGGTGATGCTTGGGGCTGACTCCTGGCTCATGCACTCAGGAATTACTCCTGGTGGTGCTCGAGGGACCCTATGGATGCCAGCGATCGAACCCGGGTTGGCTGCATACAAGGCAAACGCCCTCCCCACTGTGCTATCACTCCAACTCCATGGATATATATTTTTTGGTGGTTGTTTGGTCCACACTTAGCAGTGCTCAGGGCTGACTCCCAGCTCTGTGCTCAGAAATCACTCCTGGCGGGGCTCAGGGGACCTTATGGGATGCCGGGGATCGAACCTGGGTCAGCCACATGCCAGGCAAGTGCCCTCCTTGCTGTCTCGTCTTTCTGGGGTTTAGGCCACACCACCCCCTGGCCCCCCAGTATTTATGAATGCCCTGCTTGGGGCTGGGTTCCACAGTTGTGATTGTGACATGATATTTACCCTCTTGGGGCTTAAGTGAGCCTCCCCCGATGAATATAAGAATATTATCACAGATGGGGCCTGGAGCGATAGCACAGCGGGGAGGGCGCTGGCCTGGCACGCCGCCGACCCGGGTTCGATCCCCGGCATCCCACAGGGTCCCCCGAGCACCGCCAGGAGTGATTCCTGAGTGCAGAGCCAAGGGTCAGCTCTGAGCATCGCCGGGTGTGACCCATAAAGCAAAGAAAATTAAAAAAAAATACTTATATGTATTATTTGCATATGTGTTATTGATACATATTATTGTATATATTGCATATATAATCACAGATACTGTAGGTGAGCTCTGAAGGAATGGCAGGAAAAAGATGCTGATCATTTGTAGATAGTTTGAATTCCCTCAGTCTGTGTTGGGAGCCATGAACGTGAGGGACTTTTAGGGGTTTTTCTTTTTTTTGCTTTTTGGGTCCCACCTGGCGGTGCTCAGGGCTGACTCCTGGCTCTGCACTCAGGAATCACTCCTGGTGGTGCTCAGGGGACCCTATGGCATACTGGGAATCGAACCCGGGTTGGCCGCGTGCAAGGCAAATGCCCTACCCACTGTGCTATTGCTCCAGCCCCATGGGGTTTTTTATTTTCTCATGTCCCTTTGGGCTTGGAGCCGGTGCCCCCACAGGCCAAGTGGCCACTCCCCGGCTCTGTCCTGTGCCCGCCCCTCGCCCAGGTGGCTGCCCACAGGAACCCCTGGAGACAAGGTCTGCGTGGGGCTTTGAGAAACCAACCATCTTATCTGTTGCATCTGGCGTTTCTTCTGCAATGACATGTGTGTGGGCTTGATTGCGGCACCCCAGGTCTGGGGCACAGACGGGGGTGAAGCGCCCGGGGACACTTGGCTGTGGGTGTCCCAAGGCTTCCGCCGGGCAGAAACAGTTCTTTGGCCTTTTCCTACCGAAATTTTCACTAGAGATAACAGCAGCTGGGCTCCGGCCGAGCCTGTCTTGCGTCTATGATTCCCCCTCGAGAGTCCCTGAATTCTGCAGGAAAATAAAAACAAAGGGTCTGGCCAGAAATCATAAATGCCACCGCTGAAGTTTGGCAGGGGGGATGGGGGAATGCCAGTACAAAGGGGAGGGTGCTTGCTTTGTGCAGAGCTGAACTGGGTCCAGTACCTCACGCGACGGTCCCCAGAGCACACAGCCAGGAGTAAGCCCTGAGCACAGTCAGCTGTGGGCCACGAATCCAAACGCATGGAAAGTTCTTTATATTAAGGAAATCTGTCCTTTGAGTGGGCTGAAGTGATAGCACAGCGGTAGGGCATTTGCCTTGCACGCAGCCAACCTGGCTGACCCGAGTTCGATTCCTCTGCCTCTGTCAGGGAGCTCGGCAAGCTACCGAGAGTATCTCCCCCGCACAGCAAAGCCTGGCAAGCTCCCCGTGACGTATTCAATATGCCAGACACAGTAACAACAAATCTCACAATGGAGATGTTACTGGGCCCGCTCAAGCAAATTGATGAACAACGGGAGGACAGTGACAGTCCTTTGAGTATCATAATTACACACACACACACACAATTTGTGTCTGCATATGTTTGGTGGGGGGGGTGTCACACACCAGGTCATTTTCAGGGGTCACTCTTGGCTCTGCATGCAGTAATTATTCTTTTTTTTTTTTGCTTTTTTTGCATTTTGGGTCACAACCGGCGATGCTCAGGGGTTCCTCCTGGCTCTGCACTCAGGAATCGCTCCTGGCGGTGCTCGCGGGGATGCTGGGAATCGAACCCGGGTCAGCCACGTGCAAGGCAAACACCCTACCGACTGTGCTATCTCTCCAGCCTCTAAGCATGATAATATTTTTAAAATTAAATTTATTTGGGGAGGGGGTTCGTGGGTTCTTTATTTTTTTTTCTTTTTGGGTCACACCGGGTGATGCACAGGGATTGCTCCTGGCTCTGCACTCAGGAGTTACTCCTGGCGGTGCTCGGGGACCCTGTGGGATGCTGGGAATTGAACCTGGGTTGGCTGCGTGCAAGGCAAACGCCCTCCCTGATATGCTGCAGCCCCAGGAATAATTTTTTTCCCTGGAAATTACTTTTATTGGGGTTTGAGGGAGGGACCCTATGGGATGCCAGGGATTGAACCCAGGTCGGCCGAGTGCAAGGCAAATGCCCTCCCCGCTGGACTATCTCTCCAGCTCCTGCTTGTGAATATTTTGAACTCTGTTCTATTTTTTCACTTTGCTCCTGTGAGGCTTGGCCTGTTTCTCTTTCCACTCCCCTCAAACTGTGTTTGTTTGTTTTTTGGGGGGGCCACACCCAGTGTGCTCCAGCTGCTGCCAGCTCAGGGCTCACAGGAGGGCCTCTTGGGCGCCAGGAATGGAATCCTGGCCTGCCACGGTGCAAAGCAAGCGCCCTACCCACTGTACTACCTCTCCGGCCCCCAAAGGAATTTTTTTTTTCTTTCTTTCTTTTTGGGTCACACCTGGGGTTCCTCCTGGCTCTGCACTCAGGAATCACTCCTGGCGGTGCTCGGGGGATGCTATGGGATGCTGGGAATCGAACCCGGGTTGAACGCCCTACCCGCTGTACTAGCGCTCCCGCCCCAAGGAATGTTCTTCATCTCCTCTGGGCTTGGAGGTGACTATCATGTTTGGGGGAGGGGCAGGCTGCAGTGAAAATAAGCTTCGAGAGGGCTTCCCCCCAAAATCATTAATTAGGTTTATTTTATTTTTTTTTTTTATTTTACTGACTCTCCCGTGAGAGCAAAGCTACTCATGACTGGGTTTCAGTCATACAGTGTTCCAACACCCGTCCCTCCACCAGTGCTAATTTTTTTTTTTTTGCTTTTTTGGCCATACTGGGTGATGCTTAGGGGTTCCTGCTGGCTCTGCACTCAGGAATCACCCCTGGCAGTACTCAGGGGACCATATGGGATGCTGGGAATCGAACCCGGGTCGGCTGCATGCAAGGCAAACGCCCTCCCCGCTGTGCTATCACTCCAACCCCACCAGTGTTAATTTTTAAGCACTAGTGAACCCAGTGTCCCTCCCCCCGCCCCCAAACCACCCCCATCCCCTCCTGCCTCTTTGGCAAGTACTTCTCTCTCTCTCTCTCTCTCTCTCTCTCTCTCTCTCTCTCCCCCTCTCCCTCTCTCTCTCATTCCCTCTCTCTCTCTCTCTTTCTCATTTTAAGCGTTATGGATTGCAATACAGATGCTGAAAGGTTATGTCTGTAACTCTACCTCCTTTCAACACTCAGTTCTTGTCCAGAGTGACCCCTCCCTACTGGACTCTCCTCTTTCTTAACCACCCTCCACATACACACACACACACACACACACACACATACACACACACACACACCCTCAAAGCCAAGGGAAAGCTGGCCAGGAGGACTGGTCAATGGTTGGAAACCAATTAGGTTTTAAAATGAGCTGCTGTAGGCAGTGAGACCGGGACTTCTGGCCGACGCAGCTGCCGGGACCAATTCTGTACTTAGCACAAAGAGACAAAGAAAAGGTTTGTTAGGAGAGAACCGAAACTGGGAAACTGGAGGCCTGGCGATTATTCGTCATGGACGCTTCTTACTCCTCAGCCTGGCACTCTGGGGGGGCCTTGGGGACAGACTTCCAATGCCACAGTCCCATACCCGCCAGCCCAAGGGCCCCTGGGAGATTTTTTTTCCCCCTCCCTTCTTGTGGCTCTGAGCTGGATGTCCAGTTTCACTGTGTCTCCGCTGCTGGGCAGTTTGGAGAGAGACATCCCCACGCCTGGCTTCTTGCAGGATAATCCTGATGGTCTGCGATAACGCAGTTCCCTCAGGCTGAGGTCTGGTAAGCTTCTGAGGATAAAAGTTAAGGCATTCGAAGGCCAAGAACACAGGAGAGCAAGGCCAAGAACACAGGAGAGTGTTCGTTGATAACACGCAGATTTTAAGATTATCTGGTAAGGGGCTGGCAGGGTACTGCAGTGGGGAGGGCGCTTGCCTTGCATGCTGCCGGCCCGGGTTCGATCCCCAGCATCCCAGAGGATCCCTGAGTGCAGAGCCAGAAGTGAGTCCTGAGCACCACCAGATGTCGACCCCCTCAACAATTAAAAAAAAAAAAAGAGGGGGCTGGAGTGAGAGCACAGTGGGGAGGGCGCTGGCCTTGCACGTGGCCGACCTGGGTTCGATTCCCAGCATCCCATAGGGTCCCCCGAGCACCGCCAGGAGTAATTCCTGAGTGCAGAGCCAGGAGGAACCCCTGGGCATCGCTGGGTGTGACCCCGAAAGCCAAAAATAAATAATAAAAAATAAAATAAAAAAGGATAAAATATAAAGTAATTTTGAACATCATTTGGAGTCATCAAGGTCAGGAGGAGGAACTGAACCTGCCCCTTGGTGTTTTTCTTGCACTTTTTTTTAGACTTGACCAACATTTGGAACCCAGCCCTCAGGCTCTCTGGCCGGCTCACAGTTCTCTGAGCTGGCCTTGAGGATTGGCGTCTTGCAAAACTTCTGGAACGTTCTCACCCATGTTCAATTCCACGTGCCCCCGCCCTCCCCCTCCCCACCCAGGTCCTTCCTGATGACTCCATGCATTGGGACTTTTTTTTTTTTGGTTCTCTTTTTTGTGTCTTATTGCAGAGACACAGAATATCTCTGTCTTCTGCAAAGATGCAGCCCAAGAGGCCAATAGAGATTTGATTAATTATATTTCAGCCATAAGAATACTAATAAACCAGAGCTGGAGAGATAGCACAGCGGGTAGGGTGTTTGCCTTGCATGCGACCGACCCGGGTTCGATTCCCAGCATCCCATAGGGTCTCCCGAGCACTGCCAGGAGTGACTCCTGAGTACAGAGCCAGGAGGAAGCCCTGAGCATCGCCGGGTGGGACCCAAAAAGAAAAAAAAAGAATACTAATAAACCATTAAACATGATGGAGAAGGAGGCAGCAGGGTCCCCCAAGGGACCAGGGGCCGCTGCATGCTGGGGGCGGAGTTGTCTCTAGGGGTTAGAGCTGGGAATAGCCCCCCAGAACCCCCACTGTGTGTTTGCTGTCCCACAGTCAGAATGGGGCCATTCAGCTCCATATGGTTATAAAGGTGGTGATTATTGTGTGAACGCTTTGTGTGTGTGTGTGTTTGCTTTTTGGGTCACACCCAGCGATGCTCAGGGCTGACTCCTGGCTCTGCACTCAGGAATCACTCCTGGCGGTGCTCGGGAGACCCTAGGGGATGCTGGGGATCGAACCCGGGTCAGCCACGTGCAAGGCAAACAGCTGTACTATCGCTCTGGCCCCAGATTTTTTTTTTCCCATTTAGCATTTTTGTTTCTGGGCCCCACTCAGCAGTAGTCAGGGCTGACTCCTGACCCTGTGCTCAGGGATCACTCCCCACGGGCATCAGGAAATTAAACCTGCATCAGCTGCATTCAAGGCAAGTGCCCTAACCACTGAACCATCTCTCTGGCCCCCTGCGTTGCATTTTGATGCAGTCATTTCCTGTTGTTTCTGTCATCCAAACTTTCATCTTAAGCAGGGTGTCAGATTCTGTTGGGTGTGCTAACCTTACATCGAGTTTCTTTGGCTTCTTTCGACGTCATCATGTAGACGTTGCTCACGGGAATCTACTTGTTTCAGCTAAAAATTTGCTCTTTTTTTTCCCCCTTCCCCTTTCTTTAGGTCAGGTTGACATGAAACAGTTGATAGCGAAAAAGATGAAGTTGACTGCTGAGGCGGAGGTAAGTAAACCTCTCTTCAGAAACAAGCAACTTGACATTTAGCATAAAGAGTTTGTTTTTTAGGGGCTGGAACAATAGCACAGTGGGTAGGGCATCTGCCTTGCACGCGGCCGACCCGGGTTCGATTCCCAGCATCCCATATGGTCCCCTGAGCACTGCCAGGGATGATTCCTGAGTGCAGAGCCAGGAGGAACCCCTGAGCATCGCTGGGTGTGGCCCAAAAAAAGAAGCAAAAAAGAAAAAAAAAAGAGTTTGTTTTTTAGGGGGCTGGAGCGATCGCACAGCAGGGAGAGCATTTGCTTTGCACGCGGCCGGCCCGGGTTCGATTCCCAGCATCCCCTATGGCTCCCTGAGCACCTCCAGGAGTAATTCCTGAGTGCAGAGCCAGAAGTAACCGTTGTGCATCACTGGGTGTGACCCCCCCCCCAAAAAAAAAGAGCAAAAAAAAAAGTTTTAGGGACCAGAGCGGGCCCAGTAACGTCTCCATTGGAGACTTTGTTGTTACTGTGTCTGGCATATCGAATACTCTCGGTAGCTTGCCGGGCTCTCCGAGAGGGGCGGAGGAATCGAACTCGGGTCGGCCATGTTGGCCGCGTGTAAGGCGAACGCCCTACCCGCTGTGCTATCGCTCCAGCCCGGAGCGATAGTTCGCCTTACAAGCGGCCAACACGGCCGACCCGAGTTCGATTCCTCCGCCCCTCTCGGAGAGCCCGGCAAGCTGCCGAGAGTATTCGATATGCCAGACACAGTAACAACAAAGTCTCCAATGGAGACGTTACTGGGCCCGCTCGAGCAAATCGACGATCAACGGGAGGGCCTTTACCTTTACCTTTAGGGACCAGAGAGATAGCACAGTGGGGAGGGCGTTGGCCTGGCACGCAGCCGACCCAGGTTCGATCCCCGACATCCCCTAGAGTCCCCCGAGCACCGCCAGGAGTGATCCCTGAGTGCAGAGCCAGGAGTCAGCCCTGAGCATCGCCGGGTGGGACCCAAGCACCAACAAAAAAAGGAAAAAAGAAGAAACAGGCATTACTCCTGGCTATGCACTAAGGAATCACTCCTGGCGGGGCTTGGGAGACCGTATCGGATGTGGGGGACGGAATCTCTGTCACTGCATGCACGACAGACTTTACTGTCGCCCCAGCAAGAGCCCTCGATGTTGAAAAAGACATAAATAACCACTGTGCTCCTCTGCAGAACATTCCAGAACTCTCTGGGCCTCCAGTTTCCTTATGATCTTTTTTTATTTTTCCCCCTTTTTGGGTCCCACCCGGCGATGCTCAGGGCTGACTCCTGCCTCTGCACTCAGGAATCACTCCTGGTGGTACTCGGGGTACCCTATGGGATGCTGGGAATCGAACCCGGGTCAGCCACGTGCCAGGCCAACGCCCGCTGTCCGCTGTGCTATCGTTTCATCCCCATCCCTTTAATCTTTTTCGTTTCTGTCTTTGGGCCACACCCAGCGGTGCTCAGGGCTGACTCCTGACTCCGTGCTCAGCGATCGCTCCTGGCAGGACTCAGGGAACCCTGTGGGATGCCGGGGATCGAACCCGGGTCGGCCGCGTCCAAGGCAGGGCCCTCCCCGCTGTGCTGCTTCCCTGGGCGTCGGCTCTCAGAGCCGTGAGCTTGATTTTTGTTTCTCCGCTGCCAGGAGCTGAAGCCGTTCTTCATGAAGGAGGTCGGCAGCCACTTCGACGACTTTGTGAGCAACCTCATCGAGAAGTCGGCCTCGCTGGACAGCGGGGGCCGCGCCCTCACCACCTTCTCGGCCCTCCTAGGGGACAAGAACCACCGAGCCCAGTGAGTGTCCCTCGGGGGCCCGGCCTGGCCAGGAGCAGTGGGCCGCATGCGGGCGGGGGGCAGCTGCCTTGTTCCCTGCTCCCCACCACGCACACTCACACAGACACACACTCACACACTCATACGCACACAGTCACACACAGACTCCCACACTCACACACATGTATACACTCACACAGACACACACTCAAACACACACTCACATACTCACACACATACACACTCACACACAGACACACACTCAAACTCACACACTCACACTCTCACACACATGCACACATGCACTCACACGTACAGTCACTCACACACACACTCACACACTCACAGTCACACACACTCACATGCACACACACTCACATACATGTACACACACTCAGATACAATCTCTCACACTCACACACATAAACACTCACATACATGTACACACTCACACAGTCACACACACACTCTCACACACTCACAGTCACACTCACACTCACACACTCACATACATGTACACACACTCACATACATGTACATACACTCAGATACAATCTCACACTCACACACATAAACACTCACATACACACACTCACACAGTCACACACACTCACACTCTCACACACTCACAGTCACACACTCACACACACATACACTCACACACACACTCACATGTACACACACTCACATATATGTACACACACTCAGATACAATCTCTCACACTCACACACATATACACACTCACATACACGTACACACACTCACACAGTAACATACACTCTCACACATGTACACACACTCATACACGTACACAGTCACATACATACACACAGACACACTCAAAATCACACACACTCACTCACACACATACACAAATACACACAGTCAGTCACACACACTCTCACACTCACACACACTCACATACACGTTCACACTCACACTCACACCTACTCACACACATGCACACACTCACACTCACATACACACTCACACACGTACTCACCCTCACACTCACACACAAACTCACAAACACACTCACACACACACTCACATACTCATACTCTCACACTCACTCACACACACATAAACTCACAAACACACTCAACACACTCTCACACACATACTCACACTCAAATACACACACTCACATATCCACACAACTCTCTCCACTCACAGCTCTCTCTGCACTGGGCAAACAATCCACACTTCATCTTTCTAAGTAGATTATATAGACGCGAATTCTTTTTTTGGGGGGGTGGTTTGGGCGATGCTGAGGGGTTCCCGCTGGTCCTGCACTCAGGAATCACTCCTGGCGGTGCTCGGGGGACCCTATGGGATGCTGGGGATCGAACCCGGATCGGCAACGTGCAAGGCCAACTCCCTCCCTGCTGTGCTATTGCCCCGGCTGCAAAGATTCTTGATCTGAAACCTCGCTGTCCAGTGAAATCGAGACAGCATCCCTTACGTGCCGTCCCTGGAAGCCAGTGACCCTATTAGCTGGACCCCATAAGTGTCCTGGTTAGGAAGCCGGAGCCCAAGGCAGCTGGACACCCAGTTTTGAGTTTTGAGCTTTGAGCCCAGCCTCCAAACCCCATTTGTCACCTTGTCACGAAGCTTCCGTGTTATCTCTGTTCTCTCTGGTGCGCGGAGCCTGAGAGACAGCACAGCGCGTTAAGTCACTTGCCTTGCACATGGCCGAGCCGGGTTCGATCCCCGGCACCCCATATGGTCCAGCAGGAGGGAGCCCTGAGCCCTGTTGGGTGTGGCCCCCAAATCCACCACCCTACCCAAACAAGACAAACATCCGTGAAACCGGCTTCTCTGCATCTGATCCTGCCCCGTTAAATGTTAATCAGCGTGAAACCAAACTCCGGGCTAGCGTTTCTGAACCGCACTTCCACGCGCTTACGTTCTGTTGGGATTATTTTCATATATTTTTCATTCTGCTTCTCATTTTCCCTCTCTGCAGAGACCTTCGGGCGCCCCCGGAAAAGGGCAAGGTTTTTGTCGTCCGGAGATCGCTCCTGGAGTGAGTATCTCCTGTCCTGCTGGTCGCTCTCGTGACCAGCTCACCCGATTCTTGCCGTCTGGTCACTGACCGTTCAAGGAGCTTGTTCTGTGCTATCCACTCCTCAGTGTTACATGCCGTTTGCCCCTGTGTGTGTGTGTGTGTGTGTGTGTGTGTGTGTGTGTGTGTGTGTGTGTGTCTGTGTGTGTCTGTGTGTGTGTGTTTCTTTTTCAGAGGGAGGCATAGGAAATGAGATTGTTGCCGGTTCCCTGGCAATCCCCCAGAATTTGGGCTGTGGAATTCTGCCCTGCAAATAGCTAGAATAAAAAATTTTCTAATTGTGGAGCCCAAGCCATAGCCCAGCGGGGATGGAGCTTGCCTTGCATGTGACTGACCCGGGTTCGATCCCTGACGATGCACCATGCAGAGCTAGGAGTAAGCCCTGAGCACCACCATGAGTGGTTGAGAACCCCCCACCCCATGGGGCTGGAGCGATAGCACAGCGGGGAGGGCGTTTGCCTTGCACGCGGCCGACCCGGGTTCGACTCCCAGCATCCCATAGGGTCCCCTGAGCACCGCCAGGAGTAATTCCTGAGTGCAGAGCCAGGAGTAATCTCTGTGCATCGCCAAGTTTGACCCAAAAAGAAAAAGAAAATTTTTTTTTCTCAGAGAGAAGAAAATGCCTTGATGTCATAGAGGCAGGCTGGGGTTGAGGGGTTGGGAGGGGTGATGGGAGGAAACTGGGAATACTGGGGATGGGAAATGAGCATTGGTGGAGGGATGGGTGTTGGAACACTGTATTACTGCAACCTAATTAGGAACAGCCTTGTAAGGGTTTAACTCAGTGATTCAATAATAATAAAAAAAAATCTTAGAAATTAAAAAAAAATTTTTTTCTCTTTGAAGAGTGAGACTACTGAAAGGTATTTTTCACTCTGAATATGAATGTGTCCCCCTAAAAGAAAAATCTTATTGGGGCTGGAGCGATAGCACAGTGGGTAGGGCATTTGCCTTGCATGCGGCCGACCCGGGTTCAGTTCCCAGCATCCCATATGGTCCCCTGAGCACCGCCAGGAGTGATTCCTGAGCGTAGAGCCAGGAGGAACCCCTGTGCATCACCAGGTGTGACCCAAAAAAGGAAAAAAAAAAGAGGAGAACCCCTGCCCCCACCAAAAAAAATCAAGATTAAGGTAGCAAGAGGACAGCGGGTAACATGTTTACTTTGCACATGGCTGACCTGGGTTCTGTCCCTGGCACCCCATATTGTCCTCTGCACCCACCAGGAGTGACCCCTGAGTGCAGAGGCAGGAGTAAGCCCTGAGCACCACTGGGAGTGACCCCAAAACAAAAAATAAAAAGCTATGATTAAGTTGGGGTTTTTTTTTTTGGCTTTTTGGGTCCCACCTGGCGATGCTCAAGGCTGACTCCTGGCTCTGCACTCAGGAATCACTCCTGGCAGTGTTCGGGGGACCCTTTGGGATGCCGGGGATCGAACCCAGGTTGGCCGCATGCAAGCCAAACTCCCTCCCCGCTGTACTATTGCTCTGGCCCCTGATTAAGATTTTTGATAGAATTATACTACAAGAAAGATGAAACAAGTTTTAATTAAAAAAAAATTTTTTTTAACCAATTAAAACATTTCTTTGTTTTTTGTGTTTTTGTTTTGTTTGAGACCTATCATTGTTACTGGTATTTGACATATTGGGTACGCCACGGGGAGTTTGCCAGACTCTGCCGTGTGGGCAGGTTACATTCGGTAGCCTGCCAGGTTGTCCAGAGTAATGATGGGTCTCATTCTCCTAACCCTTGAAGAGCTTTTAATATGGCACTTTTTTAAAAATCTCAGGGCTAGGGCGAAGGAGGCGTTACTGGGGCCTGTTCGGGGCAATCGACGAACAACAGGATGGTCGTGATTGTGATTGTTTTGTTTGATTTTTGAGGGTGAGGTGGGGTCAGACCCAGGAGGGTTTCAAGGACTAGGTGATTTCAGGCATTAAGCACTGTCACTCTGTCTGCAAAGCCTGTCTCACGCAGGCCCATTATTCTTTTTTGTTTTTGCTTTTTGGGTCATACTCAGTGATGCACAGGGGTTCCTCCTGGCTCTGCACTCAGGAATTACTCCTGGCGGTGCTCGGGGGACCCTATGGGATGCTGGGAATTGAACCCGGGTTGGCCGCGTGCAAGGCAAACGCCCTCCCCGCTGTGCTATCACTCCAGCCCCTATTCTTCTTCTTTTTTTTTTTTTTAACAATAATACAGGAATACTGGGTCTGAAGCAGTAGTATAGCAGGTAGGACGTTTGCCTTGCACACAGCTGACCCAGGTTCGATTCCCAGCATCCCTTAGGGTCCCCCGAGCACCGCCAGGAGTAATCCCTGTGCATTCCTGGGTGTGACCCAAAAAAAAAATTAAAAAATAACTAACTAAATAAAAATTTTAAAAAATAATGTAGGAGTCCTGCTATTTGTTCAGCCATTGATTAAGCCGATTGAATTGGGCAGGAACTCCACATTACTTTTTATTTTAATTTTTTTAATAGGCCCATAATTCTCTGCCTTCCCACCCGCTCCGTCTCTATCTCTGCCTCTCTCTTCCTCTCCTTCTGTGTGTGTGTGTGTGTGTGTCTGTGTCTCTCCCCTTCACGGTACTTTGAAGGCCCAGAAGGTCATCCACATGTGGAGAGATAACCTGTCAGATACAAAGCCCACTTCGAGAGGCTGGAGCGATAGCACAGCGGGGAGGGCGTTGGCCTTCTACACGGCTGACCCGGGTTCGATTCCTAGCATCCCATAGGGTCTCCCGAGCACTGCCAGGAGTGATTCCTGAGTGCATGAACCAGGAGGAGCCTCTGTGCATTGCCAGGTGTGACCCAAAAAGCAAACAAAAAAAGCTCAGGCAGGATCGAGAGCAATGGTCTAAGTTCACCGACGTTGGCGGTGCTGGGGGGCACCCTCAACCTTAGAGAGACTCGCATGACGCTGTCTCATCCTTCCCATGTGATGCTCGGGCGGGCGTGGCCTTCACCTCTGTGGGAGATGCAGGTCTGGCCCTTCTTGGAACTGCACCATCCCCGATGTCGCCTTGTCCCGGGGGCGAGGGTGGTGGCTCATGGCCTGTGTTGGCTCCATCCACAGCGAGCTGCTCGAGGTGGACCACATCCGCACCATCCACCACATGTTCATCGCGCTGCTCATCCTCTTCATCCTCAGTACGCTGGTCGTGGACTACATCGACCAGGGAAGGTGAGGCAGGGGGAGGGGCGGAAGGGGCACCCGGGGGGGGCTGTGGATGGAGGGTCGCGAGGCGGACGCCCTCAGTGCGTTGGATTCTGTAGTGGAGGGTGGTTCCGTTCTGCCTTTTTTTTGGGGGGGGGGCCGGGAAGGAGTCACACCCAGTGATGCTCACGGCTGACTCCTGGCTCTGCACTCAGGAATCACTCCTGGCTGGTGCTCGGGGGACCCTAGGGGATGCTGGGAATCGAACCCAGGTTGGCCATGTGCAAGGCCAACGCGCTCCCTGCTGGACTATCACTCCACAATTTATTCATTAATTAATTTAGTTGGGGGGGGCACGGCAGGCGATGCTCCGAGGTCACTCCTGGCTCTGTGCTCAGGGGGGCTGGAAATCGAACCCAGTTCAGCCGTGTGCAAGGCCAATGCCCTCCCCGCTACGGTATCAATTCCGCCCCCCTCCTAAAGAGCTTTTTTTTAATTTTATTTTATTATTATTATTGGGCTGGAGCGATAGCACAGCGGGTAGGGCGTTCGCCTTCCACGCGGCCAACATGGCCGACCCGAGTTCGATTCCTCCGCCCCTCTCGGAGAGCCCAGCAAGCTACCGAGAGTATTCGATATGCCAGACACAGTAACAACAAAGTCTCCAATGGAGACGTTACTGGGCCCGCTCGAGCAAATTATTATTATTTTTTTGCTTTTTGGGTCCCACCCGGGGATGCTCAGGGCTGACTCCTGGCTCTGCACTCAGGAATCGCTCCTGGCGCTGCTCAGGGGACCCTAGGGGATGCCGGGGACCGAACCCGGGCCGGCCACGTGCAAGGCCAACACCCTCCCTGCTGTGCCATCGCTCCGACCCCAGGCTCTGTCTTCTGTCCCCCTGTGCCCCCCCCAGGCTGGTGCTGGACTTCAACATGCTGACCTTTGCCTTCACCATGTCCTCCGTGGCCCTGTGGACGTGGTGGGCCATGTTCCTGGGCACCCTCGTGGTCCCCTACTCCCTGCTCCACCTGTGGGCCAAGGGCTACCGGACGAGCTCCTTCCCGCGCGTCCGCTCGCTGCTCTTCGGCCTGCTCTTCATGGCCTTCCAGATCGGCGGGCTGGGCTGCGGCGTGGCCTACGTCGTCCTCCAGCACACGTCCACTCCGGGTACCCGTGGCATCATCGTCATCGAGCAGGTGCGCGGCTGGGCTAATCCAGGGCAGAGCTGGGCGGGGCTGCGTGGCAGGGGAGCAATAAGGGCAGTGGGGAGGGCGATCCCCGAGCACAGAGCCAGGAGTCAGCCCCGAGCACAGAGCCGGGAGTCAGCCCCGAGCACAGAGCCGGGAGTCAGCCCCGAGCACAGAGCCGGGAGTCAGCCCTGAGCACAGAGCTGGGAGTCAGCCCCGAGCACAGGGTCGGGAGTGAGCCCTGAGCATTGAGCCGGAAGTGAGCACTGATTACAGAGCCAGGAGTGAACCCTGAGTGAACCCTGAACACGGAGCCAGGAGTCAGCCCTGAGCACAGAGCCGAGAGTCAGCCCTGAGCACAGAATAAGGAGCCAGCCCTGAGCATAGAGCTGGGAGTGAGCCCTGAGCACAAAGTCAGGAGTAATCCCTGAGCACAGAGCCAGGAGTCAGCCCTGAGCACAGAGCCGGGAGTGAGCCCTGAGCACAGAGCCAGGAGTCAGCCCCGAGCACAGGGTCGGGAGTGAGCCCTGAGCATTGAGCCAGGAGTGAGCACTGAGCACAGAGCCAGGAGTGAACCCTGAGTGAACCCTGAACACGGAGCCAGGAGTCAGCCCTGAGCACAGAGCCGGGAGTCAGCCCCGAGCACAGAGCCGGGAGTCAGCACTGAGCACAGAGCCGGGAGTCAGACCCAAGCACAGAGCCAGGAGTCAGCCCCAAGCACAGAGCCAGGAGTCAGCCCTGAGCACAAAGCCAGGAGCCAGCCCTGAGCACTGCCAGGAGTGATTCCTAATCACTGCCAGGAGTGATCCTTGAGCACAGAGCCAGGAGTCAGCCCTGAGTATCGCCGGGTATGGCCCCAAAGCAAAAAAAAAAAAAGAAAGAAGAAGAAGAAACAACTCGCGCTGACCCTCCCCGCTCCCCCCATCTCTTGTAGATCCGGTTTGTGATGAAGGCCCACTCGCTGATCAGGGAGACAGTCCCACGAGTGCTGAATGCAGCCAAGGCGAAATCAGGTACGGAGGCCTCCGGGCCTTGGTGCACGCCAGGATGCCATCCTACTGAGTTTTACTCACCTGCTGAGGGGGGCTGGTGGGAGTGGGGGACCCAGTTAGCCCACAAGCCTCGGGCCAGGGGTGGAACCAGGGCCGGCCGCGTGCGTGGCCGGCACCGTAGCTTGTCCTGTCTCTCCCGCCCAGGGAGGCGTTTCCCGTTCTGGACACCGGGGATGGAGGGAAGGAGAGAGAGGGGAGAGAGAGAGAGAGAGAGAGAGAGAGAGAGAGAGAGAGAGAGGAGTTCAGGGTTCAAGGTGTTTGCCTGATCCCCATCACCACATGTGGTTCTCTGAACTTGGAGCCCAGAGTAAGCCCGGAGTACTAATACTATTGGGTTTCATGGCCCTCCCACCGTACACACACACACACACACACACACACACACACACACACACAGAACACACACCATCCCTTTCATAAATAAAACCAGAACAGAGGGCCGGAGCGTGAGTACAGCGGGGAGGGCGTTGGCCTTGCACACAGCCGACCCGGGTTCGATTCCCAGCGTCCCATAGGGTCCCCCGAGCACCGCCAGGAGTGATTCCTGAGTGCAGAGCTGGGACTCAGCCCTGAGCATCCCTGGGTGGGACCCAAAAAGCACTGTAGCACTGTCCTCCTGTTGTTCCTTTATTTGCTCGAGCGGGCCTAGTAACGTCTCCATGGTGAGACTTGTCGTGACTGTGTTTGGCATCTCGAAGACGCCACGGGGAGCCTGCCAGGCTCTCTGAGAGGGGCGGAGGAATCGAACCTGGGTCGGCCGGGTCGGCTGCATGCAAGGCAAACGCCCTACCCGCTGTGCTATCGCTCCAGCCCACCCAAAAAGCAAGGGGGGAAAATGGGGTCCCCCGCCCCTCTCTGAGTTCCCTCCCCGCCTTCCGTGTGAGGGGCCTGTGGTTCTCAGCCGGCTCCCCCCACCCTCCCCTGCAGACACGGTCCCGTTGCCCACCATCGGCCAGTACCTGTACTTCCTGTTCGCACCCACCCTCATCTACCGGGACAGCTACCCCAGGTAGGGACAGGCGCGCGCTGAGGGACCCTGGCGGGGCGGGACCGGCCCCCCCTTGCTGTCGCCCATCAGATCTGGCCCCCTGAGTGGAAGCCAGGCCAGCAGGGACACGCCCTGGGGTGGGGGCAGGGGTGCAGGCAGGGCCCCCCTGAGACGCCCGTCCTTGCTTCCTCTTCTCAGGACCCCGTCCATCCGCTGGGGCTACGTGGCCATGCAGTTTGTACAGGTGCGTCCTCCCTGCCCTGCCCGAGGTTGGTGGCCGGGTGGGTGGGCTCTCAGCCCTGCCTGGGCAGAAAGAGGGTCTCCTGTATGCCCCCCTGAAGGCCCACTGGCCTTCCCCACCCCAGTAGGGGAGGTTGGTCTTGCCAACAACCAAGGTGGTTTTTCATCTGTAGAAGTTCACCTAGGGGCCGGGAAGAGAGCACAGTGGGTAGCGCGCTTGTGCAGCAGGTGGCCAACCCGGGTTCAGTTCCCAGTACCCCATTGAGTCCCCTGAGTCCCACCAGGAGTGATTCCTGAGCACAGAGCCAGGAGTCAGCCCCAACTCAAAATGCTTTGGGCATTGTTCAAGTGGGTGACGGTCATTATCATCCACCTTATTTCTGCCTTCCTGTTTTTTCAATGTTTGGTGCATGCATGTGTGCGTGCCTGTGTTTGTGTGTGTGTGTGTGTGTGGGAGTGTGTGTGTAGTGCATGCCTGTGTGGTTTTCTGTGTGGTGCGTGTGTGGTTGTGTTTATGTGTTGCGTGTGTGGTTTTGTGTGTGGTGGGGGCATGTGTGGGGTGTGTGTGTGGTACACAGGTGTGTGGTTGTGTGTGTTATGTGTGGTGCACATATGTGGTTGTGTGTGGTTGTGGGGGTGTGGTTTTGTGTGAGCGGTGTGGGGGGTGTGGTGTGTGCGTGTGTGCTTTTGTGTGTGGTACATGTGTGACTTTGTGTGTGGTTTTGTGATTGTGTGTGGTGTGTGTGTGGTGCATGTGTGGGGTGTGGTGCGTGCGTGTGTGGTTTTGTGTGAGTGGGGTGTGTGGGTGTGTGTGTGGGGCGGGTGTGGTGCATGCCTGTGTGGTTTTATGTGTGGTGCGTGTGTGGTTTTGTGTGGTTCTGTTTATGTGTTGCATGTGTGGTTTTGTGTGTGGTGGGGGCATGTGTGGGGTGTGTGTGTGGTACGTGAGTGTGTGGTTGTGTGTGTGGTGCACATGTGTGGTTGTGGGGGTGTGGTTTTGTGCGTGTGTGGTTTTTGTGTGGTGGTGTGGTTTTGTGCGTGTGTGGTTTTGTGTGTGTGGTACGTGTGTGACTTTGTGGTTTTGTGAGTGGTGTGTGTGTGGTGCATGTGTGGGGTGTGGTGCGTGCGTGTCTGGTTTTGTGTGAGGGTGTATGTGTGTGGTTTTGTGTGAGTAGTGTGTGTGTACGTGTGGTTTTGTGTGTGGTTGTATGATTGTGTGTGGTATGTGTCTGGTTTTGTGTGAGTGGTGTGTGTGTGGTGCTTGTGTGGGGTGCGGTGTGTGCATGTGGTTTTGTGTGTGTGTATGTGTGTGGTTTTGTGTGAGTAGTGTGTGTACGTGTGTTTTTGTGTGTGGTTGTGTGGTTGTGTGTGGTATGTGTCTGGTTTTGTGTGAGTGGTGTGTGTGTGGTGCTTGTGTGGGGTGCGGTGTGTGCATGTGGTTTTGTGTGTGTGTATGTGTGTGGTTTTGTGTGAGTAGTGTGTGTACGTGTGTTTTTGTGTGTGGTTGTGTGGTTGTGTGTGGTATGTGTCTGGTTTTGTGTGAGTGGTGTCTGTGTGTGTGTGTGTGTGTGTGTGTGTGCGTGAGCCCCGTCCGGGCTCCCCGTCAGTGCACTCCGGGCTGCCTTGCAGGTGTTCGGCTGCTGCTTCTACGTGTACTACATCTTCGAGAGACTCTGCAGGCCGCTGTTCCGGGAAATCCGGGAGGAGCCCTTCAGCGCCCGCGTGCTGGTCCTCTGCATCTTCAACTCCATCCTGCCGGGTGAGGGCGGCGTCCCGGAGCCAAGGACCAGGTCGCTCCTGGCCTCGCTCCATCGCTTTTTTTTTGTCTTGGGGGCCACATCCGGCGATGCTCAGGGCTCACTCCTGGCGGTGCTCGGGGGACCTGATGGGATGCCGGGGACCGAACCCAGGTCAGCCGTGTGCCAGGCCAGTGCCCTCCCCGCTGTGCTATGTCGCTCCAGCCCTTAGAGGCCAGGATCAAGCAAAACCCCCGAATCATCTTTTCTTTTTCTTTTTTTCATTGTTTGGGTCTTTGGGCCCCACCCGGTGATGCTCAGGGCCCCCCCCCGGCTCTGGACTCGGGGATCACTCCTGGCGGTGCTCGCGGGGATGGAGGTGCCGAGGATCCAAGCTGGGTCTGCCTGCGTGTGTGTCTCCTCGCTGTGTGTCCCTCCAGGCCCAAATCCCCATCTCATGAGGACGTCTGTCCTGTAACATCTCCTGTCTGCCTCTACCTCCCCTTTTCCGCTTTCCTTCCGCTCTACCCTCAGTCTCTCTTCCTCTGTCCCCAAAATTCTGTTGATGATCCTCCCTGCCTTACTTATATCGGACCCTCCAGAGTTGGACAGTGTTACCCCCTCACTGACCTTCCCAACTTCACATTTCCAGCGTGCCAGAATCTTTCTACTGGGGCCAGAGCGATAGCACAGTGGGGAGGGTATTGGCCTTGCATGTGGCCAACCGGGGTTCGATCCCCGGCATCCCGTAGGGACCACTGAGCACCACCAAGAGTGATTCCTGAGTTCAGAGCCAGGAGTCAGCCCTGAGCGTCGCCGGGTGGTACCCAAAAAGCAAACAAAGAATCCGTTACCTACTCTCAGCACGCATCTCCCATCCCGAGCGATCCCTCCAACCATCACTGACTCAGTGACCCCTTCTCAATCCCAGCTGCCTTCTCCCCCAGCTCATGACGCAGGCTGCCAACTGTGTTTTAAAACAGGTTTAAAACAGCTGCCTTAGAGGAACACACGGGCGTCAGGTTTGAAAGGAGACCGGCCTCTGGGCCAAAATTTCACCTGCATATCTGGTCAGGGATATAGCTCAGCGGGTAGGGCGTTTGCCTTGTACACGGCCGGCCCGGGTTCGATTCCTCCACCCCTCTCAGAGAGCCCGGCAAGCTACCGAGAGTATCTCACCTGCAGGGCAAAGCCTGACAAGCTACCCCTGACGTATTCGATGTGCCAAACACAGTAACAACAAGTCTCACAATGGAGACGTTACTGGGCCCGCTCGAGCAAATTGAAGAACAACGGGAGGACAGTGACAGTGACAGATAAAAGACCTGAGAGACTAGACGGGTGGGGGGGGAGGTGCATGTGATCCCTAAGCACTGCCGGATGTGACCAAAAAAAAAAAAGGCGGGGGTTAAAAAGAAAAGAACCCCTGGGGTCAGAGCAATAGGAACGTGGTGGACCCGGGTTCGATCCCCGGCATCCCCTAGGGTCCCCCAAGCACCGCCAGGAGTGATTCCTGAGTGCAGAGCCAGGAGTCAGCCCTGAGCATCGCCGGGTGGGACCCCAAAACAAAACAAAAACACAAACAAAAAGTAAATGAGTGGGGCTTGGAGCAATAGCACAGCAGGGAGGGCGTTTGCCTGGCAGGTGGCCGACCTGGGTTCTATCCCCGGCATCCCATAGGGTCCCCCAGAGCACCACCAGGAGTGATCCCTGAGAGTGTAGAGCCAGGAGTCAGCCCTGAGCATCGCTGGGTGGGACCCAAAAAGCCAAAATAATAATAATAATAATAATAGAGTCACAGAATTAGACAGTTCAGCAGGGAGGCATTGGCCTTGCATGCAGCCGACCCGGGTTCGATCCCCGGCATCCCTAGGGTCCCCCGAGCACCGCCAGGAGTGATCCCTGAGCGCAGAGCCAGGAGCGACTCCTGAGCACTGCCGGGTGTGGTCCGCCCCAAAACAAAACACACCCAGAAGCACCGCTGGGCAGTGCCCATGCCCAGCGGTCAGCTGAGCCCCCGTTGCCCCCACAGCTGCCCTGATGCTCTTCCTCACCTTCTTCGCCGTTCTACACTGCTGGCTCAACGCCTTTGCTGAGATGCTGCGTTTTGGGGACCGCATGTTCTACAGGGTAAGGCTTGTTCCCGCCGACCCACCCTCACAGGCTTGGTGGCTTATCTTCGAGTTCTGGTCCCTGCCGCCTGGCCCCCGGTGAATGCGGGCCCCTCTGACGGTCGGCACTTTCTTGGGGGATGTAGGCGTTCAGGGGGCACCCGGAGACTGGGTCAACTCTGAGGGCAGCACCTGAGATCATGCGTTGGGCGCATCCTCTGGGAATATTGAGGGTATGCTGTGGGGGGCCGTGGGGGGCCATGGGTCGCCATGGGTGTCACCAGGTCTGTCTTTCCCCCCGCAGGATTGGTGGAACTCCACGTCGTACGCCAACTACTACCGGACGTGGAACGTGGTGGTCCATGACTGGCTTTATTACTACGCGTATAAGGACTTCCTCTGGGTATGGGCGGCCGCGCACGTCGGGAGAGTCGGCTCCTTCCCAGAAAGGGTTAACCCGTGCCCACCGCCCCCCACACTGTGAGGACAGGCTGCGTCCGTCTGTCCTGCCTAGGCGCTGCCTGACCAGCCGTGATGCATTTTCTGGCGGGGACTGAGAACACAGGAGGGCGTTTATTTATTTGCACAAGCAGAAATGTTTTCTCGCTCTCTGGGATCTCTCGGCCAGCAAATGGTCTTGCCTGGGACTTTTCTGTTCTTTTGCGGCTTGTCCTTGACTTGTGTTTTGTTTTGGGTCACAGCTGGTGATGCTCAGGGCTGACTCCCGGCTCTGCACTCAGGAATTACTCCTGGCGGTGCTCGGGGGACCCTGTGGGATGCTGGGAATCGAACCTGGGTCGACCACGTGCAAGGCAAACGCCCTCCCCGCTGTGCTATTGACCCTAATTATTTATTCATTCATTTATTTATTTATTTATTTATTTGGGGGCCACACCCAGTGATGCTCAGGGGTTCCTCCTGGCTCTACACTCAGGGATCACTCCTGGCGGTGCTCAGGGGACCCTATAGGATGCTGGGGATCGAACCCAGGTCGGCCGCGTGCAAGGAAAACGCCCTCCCCACCGTGCTATTGCTCCAGCACCAATTTTTTTTCATTCTCTGCTCGGGATTTTCACACCTTTGGGACAGTCCCGGGAGTAGCCTACGGGACGGGTGGGACATGTGTCAGACGCTCTCCCTCTCTGAAGCCGCGTGTTTCTTTCTGCCCCTCCCCCCGCCGTAGTTTTTCTCGAAGAAATTCAAGGCGGCCGCGATGCTGTCTGTGTTCGCCGTCTCGGCGGTGGTGCATGAGTACGCCATGGCGATCATCCTCAACTTCTTCTATCCTGTCCTCTTCGTGCTCTTCATGTTCTTCGGAAGTAAGTAACTGGGCATCCGTTTTGGTTTTTTGGCTGCCCTGACCAGCCGACGCTCTGTGAGCAGCAGGGCAGTGGTTGACGGGAGCGTCCGTCACTAACGGACCAAGTGACCATTCGGGTCTGGTGTTGATCCTGAGCTCAGCCCCTGGGTGTAGCTCGTCATATCCACCTCTGTACACCAGGGTGGGGAACTGAACTCAATTTTTTGTTTATTTTTTGTTTGGGGGCCACATCCGGCGATGCTCAGAGCTGCCTCCTGGCTCTGCACTCAGGGAATCATTCCTTGCGGGTTCAGAGGACCCTATGGGACAATGGACATCAAACTCATGCCAGCTGCGTGCAAGATAAGCCCTTGCCCCGCTGTACTAGGCTTCCGGCCCCTAAATGCGCCACTTGAAGTGGCCGGAGCGATAGCACAGCAGGGAGGGCATTTGCCTTGCACATGGTTGACCCGGGTTCGATCCCTGGCATCCCAAAGGGTCCCCCAAGCCCTTCTAGGAGTGATTCCTGAGTGCAGAGCCAGGAGTCGGCCCTGAGTCTCACCGGGTATGGCCCTAAAACTGACCTATATTATGATTTGGCATGAAATCAATCTACCACCAGCCTCCTCGTTTGGAAACGGCCGGTTTTAGCCCCTCAGACACTCATCCCTTTGGGGTGGGGGTGGGTGCTGAGACCAGTTCCAGGGTGAAGGATTCCAGGAAATCCTCCCCTCCCCCCCAACCCCAATCTCCCTTCCCTAAGGGCAGAAAGGAAGTGCCCTTTTTGCACCCAAGGTGTGTACGTGTGTGTCTGTGTGTCTGTGTGTTTGTGTTTGTGTGTGTGTGTGTCTCCCTCCAGTGGTCTAGAGGGCCAGTGCTGGCCCCCTTTGCTCCCTGGAGGCCTTGATGCCCCCCATCCTTAGCTGGCCTCTGAGCCCCCGCGGGTCATCTCCTGCAGGACTCTGTGTCCATCTCTGCTGTCTCTCACCCTGCCCCCCCACAGTGGCCTTCAACTTCATCTTCCACGACCGCTGGAAGCGACCCATCTGGAACATCATGGTGTGGACCTCGCTCTTCGCTGGCCATGGCATCCTGCTGTGCCTCTACTCCCAGGAGTGGCACGCACGTCAGCACTGCCCCCTGAAGAACGTGAGTCGGGGGCCGGAGCAACAGCACAGTGGGGAGGGCACTGGCCTGGCACGCGGCCAACCTGGGTTCGATCCCCGGCATCCCATCAGGTCCCCCGAGCACCTCCAGGAGTGATTCCTGCGTGCGCAGCCAGGAGTCAGCCCTGAACATCGCCAGGTGGGACCCAAAAAGCAATCAATCAATCAGTCAATCAATTAAGAGTGATGAACCAGGGACCTGGGCAATAGCACAGCAGGGAGGGCGTTGGCCTTGCACATGGCTGACCCAGGTTCGATCCCCGGCATCCCATAGAGTCCCCCGAGCACTGCCAGGAGTGATTCCTGAGTGCAGAGCTGGGAGGAACCCCTGAGCATCGCCGGGTAGGACCCAAAAAGCAAAAAGCAAAAAAAAAAAGTGGGAGGTGGAGAAAGTGGGTGGTGTCTCCCTGCATGGGTGGAACCACCCAGTGCCTCAAAAGTTTCATTTAGGGGAGCCGGAGTGATAGGATAGGAGGGAGGGCACTTGCTCTGCACGCAGCCCAGCCGGGTTTGAACCACAGCATTTCAGAGGGTCCCAGGAGCGAGTCCTGAGAGCACAGAGCCAGGAGTAACCGCAGCTGGGTGTGAGCCCCAAACCAAAAAAAGATAAAAAAAAAAATTAGTGGCTAGAGCGATAGTCCAGCAGGGAGGGCATTTATTTGCCTGGCATGTGGTTGAACCGGGTTCGATCCTGGGCATCCCATGGGGTCCCCCAAGCACTGCCAGGAGTGATTCCTGAGTGCATGAGCCAGGAGTCAGCCCTGACCATTGCCAGATGTGGCCCCAAAAACAAAAAAAAAAAATAAATTTAAAAAAAAATTAAAAATTAAGGGGCCAGAGTGATAGTACAGAAGATAGGGCATTTGCCTTGCATGTGGCCGACCCGGGTTTGATCCCCGGCATCCCATATAACCCCCCCGAGCACCACCAGGAGTAATTCCTGAGTGCAGAGCCAGGAGGAACCCCTGAACGTTGCTGGGTGTGACCCAAAAAGCAAAAATTAAAAAAAAATTTTTTTTAATTTAAAATATTAAAATAAAACAAAAAAATTGAAAAGTTAAATGTTAAAAAAAATAATAAATAAATAAACATAGTCATGAGTTTCCACTTAAAGCTTTTCTAAAGAGACCCTAACCCGGCGGGTCCTTTTCTTCTCCACGCCTGAGTCCCTCAGAACTTCAGGGTTTAGGAGATGCTGGGGGGGGGCGGGGGGTGACTTGCCCTGCCCCCCCCCCCCCCACACACACACACATTCTCATTCTGTCTTTTCCTCTTCCCCACAGCCCACATTTCTCGACTACATCCAGCCGCGCTCCTGGACGTGTAGCTAGCTTCGTGTTCTAGACGCCGGCCCCGGGCATCCGTGACTCAATGATGGGCTTGTGTTTGTTCCAGCTGAGCCTAATCCCCCTGGCTCTCCGTGCTCCCGGGCCCCTGGCTGAGGACCCTCTCGCACACTTGTCGACACAGTGCCTCCTGGCGGCGGGAGCCCTTACACCGAGCATAGGTGGGACTGAGCGCATCTCCATGCCCTGGGGGCGAGCATCCTTCTTCTCGGCCACCGAGTCAGCGAAACGCTCTGGGCAAGTCTCTTATTCGCAGCGTTGGACTGTGCTGATTCAGCTTTGCTCTTGGGGGAAGAAGTTGATGGAGAGTCTTGACTTTTCCTTGCGGAACCAGAAAAAAATCAAGAGACTTTTCCTCCCCCCGCCAGAAGATAATCTTTGTTACACGTACCAACTCTCATGGCTTTTCTTTTTCGTCTTCTTCTTCAAATTGCAGTCCTTACTCGATTTTTTTTTTAACCTTGTTTTCATTCTGTGATAGAGAGCTCATGATTTGTGAAAAGAAAGTAAGAGCTTTCACCTGGGTTTTGAGGGATTCTTGCATTCGTAATACTTATCGAACGAGGAGCAAGACATACGGAAGAAAACAACCCAGAAGTAGCACAAGACAAAGCACATATATATATTTCCAGGGTCAGGGAGGTGGGTCTGGCTTAGAACATCATGCCTTGGGCTGGAGAGATAGCAAAGCGGGTAGGGCGTTTGCCTTGCACGCGGCCGACCCGGGTTCGATCCCCGGCTTTCCATATGGTCCCCCGAGCATCACCAGGAGTAATTCCTGAGTTCAAAAGCCAGGAGTCAGCCCTGAGCATTGCTGGGTGTGACCCAAGAAGAGGAAGAAAGAAAGAAAGAAAGAAAGAAAGAAAGAAAGAAAGAAAGAAAGTCATGCCTAACATCTCTGAGGCCCTGGGTTCAATTCCTGACTACTGAAAAAATAATCCCTTTATAATTTCAAATTATGGGGAAGTGCTATACCCGGTGGTGCTTGCTCCTGGCTTGGTGCTCAGTGTATGTGGGGCTGAGGATTTGAACCCAGATCAGCAGAATACAAGACAAGTGCCTTAAGCTCAGTATTATGTCTCCCATGGTAGTTCTTTAAAAATTAGTTGTTGGGAGAGCTTTTGCCTTGCACGTGGCCGTCCCGGGTTCGATCCCCCCGGCATCCCATAGGGTCCCCCCACCACCAGGAGTGATTCCTGAGTGCAGAGCCAGGGGTAACCCCTGAGCGTAGCTGGGTATGGACCAAAAAAACAAAAAAAACAAATTAAAATGGACTGCAAGGTCAGTTATGTGGTCTGTGGAAAATGACTTTGTTTCAATTGGAACATGTGAAAGGTTCAGACATACCCTTTGCAGTTTTCTCGTTGTCTGTTACTGTGTCACTGACTTGAATCGTTTTACTTGTAAGTCTGTAGCCTAAGTATTAATCATCTCCATGGATATTAAAGGGATTTTTTTTTTCTTAAGATCCAGAAGCTTGCCTCCTGCATTGGTTTGATCATTATTCTTAGACTTTGCACTAGGGTGAAACACATGATCTAACATATATATTATACCTATATAATCACTGTCACTGTCCTCCCATTCATCGATTTGCTCCAGCGGGCCCAGTAACATCTCCATTGGAGACTTTGTTGTTACTGTGTCTGGCATATCGAGTACTCTTGGTAGCTTGCCGGGCTCTCCGAGAGGGGCGGAGGAATCGAACTCGGGTCGGCCATGTTGGCTGCATGTAAGGCAAACGCCCTACCGCTGTGCTATCGCTCCAGCCCAAAAATTAATTAAGGCCCCTCCCATTGATCATCGATTTGCTGGAGCGGGCCCAGTAACGTCTCCATTGGAGACTTTGTTACTGTGTCTGGCATATCGAATATGTCATGGGTAGCTTGCCAGGCTCTGCTGTGCGGGCGAGATCCTCTCGGTAGCTTGCCGGGCTCTCCGAGAGGGGCGGACGAATCGAACTCGGGTGGACCATGTTGGCTGCGTGCAAGGCAAACGCCCTACCTGTTGTGCTATCGCTCCAGCCCTACCTATATAATACATATCTCTATATAACATAATATATAGAGGGACTGGAGTGATAGAACAGCAGGTAGGGCATTTGCCTTGCACACGGCCGACCCAGGTTCGATCCCCGGCACCCCAGATGGTCCCCCAAGCACTGCCAGGAGCAATTCCTGAGCATTGCTGGGTGTGACCCAAAAAAGCAAAAAGAAAAAAAACATAATATAAACATGTATTATATCTATATATAGATATGTATGTCTGGAGAACCACATATATGTTTTTCCAGAATGCTCTCTGCCGTGGAAGGGTCTCATTTGAGGCACCCCTGTTGTTGCTGATACAGTGTGCTGTGTCATTTGTCTGGCGTATAATTATGTTCATGAAGGCTGATCATTGGAAGGCATATTGGGGTCATTTTACCCCCAGAAGTGAGACATGGTAGTTTATCAAAGATTTGCTGTTCCAAGTCTGACAAGAAGATTAAAAGGAGTAGGGTTGGAGCAATAGCACAGCGGGGAGGGCGTTTGCCTTGCACACGGCTGACCCAGGTTCGATTCCCAGCATCCCCTAGGGTCCCCCGAGCACCGCCCGGAGTGATTCCTGAGTGCAGAGCCAGGAGGAACCCTTGAGCATCGCCAGGTGTGACCCAGAAAGCAAATAAAAAGATTAAAAGAGTTTCTGGGACCTGAGCAATAGTCCAGTGGGGAGCACATTCTCCTGTTTGCCTTGCATGCGGCCGACCCAGGTTCGATCCCCGGCATCCCAAATGGTCCCCCGAGCACTGCCCGGAGTGATTCCTGAGTGAGATGCCAGGATGTAACTCCTGAGTATTGATGGGTGCCACCCAAAAAAGCAAAAAAAAAAAAAAAAGTTTCTTAGGAGTTAAAACTTCATCCGTGCTCCCAAGTGTTAATGATAATCTATTTTATTCATATCTTTTACTTTTGTTTTACACCTTTGGTCTTGATAAGGTTATCAAAATCAGGTTCAACTTAAAAAAAAACAGATAAAACATGGACAGAGATAGGGCAGCAGATACGGAGTTTGCATACAGCTGACTGGGATTTCATCTCCAGTATCCCATAGGGTCTCTGGGTCTTGGCCATTGATGAGATTATAAGACCCAGAGACTATGAAACCCAGCTCCAGGAAGCGCGTGGCCACATTTGCGGCTGCGTGACATCTTACTATCTCATTCTTTCTTTGGACAACCCGGCGGGCTACCGAATGTAACCTGCTCACATGCCAGAGCCTGGCAAACTCCCCGTGGTGGCGTCCCCAATATGCCAAATACCAGTAACAATGATGGGTCTCATTCTCCTAACCCTGAAAGAGCCTTGAATATGGCACTTTAAAATCTCAGGGCTAGGATGAAGGAGACGTTACTGGGGCCGGCTCGAGGCAATCAACGAACAACAGGATGGTCCTGATTGTGGTTGTAATCCCACAGGGTCCCCTGCCCACCACCAGGAGTAATTCCTGAGTGCAGATCTAGGAGAAAGCCCAAGCATCCCCAGGTGTGACCCCAAAACAACTGAAAGCCAGATCAGAGGAGACTTTTTATTCTTTTGGGTTATGCCTGGCGATGCTCAGGGCTTACTCCTGGCTCTGCACTCAGGAATTACTCCTGGTGGTGCTCAGCGGACCCTATGGGATGCCAGGGATCGAACCTGGGTCATCGCCGGGTGTGACCCAAAAAGAAAAAAAAAAACAGGATGGAATCTAGCACTCTGCACTTGCTCCCTGGAACTTCCAACTTGCCGGGTTGGCTTTAGTTTCCGCAGACGTTGTTGGGCCTCGAACCCGGGGCCTCTCCTCTGCGCCACGCCCGCAGCCCTGAACTTGAAACCCAGGCAGATGAATGTTCTCTGCCTGCCACACAGAGATGACTTGTTTCTTCCGTCACGAGAAAGGAATGCGGTGTCTGACGAAGATTTGTGGATTCTTCCTTTGGAATTCCACAAACGTGTCTCCACACAGGACAAACGGGCTGACCACAGCGCCTTAAGCCAGTGGCGATGATTTTACTGGGGTTGGCACTGCCTCGAGTGTACCTCGGATCCCCAAAGGGCGTCCACCTGCAGGGATGTCTCCTGCGAGCCAAGGATAAGAGGTCAGGGACAAGGGCAGTCTCCAATGCCCAGAGACAGTAGAGCAAAGGGGTAAGGCACTTGCTTGCAGCTGGGCACCTTCGTCAGGCTGAGAACTGACCTTCAGAGCCGCTGGGAGGGAGCGCCCCTAAGCGCAGAGCCAGGGGTAAGCCTGAGCACTGCTGGGGGTGGAGGGGAGGAGTGGGAGGGAGGAGAGGAGGGAGGGATGGGGGAAGGAGGGAGGGAAGGAAAGGAAAAGGGAGGAAGGGATGAAGGGAGGAAGGAAGAGGGACGAAGGAAGGAAGAGGAAGTAAGGGAGGGAGGAAGGGAAGGAGGGAGGGAGGAAGGAAGGAAGGAAGGAAGGAAGGAAGGAAGGGAGGGAAGGAGGGAAGGAGGGAGAGAAGGAAGGAAGGGGGAGGGAGGGAGGGAGGAAGGAAGGAAGGAAGGAAGGAAGGAAGGAAGGAAAGGAGGGAGGGAGTTAGGGAGGGGAGGAAGAGAGGAAGGAAGGAAGGAAGGAAGGAAGGGAGGGAAGGAGGGAGAGAAGGAAGGAAGGAAGGGAGGGAGGGAGGGAGGGAGGAAGGGAGGAAGGAAGGAAGGAAGGAAGGAAGGAAGGGAGGAAAGGAGGGAGAGAAGGAAGGAAGGGAGGGAGGGAGGGAGGGAGGAAGGGAGGAAGGAAGGAAGGAAGGAAGGAAAGGAGGGAGGGAGTTAGGGAGGGGAGGAAGAGAGGAAGGAAGGAAGGAAGGAAGGAAGGGAGGGAGGGAGGAAGGAAGGGAGGGAAGAAGGAAGGGAGGGAGGGAGGAAAGAATGGAGGGAGGGAGGAAGGAAGGAAGGAAGGAAGGAAGGGAGGAAGAGAAGGAAGGAAGGAAGGAGAGAAGGAAGGAAGGAAGGAAGGAAGGAAGGAAGGAAGGAAGGAGGGAGGGAGGGAGGGAGGGAAGAGAGGAAGGAAGGAAGGAAGGAAGGTAGGAAGGAAGGAAGAGAGGAAGAGAAAGAAGGAATGAAGGAAGGGAGGGAGGGAGGGAGGGAGGGAGGGAGGAGGGAAGGAAGGGAGGGGAGGAGGGAGGGGAAGCCCCCTGAACCCTTGACCCTCCTCCTTCCCTGCCCATCCCCCCCCCATCCCGAGGACAGCCCTGAGTGCTCGGGCGGGCGCGCGGGCGCGGCGGGTCCTGCGTTCCCATGGCGACGGGCAGGCGTCCGTGGGATGCGCGGCCCCAAGATGCCCGGCGGGGAAGACGGTTTCCCGGTAGGAGGCCGGGCGCGTCGCCCCGGGGCTGGACCCCGCCGGTGCCCGCGTGCCGGGAGGGTGACGGGGACCCCGGGGCGCCCACGGGGGACCCTCAGGCCGGTCCGGGGACCCAGTGGACTCCCCCAGTGGACTCCAAGACGGGCCTGCAGGATGCGCGGCCGCCCCTGTCCTGGGCATGCCTGCGCGCTTTCTTCCCTCCTTTTTTTTTTGTGGGGGTGGGAAGACAGGGGGACACCTGGCCCTGCACTCAGGGGTCACTTGCTGGTAACTCCTGGTCACTCCTGGCGGTGCTGGTCGGCCGCATGCAAGGCAAATGCCCCTCCCCGCTGTGCTATCTGTCCAGTCCCATGACTCATTATTATTATTATTATTGTTAATATTATTTTGGCCTTTTGGGTCCCACCCGGTGATGCTCAGGGCTGACTCCTGGCGCTGCACTCAGGAATCCCTCCTGGCGGTGCTCGGGGGGACCCTAGGGGATGCCGGGGATCGAACCCGGGTCGGCCGCGTGCCAGGCCAACGCCCTCCCCGCTGTGTTATCGCTTCGGCCCCAGCAGGTTGGATTCCTAAGAAATCCTTTCCCCGGGCTGGAGCGATAGCACAGCAGGGACCGCGTTTGCCTTGCACGGGGCTGACCCGGGTTCGATTCCCAGCATTCCCTAGGGTCCCCACCCCAGCACCGCCAGGAGTGATTTCTGAGTGCAGAGCCAGAAGTCAGCCCTGAGCATCGCCGGGTGGGACCAAAAATGCAAAAAAAAAAAAAAAAAAATCTTTTCCAGGCCAGGAGGAATGTCACAGCCTTAGAAGCCCGCTGCGTGTCTAGCAGCTCTGACCACCCATCCCAACACCCCACGCCCCTTCCGCCCTGTCCACTATCCTTGCTAAAAGCACCACAACTAAAGGAGAAAGAAGAAAAAAATTTGTTTTAATTTTCTGAATTTATTCAATGCTGCCACTTATCACTTTATTTTTCATCTATGCTTTTTTTTTTTTTTTGCTTTTTGGATCACACCTGGCGATGCACAGGGGTTTCTCCTGGCTCTGCACTCAGGAATTACCCCTGGCGGTGCTCAGGGGACCATATGGGATGCTGGGAATCGAACCCGGGTTGACCTGGGTCGGCAGCATGCAAGGCAAATGCCCTACCCGCTTTGCTATCACTCCAGCCCCATATACTTTTTTTTTTGACCTGGCGATGCACAGGGGTTACTCCTAGCTCTGTACTACCCCTGGAATTACCCCTGCCGGTGCTCAGGGGACCCTATGGGATGTTGGAATCGAACCCAAGTCGGCCGTGTGCAAGGCAAACGCCCTCCTTGCTGTGCTATGGCTCTGGCCCTGAAAGAAACATTTTTATTTAGTCCCTGGGGGGAAAATTATTTTTGCAGTACTAGGGGTCGGCTGGAGCGATAGCACAGCGGGTAGGGCGTTCGCCTTACAAGCGGCCAACATGGCCGACCCGAGTTCGATTCCTCCGCCCCTCTCGGAGAGCCCGGCAAGCTACCGAGAGTATTGGATATGCCAGACACAGTAACAACAAAGTCTCCAATGGAGACGTTACTGGGCCCGCTAGAGCAAATCGACGATCAACGGGAGGGCCTTTACCTTTAGGGGTCGAACCCAGGGCATTACAGCATTACACATGCTCGTATATGCTGTCACCAGACCACCTCCCTGGCCCCTCAAGTAGTTTCCATGTTTTTTTTTCTTTTTGGGTCACACCTGGCGATGCACAGGGGTTCCTTCTGGCTCTGCACTCAGGAGTTACTCCTGGCAGTGCTCAGGGGACCATATGGGATGCTGGGAATTGAACCCGGGTTGGCCACATGCAAGGCAAATGCCCTACCCACTGTGCTATTGCTCCAGCCCCGAGTTTCTATGGTTTTTTTTTCTTTTTTGGTCACACCCGGCGATAATCAGGGGTTCCTCCTGGCTCTGCACTCAGGAATCACTCCTGGCGGTGCTCGGGAGACCTTATGGGATGCTGGGGATCGAACCCGGGTCGGCCACGTGCAAGGCAAACACCCTCCCCTCTTTGCTATCGCTCCGGCCTCTCTGGGGTTTTTTTTTGGGGGGGGAGATTGCAGTGCTCAGGGCTGACTCCTGGCTCTGCGTTCAGGGGCATGCGCCCTCCCCGCCGTGCTCTCTCTCCACCCCCCTTCTTTCTCTCCCCCCCCGCCCCCCCTGCAGGACGGTGGTGCTGGGCCCAGGAACCCCGCTCGGTGGCTGGTGCGCTGCTGGCTTAGCTCTGCTGAGCCGTGAGCCCTCGTTTCTGCAGCCACGACCATGTCTCGCATCAGATCCGCCTTCCCCCTGCCCAGCGATGCCCCCCTCCAGCTTGGACAGCAGAACGCTGAAAACGTCCTCCTCGGCGTCCAAGGAGGAGCTGGGTAAGGACCCCAGGGGTCCCGTCAGCCTGGCCGTTTCTGGGCTTCTGAACCTGCGATTTCTTTTTTCTTTTCTTTTCTTTTTCTTTTCTTCTCTTTTCTTTCTTTCTTTCTTCCTCCCTCCCTCCCTCCTTTCTTTCTCTTTCTTTTCTTTTCTTCTCTTCTCCTTTCTTTCTTTCTTTCTTTCTTTCTTCCTCCTTTCTTTCTTTCTTTCTTTCTTCTCTTCTCTTCTTCTCTTCTCTTTCTTCCTTCCTTCCTCCCTCCTTTCTTTCTCTTTCTTTCTTTTCTTTTTCTTTTCTTTTCTCTTTCTTCCTTCCTCCCTCCCTCCTTTCTCTCTTTCTTTCTTCCTTCTCTTCTCTTTCTTTCTTTCTTCCTTCCTTCCTCCCTCCCTCTTTTCTTTCTCTTTCTTTCTTTTTTCTTTTCTTTTTTCTTCTCTTCTCTTCTCTTTTCTTTCTTTCTTCCTTCCTTCCTCCCTCCCTCCTTTCTTTCTCCTTTTTTTCTTTCTTTCTTTCTTTCTTTCTTTCTTTCTTTCTTTCTTTCTTCCTATCTTTTTTTTCTTTTTGGTCACTCCTGGTGGTGCCTAGGAGTTAGTCCTGCTTTGCACTCAAGAATTACTCCTGGTGCTAGGGGAACCATACAGGATGCTGGGGATCGAACCTGGGTCGGCCACGTGTAAAGTAAATGCTCTCCCCGCTGTGCTATCCTCCAGCCCCTCTTTCTTTTTTACTCTTTCTTTCTTTCTTTCTTTCTTTCTTTCTTTCTTTCTTTCGAAGTGCTGCTATTTATTTATTTATTTATTTTGCTTTGGGGGTCTCACCCAGCGATGCTCAGGGGTCCCTACTGGCTCTGCACTCAGGAATCACTTCTGGCAGTGCTCGGGGGACCCTATGGGATGCTGGGAATCGAACCCGGGTTGGCCGCGTGCAAGGCCAAGGCCCTCCCCGCTGTGCTATCGCTCTGACCTGGAATTCTAAAATTTTAGACAATTAGTGTCTGGAGAAATCTCCGCAGCGAGCTCTTCAGTTTGGAGATTCTTTTGTGTGTCTCTGGATCTTGCCCACTAAGGAGCTCAAGTCGCAGCTGGGGGCAGTTTGTGGGCGTGGCATCCAGAGCCCCTTGGGGACAGGAGATGAGAAGGATGAGCCCAGAACCTGAGTCTTCAGGCTCCCTTCATTAGTTTCCAAGAGTCGAAAGCTGTTTCCTTTTCTACTAGTGGACAGAAAAGGGAGCCAGGCAGTTTATGGTGAAATTATCAGTGTACATCAGGTTGAACTAATTACTCTATAAGAATTAAAACATTTTTGTTTTAGTTTTTTTAAACTTTAATATTAAAATTAAATCATTGTTTTCATTTAAATTTTTTTTTTTTTTTTTGCTTTTTGGATCACACCTGGCGATGCACAGGGGTTACTCCTGTCTCTGCGCTCAGGAATTATCCCTGGCGGTGCTCAGGGGACCATATGGGATGCTGGGAATCGAACCCAGGTCGGCCGCATGCAAGGCAAACGCCCTACCCGCTGTGCTATCGCTCCAGCCCCTCATATTAAATTTTAATGTTTAATTTGATTGGGCTGGAGTGAGAACAGAGCGGGTAGGGTGTTTGCTTTGCACAAGGCTTGGCTGACCCAGGTTCGATTCCTCCGCCCCTCTCAGGAGAGCCTGGCAAGCTAACTGAGCGTATCTCGCCCTCACAGCAAAGCCTGGCAAGCTCCCCATGACGTATTCGATATGCCAAACACAGTAACAAGTGTCACAATGGAGACGTTACTGTGCCCTTTTGAGCAAATCAATGAACAACGGGAGGACAGTGACAGTTTAATTTAATTAATTAATTTTTGGCTGATAGCACAGCGGTAGGGGCGTTTGCCTTACACGCGGCCAACATGGCCGACCCGAGTTCGATTCCTCCGCCCCTCTCGGAGAGCCCGGCAAGCTACCGAGAGTATCTTGCCCGCACAGCAGAGCCTGGCAAGCTCCCCGTGACGTATTCGATATGCCAGACACAGTAACAACAAAGTCTCCAATGGAGACGTTACTGGGCCCGCTCGAGCAAATCGACGATCAACGGGAGGGCCTTTACCTTTACCTTTGGTTCACACCTGGCGATGCTCAGAGATTCCTCCTGGCTCTACACTCAGGGATCACTCCTGGAGGTGCTTGAGGGACCCTATGGGATGCTGGGAATCGAACCCGGGTCAGCTGCACGCAAGGCAAACGCCCACCCTGCTGTGCTATCACTCTGGCACTCTGTTTAATTTAATATTTTTAGTTTAATAATTTTTGTATTTTTTAACATTTTAAAATTAAACGTATGGGGAGGGGGCACACCCGACGATGCCCAGGGCTTACCCCTGGCTCTGCACTCAGGAATCATTCCTGGATCAGGGCACCTTATGGGATGCTGGGGATCGAACCCGGGTCGACTGCATGCAAGGCCAACGTCCTCCCCGCTGCCCTGTCCTCCGGCCCCTCTCCCTCCTGTTTCTCAGTGCTCCCGGAACTGAAGGAGAAGAGCGTGGAGGTGGCCCGCTCCAGACCCTTCCCTCCCCCACTTCAGAATGACTGCATCCCGGGGGAGATTCTCCAGTCTCTCACCGCCGCCACCAACGCGGGGCCCTGTCCCGAGTACCTGCTGCCGTCCAAGAAGCTGAAACCACCCCAGGTGCGTCTGTCCATGAACTGTGTTAGTGTCCAGTCCACACAGAATGGAGACACTTGCATAGGGGGCTAGGGTGCATGGGTGGAGGCCTGGTTTAACCTTCAGTACCTCATACCCACCCCTCGAATCTCCAGCACTGCTTGACATCATGGTCGGTGTAAACCCCCTCCCCACCCCACGGTTCGAGCGGACCCAGCACCGTCTCCATTTTTTGAGACTTGTTGTTACTGTGTTTGGCATATCGAATATGTCACGGGGAGCTTGCCAGGCTCTGCCGTGCGGGCGAGATACTCTCGGTAGCTTGCTGGGCTCTCCGAGAGGGGCAGAGGAATCGAACCTGGCTCGGCCAGGCTGGCTGCGTGCAAGGCAAACGCCCTACCGCTGTGCTATGCTCCAGCCCATGGCTTAAAAATTGCCAAAAAGGGGAAAAGAAGCAATTTCCCAGTTTGAAACCTAAAAGCTTGTGCATGAATGGAAAATCCCAAGGCAAAAATGCTGGACTTGGGGCCAGAATGGTAGGACATCAGGGAGGGCATTTGCCTTGCACGCGTCAATGTGGGTTCGATTCCCAGCATCCCATTGGATCCCCCGAGAACCGCCAGGAGTGATTCCTGTGTGCAGAGCCAGGAGTCAGCCCTGAGCATCGCAGGGTGTGGCCCAAAAAGCCAACAAAACAAAACAAAACAAACTGGGCTTATGTCCTTTCATGCGGCCTTATGTTATTTACCCAAATGAGGGGTGTTAAGCACCTCTTTCTCCCTGGTTTTGCAAATTCCGCTGAATTTGCAAATGCCGCAGACTCCCAGATGATGCAAACCCCACTGAAAGTCACTGTGCCAATCCCAGATGCTGCAAACCCCACTGAAGGTCCTTGCTGCAGGCCCAGAAAGATGCTGAATTCGTTGTGCTAGCGCGCCCCCTGCTGGCCACTCCCGGTTTTCGCTTTCCCCGCAGGGTATCCTGGCCCGGAAGGCAGATGCGGTCTGGCAACATCCCCTGAGAAGGACTAAACTCAAGTACTTGCTTGACCAACCCATTTCTCTCAGTGGTGCTGGAAGGTAAAAGAGGAAAACGAGGCGTGGGGGCGGGGAGGCTGTGTATGTGTTTTTTTTTTTAATTTGTGTGATTTCTGAGGAAGGGACAGGATTGGAAAAATCCATCAACAGAGTTTGTTTGTTTTGTTTTTAAATTTGTTTTAAATTTGTATATTTTTGCTTTTTGGGTCATACCCGGCGATGCACAGGGGTTACATCTGGCTCTGCACTCAGGAATCACTCCTGGCGGTGCTCGGGGGACCATATGGGATGCCAGGGATTGAACCCGGGTCGGCCAGACGCTCTCCCCGCTGTACTAAAGCTCCAGCCCCTTGGTTTGTTTTTTGTGAGTGGCTACTCCCAGCCATATTTGGGGTACCACGGAATGACTGGGAACAGTGATGCCAACAGCCTCTGGGTCAAGGATTCTTAGTTTGTCAGTGCAGGCTGACTCCTGGCTTTGTGCTCAGGGTCACTCCTGCGGGTATGGTCCAGGGGACCCCCATACAGTGCCAGGGACCGAACCCAGGTTGGCTGCATGCAAGACGGGTGTACCTGCCAACCCTGGATATTTTTGTTTGGGGGTCACACCTCGTGGTGCTCAGGGGTCATTACTTTTACCTCTGCATCCAGGAATTACTCCTGGTAGTGCTCAGTGAACTAAACGGGTTGCCGGGGATCGAACCCAGGTCAGCCATGTGCAATGCAAATGCCGTCCCGCTGTGCAGACCTATATTGTGTTACAACAGGATCTCACCCCCCACCAGCATCCTTATTTTCTCAGAGTAATTCTTGGTATCAGGGATCCGTTTTAGAGCAAAAGGGATTTTTCAGGGCAAGGAGATGACTTAAAGGGCTGAGCACTGCACTGCATGCAGAAGTCTGGAGTTCAATCCCCAGCGCCCCAGGAGCACCAGACAGAGAAGAAAATGTCTCCCATAGGGGCTGGAGCAATAGCACAGCAGGTAGGGCATTTGCCTTGCACACAACCGGCCCAGGTTCGATTCCCAGCATTTCATAGGGTCCTCCAAGCACCTCCAGGAGTAATTCCTGAATGCAGAGCCAGGAGCAACCCCTGAGCATCGCCTGAGCACTGTTAGGATAATTTCTGAGTGCATGAGCCAGGAGGAACCCCGGAGCATCGCCGGATGTGACCCAAAAAGCCATGAAAAAGAAAGAAAGAAAGAAAGAAAGAAAGAAAGAAAGAAAGAAAGAAAGAAAATAGAGGCAGGCAGGGGATGAGGGTGGAAGAAGGAAACGGGACATTGGTGGTAGAAAATGTGCACTGGTGAAGGGACGGATGTTGGAACATTATATGACTGCAACCCAATCATGGACAACTTTGTAGCTGTTTATGTCATAGTGATTCAGTTAAAAAAATTGATTAACACACATTTTGACTTTGCCCTGGAGTGATTCCAAAACAACACAAAAAGAGGAGAGACATCCAAATGTCATTAATATTAAGGGTATTGGGGGACATAGCAAGGAGGGTGCTTACCCTGCATGTGGCTGACTCAGCTTCGGTCCCCAGCATCTCATGGGGTCCCCTGAGCCCCGCCAGGAGTGACCCCTGAGCGCAGAGCCAGGACTAAGCCTGGAACACTGCTGGGTGTGCCCCCCTCAAAAAATAAAACACCTTGGGGCTGGAGCAATAGCACAGCGGGTAGGGCGTTTGCCTTGCACCTAGCAAACCCGGGTTCAATTCCCTGCATCCCTTAGGGTCCCCTGAATACCGCCAGGAGTAATTCCTGAGTGTATGAGCCAGGAGTAACCCCTGTGCATCGCCGGGTGGGACCCCAAAAGCAATAAAATAAAACACCTCCAAATTTTTAAAAGATGTAGGGTGTGGAGAAGAGAGATTTGCAAGGATGGGCCCAGCCAAATCAGCAGTGTGTGGTGTGGAGTTTTTGTTTTGTTTTGTTTTGCATTTTGGGTCACACCTGGCGATGCACAGGGGTTACTCCTGGCTCTGCACTCAGGAGTTACTCCTGGCGGTGCTCAGGGGACCATATGGGATGCTGGGAATCGAACCCGGGTCGGTCGCGTGCAAGGAAAACGCCCTACCTGCTGTGCTATCTCTCCAGCCCCCAGGTTTGTTTGTTTGTTTTTTTTTTTTGCTTTTTGGGTCACACTGGATGATGCTCAGGACTCACTCCTGGCTCTGCACTCAAGAACTACTTCTGGCAGTGCTTGGGGGACCATACGGGACGTTGGGGATCGAACCCAGGCCAGCCATGTGCAAGGCAAACGCCCTACACACTGTGCTATCGCTCCAGCCCCCGGTGTGGAGTTTTTCGAGAACACAGTTTGGGTGAGAAAGCTCCGCGCACACAGCTGAGTCAAAAGCGTCTCTCTCCTCCTCCCTAGGGATATTTCTTTTCTGTACGATGTGAAGTACGTGAAGGGGGAAGCCAGGGAGAAAACCCTGTGCCCGCCTCAGTCCCAGCACTCGCTGCAGCTGTCCGGGGGCGCCATGGTGCCCCACAAGGTACGGAAAGGGCTTGTCTCTCCTCCTCTCTGGGGCCATAGCACAGCGGGGAGGGCGCTGGCCTGGCACGCGGCCGACCCGGGTTCGATCCCCGGCATCCCATAGGGTCCCCCGAGCACTGCCAGGAGTGATTCCTGAGTGCAGAGCTAGGAGTCAGCCCTGAGCATCGCTGGGTGGTATCCAAAAATGCCCCCCCCAAAAAAAAGGCGTGCAGAGAAAAAGTCGGGGCAGGAGATAACACAGGGGAAATGTGCTTGCTTCTCGCGTGGCCCACCCAAGTTACAGCCCCTATATTCCAGACCGCCCCCTAAGCGCATGCCAGGGGTGACCCCTGAGCGCACACACAGGGGAAGTCCTGGGAATTAGCAGGTGTGGGGGAGAAAGGCAAGAAAGAAAGAAAGAAAGAAAGAAAGAAAGAAAGAAAGAAAGGAAGGAAGGAAGGAAGGAAGAAAGGGGGAGAGAGGAAAGAAAGAAAGAAAATGAAAGACAGAAAGAAAGAAAGAAAGAAAGTAGAAAGAAAGAGAAAGAGAAGGAAGAAGAAAGGACAAAGAAGAGGGAGGAGGAAGAACGAAGGAAGAGAAGAAAGAGAAGGAAGAAGGGAAGAGAAAAGAGGAATGAAAGAAAAGGAAGGGAGAAAGAGAAGAAAGAAAGGAAGAAAGAAAAAGGAAGGGAGAAAGAAGGAAGTAAGAGAAGAAAGAAGGGAGGAAGGGAGGGAAGAATAAAAGAAGGGAGGGAGAAAGAAAGGAAGGAAGAGAAGGAAGGAGAAAGGAAGGAAGGAAAGAGGGAAGGAGGGAGGGAAGGAAGGAAGGAGGGAAGGAAAGAAGAGAAGGAAGGAAGGATGGAAGGAAGGAGAAAAGGGAGGGTGGGAGGGAGGGAAGGAAGGAAGAGAAGGAAGGAGGGAGGGAAGAAAGGAAGGTGGAAGGAAGGAAGGAGAAGAAAGAAAAAGAAAGGAGGAGAGAGAGGAGAAAGTGGGCGGAGGTCCCTTCCGAGAGGCTCCCATCGGGGCAGCCCGTTTTCCTCGGCTCCCGTTCTCATCCTTGCTTCCTTCTCCCCTTGCAGCCCAGGAGGCTGACGGACACTCTGGTCCCTGAAGAATTCCACATCGTGTCCAGCACCGGCGTCTCGGGGCTGGAGTGTTACGATGAGTGAGTCCCGCAGGCCCCGTCTGAGCCGGAGCGAAGTCGTCTCCTGCCGCCTCCCTGAAAATGGGGTGGGGTGGGGGGGCTCTTGGCCGCCTGTCTTGGTAGTACAACTGGGAAAGGGCTCCCGGTGAATGAAAGAGTCTCACCTAAAGGAATAATTGTCATTTATAATTTAATCTTTTTTATTCGTTAGTCCGCCTGCATGGCAGATCCCGCAAGCTCCCTGTGGTGTATTTGATGTGCCAAAAACAGTCACAATAACGGGCCTCATTCCCCTGACCCTGAAAGAGCCCCCAGTATGGCACCGTTGGGAAGGACGAGTAAGGAGAGGCTGCGAAAATCTCAGGGCTGGGACGAATGATGACGTTACTGGCGCCCGCTAGAGTAAATCGATAAACAACGGGATGACAGTGATACAGTGACTCTTTAATTAAAAAAAAATTATTTTTGTTTCTTTTTGGGTCCCACCTGGCGATGCTCAGGGCTGACTCCTGGCTCTGCACTCAGGAATCACTCCTGGCGGCGCTCGGGGAACCCTATGGGATGTTGGGAATCGAACCCAGGTTGGCCTCTTGCCAGGCAAATGCCCTCCCTGCTGTACCCTTTTTTTTTTTTTTTGGCTTTTTGGGTCGTACCCAGCGATGCTCCAGGCTGACTCCTGACTCTGCGCTCAGGAATCACTCCTGGTGATGCTTGGGGGGACCCTATGGGATGCCAGGATCGAACCCGGGTCAAACGCCCTCCCCGCTGGACTATCGCTCTGGCATGAGTGGGCCTTTTAGGTCGCCCCCAGGCCTCTCCGTTCCCCTGTTTCTTGGGCCTGGGCATGCGATGAAACAGACTTTGCTCCTGGTAACCTGCATTCTCTTTCCTTCCAGCAAATACACCACGCTGCTCACTGACAGTGAAAACCGGCTCCTGCTTTTTCCATCCATGTAAGTGCAGACGTTGTAAATTTTTTTTTGGGGGGGGGAACCATATGGGGTGTCAGGGATCGAACCCAGGTCAGCCACATGCAAGGCCAGCGCTCCACCCACTATCGCTCCAGCAGCCCCTCAAAAAAAAAAAACTTTTGTTGTTGTTTTTTATTTTTGGCAGTGATTAGGGCTGACTCCTGGCACTGTGCTCGGGGATCACTCCTGGCGGGGCTCAGGGGCTTGCTGGGGATCGAACCCGGGTCAGCCTCTGTGCTGTCTCTCCACTTCCCCCCCCCCCCCCGAGCAATTTCTCCGTGTATCTGACTCTCTTCGCTGCTTGAGGAGGTGCTAGGGGGCCCCTATGGGATGCTGGGGATCGAACCCGGGTCGGCCCCGGGTGAGGGGGGTCCTAAGCCTCCGTCCCCCTGCAGGAAGCCCAATAAAAGGATCGAGGTGGCTCAGCTGAAGAGCGTGATGGAGACGTTACTGGAGCGGGCGGGCATCGAGGAACAGGAGTACAAGGCGCCCACCAAGGTGAGGGCAGCTCGGCCGGGCCTGGGGAGAGGGCAGCCTCAGTTTCCGCGTCTGTAGACTGGGGATGAGGGGAGGCGTGGTGTTGTGAGAAGTCTCGCTCAGTCGGAGATGCAGAGACAAGTCAGGCGAGAGGAATATAGAAGCACACGGAGGACCGCGGCTCTCTCTGGCGTGTGGCGACGTAGAGCTCCTCGTGGCCTCTCATTTTTGTAGTTGTTGGCTTTTTGGGTCCCACCCGGCGATGCTCAGGGCTGCCTCCTGGCTCTGCACTCAGGAATCACCCCTGACGGTGCTCGGGGGACCCTAGGGGATGCCGGGGATCGAACCCGGGTTGGCCGCGTGCCAGGCCAACGCTCTCCCCACTGGGCTATTGCTCCAGCCTGAACATCTTAACTTGCGTGCTATTTCTCCAACCTAAAACCAACCTTCCTTCCTTCCTTCCTTCCTTCCTTCCTTCCTTCCTTCCTTCTTTCTCCTTCCTTCCTTCCTTCCTTCTTTCTCCTTCCTTCCTTCCTTCCCTCCTTCCTTCCTTCCTTCCTTCCTTCCTTCCTTCTCCTTCCTTCCTTCCTTCCTTCCTTCCCTCCCTCCTTCCTTCCTTCCTTCCTTCCTTCCTTCCTTCCTTCCTTCCTTCTTTCTCCTTCCTTCCTTCCTTCCTTCTTTCTCCTTCCTTCCTTCCTTCCTTCCTTCCTTCCTTCCTTCCTTCCCTCCCTCCCTCCCTCCCTCCCTCCCTCCCTCCCTCCTTCCTTCCTTCCTTCCTTCCTTCCTTCCTTTCTTCCTTCTCCTTCCCCTTCCTTCCTTCTCCTTCCCCTTCCTTCCTTCCTTCCTTCTTTCTCCTTCCTTCCTTCCTTCCTTCCTTCCTTCCTTCCTTCCTTCCTTTCTTCCTTCCTTCCTTTCTTCCTTCCTTCTCCTTCCCCTTCCTTCCTTCCTTCCTTCCTTCCTTCCTTCCTTCTCCTTCTCCTTCCTTCCTTCCTTCCTTCCTTCCTTCCTTCCTTCCTTCTCCTTCCTTCCTTCCTTCCTTCCTTCCTTCCTTCCTTCCTTCCTTCCTTCCTTTCCTCCCTCCCTCCCTCCCTCCCTTCCTTCCTTCCTTCCTCCCTCCCTCCCTCCCTTCCTTCCTTCTCCTTCCTTCCTTCCTTCCTTCCTTCCTTCCTTCCTTCCTTCCTTCCTCCCTCCCTCCCTCCCTCCCTCCCTCCCTCCCTTCCTTCCTTCCTTCCTTCCTTCCTGTTTTTGAGTCCCACCCGGCGATGCTCAGGGCTGACTCCTGGCTCTGCATTCAGGAATCTCTCCTGGCAGTGCTCGGGGGAACCAAGGATATACCGGGGATCGAAAACGGATCGGAAACGTGCAAGGCAAACGCCCTCCCCGCTGTGCCATCCCTCCACTCCCTTTCTTAGCACTTCAGAGGGTCCCAAATTTATCTGGTTCACTGCCCTCATTTCAGGGGGGAAAAATCAAAATCCTCGCACCCCACTAAAATCCACCTTCTTTCAGCGACCTTGCAGACAGCGCCCCCAGTGGCACCTGCGGGTACTACATCCCCCATCCGCACCACGCCCCCAGACCTGGCAGGGACCCTCTGTAAAAGCCGAAGGGTCCTTTGCTTCCCCCCCGCGCCTTGAGGTTTGATTGTGAGTGGGTGGGCACGGTTTCCTGGCACCTCGCCCCTTGCCTTGCCTTTCCTGGCCTGTTGGCGCACTGGGCGCTGACCTCTGGGCGCTGACCCTTGGTTACTGACCCCTGGGTGCTGATCTCTGGGCGCTGACCCTTGGGTGCTGACCCTTGGGCGCTGATCCCTGAGCGCTGACCTCCCTGGCGCTGACTCTTGGGCGCTGACCCTTGGGCGCTGACCCCTGGGCCCTGATCCTTGGGCGCTGGCCCTTGGGCGCTGATCCTTAAGCGCTGACCCTTGGGCACTGACCCTTGGGCGCCGACGCCCCTGGCACTGACCCTTGGGCGCTGACCCTTGGGCGCCAACCTCCCTGCACTGACCCTTGGGCACTGGCCCTTGGGAGCTGACCCCTGGGCGCTGACCCTTGGTTACTGACTCCTGGGTGCTGATCCCTGAGCGCTGACCCTTGGGTGCTGTCCCTTGGACGCTGATCCTTAAGCGCTGACCCTTGGGCGCTGACCTTCCTGATACTGACCCTTTGGCGTTGACCCTTGGGAGCTGACCCCTGGGCCCTGACCCTTGGGCGCTGACCTTTGGGCGCTGACCCTTGGGCACCGACCCTTGGGCGCTGACCCCTGGGCACTGACCATTGGGCACTGACCATTGGGCACTGACCTGGGCGCTGAACCCCTGGCGCTGGCTCCCCAGCGCTGATCCCTGAGCTCTGACCCTTGAGCGCTGACCCCTGGGCACTGACCCTTGAGCGCTGACCCCTGGGCACTGACCCTTGGGCGCTGACCTAGGCGCTGACCCCATGGCGCTGGCCTCCCAGCGCTGGCCCCTGAGCACTGATCCTTGGGCGCTGACTCCTGGGCGCTGATCTTTGAGAGCTGACCCCTGAGCACTGACCCTTGAGTGCTGACCCCTGGGCACTGACCCTTGGGCGCTGACCCCCTGGTGCTGGCCCCCCAGCGCTGACCTCTGAGCGCTGCCCCTTGGGTGCTGACTCCTGGGCGCTGATCCTTGAGTGCTGACCTCTGAGCACTGATCCTTGAGCGCTGACCCCTGAGCACTGAGCCTTGGGCGCTGACCCCCCCCAGTGCTGACCCTTGGGTGCTGACCGGTCCCCCCTCCCAGCACTGACCCTCTCTCCCACTCCACAGATGCACAGCCTACTCCATCTGCTTCGGAAGGAGCAAACGGTTTACAACACCGTGTTCCACGAGCTCATCCGGCAGGTCAGCGTGGACTGTGCTGACCGCGGAGAGCTGCTGGCCAAGATCAGGTGAGGCGGCTCTCAGCATCAGGGCGCCGGGAGGTGGCCACGAGCCAGAGCCCCGGGTTCGAACCTGGCCCCCCCCCAACCCATACCCCCCCATACACACTCTGGCGTTGGTCCCTGAACCAGGTGTAGCCCCTAACCATTGCCCAATTGTATCCCCACCCCGCAAAAAAGAAAAAAAAAAGGGGCTGGAGCCATAGGGAGGGCATTTGCCTTGCACGCAGCAGACCCGGGTTCGATTCCCAGCATCCCATAGGGTCCCCCGAGCACCGCCAGGAGTAATTCCTGAGTGCATGAGCCAGGAGGAACCCCTGAGCATCGCTGGGTGTGACCCAAAAAGCAAAAAAAAAAAAAAAAAAAAAAAAAGAAGAAAAGAAAAAAGATTAAAAAAAAAACAGTCACCAAAGGGCCAGATTGCTGGAAGGCATACAGTCTTGCATGTGGCCCGCCCAGGTTCCTTCTTTTTTTAATTTTATTTTATTTATTTATTTTTTTTGCTTTTTGGGCCACACCTGGCGATGCTCAGGGCTGACTTCCAGCTCTGCACTCAGGAATTACTCCTGGCGGTGCTCAGGGGACCCTGTGGGATGCTGGGGATCGAACCCAGGTCAGCTACGTGCAAGGCAAACGCCCTCCCCGCTGTGCTATCACTCTATCCCCCCGCCCCCCGAGTTCATTCTATGCCACCCCAGAGGGTCCCCCAAGCCTTGCCAGGAGTAAGCCCTGAGCACTGCCGGGTGTAGCTCCGTCCCAACCTCAAACAAAACACAGCCACTAAAAGAATGAAGTTCCTCTCTGTCTTGCGTGTGGCAACACCACAAAAGCACGCTTGTGTAGTCTATGGGCAGTGAAGAGTGTCTAGATGGGGCTGGAGTGATAGCACAGCGGGTAGGGCGTTTGCTTGCACGCGGCCGACCTGGGTTCGATTCTCAGTATCCCATAGGGTCCCCTGAGCACCGCCAGGAGTAATTCCTGAGTGCAGAGCCAGGAGGAACCCCTGGGCATCGCCAGGTGTGACCCAAAAAGCGAAAGCAAAAAAAAAAGTGTCTAGGGTATCTCTGGTATTTTCTGTAGGAAAATATAACACAGAGAACAGTGATAAGACACTGGAGATATATGATCCCCTGAGCACTGCCAGGAGTAATTCCTGAGTGCAGAGCCAGGAGTAATCCCTGTGCATTGCTGGGTGTGACACCCCCCCCAAAAAGTAAAAAAAAAAAGACAGTTAAGAGAGCACATGCCTTGCAGGTGGCCGACCTGGTTCAGTCCCCGACACCACATTTGGACCTCTGAGCCCCTGGGGCTCACCAGGAGTGATCTCTGAGCATGGAACTAGGAGTAAGCCCTGACCACTACCGGGTGTGCCCCTCCAAATAATAAAATGAAAATGTGAAAAAAAATATAATGCAATAGCTAGAAATTCCTTAAGAGGATTTCTGTGGGGGATGTCTGCACCATTTTCTGCTTTTTTTGGCTTTGGGAAGCATTGCCACCTTCGTGACAATTGTCTTCCAGTCTGTGAAAATGGGATTTCTTTCCGTTTATTTAGGTCTTCTGTTTTTCAGTGATGTTTTTGCGGGTTTCACCGTCCAACTCTTGCTTTATCTTATTTCATTTTAAATTAGTCATTCTTTTTGATGCCCTTGTAAATAAAATGTTTTCTTTGGTTCCTTTTTTGTTTTTAAATTTTGGGCCACAGCCACTGGTGCTCAGGGCTGACTCCTGGCTCTGTGCTCAGGGCTAACTTCTGGCTCTGTGCTCAGGGCTGACTTCTGGCTCTGTGCTCAGGGCTGACTCCTGGCTCTGTACTCAGGGCTGACTCCTGGCTCTGTGCTCAGGGCTGACTCCTGGCTCTGTGCTCAGGGCTGACTCCTGGCTCTGTGCTCAGGGCTCACTCCTGATTCTGTGCTTACGGATGTCTCCTGACTCTGCTCAGGGCTGACTCCTGGCTCTGTGCTCAGGGCTCACTCCTGATTCTGTGCTTACGGATGTCTCCTGACTCTGCTCAGGGCTCACTCCTGATTCTGTGCTTACGGATGTCTCCTGACTCTGCTCAGGGCTGACTCCTGGCTCTGTGCTCAGGGCTCACTCCTGATTCTGTGCTTACGGATGTCTCCTGACTCTGCTCAGGGCTGACTCCTGGCTCTGTGCTCAGGGCTGACTCCTGGCTCTGTGCTCAGGGCTCACTCCTGATTCTGTGCTTACGGATGTCTCCTGGCTCTGTGCTCAGGGCTGACTCCTGGCTCTGTGCTCAGGGTTCACTCCTGATTCTGTGCTTACGGATGTCTCCTGACTCTGCTCAGGGCTGACTCCTGACTCTGTGCTCAGGGCTGACTCCTGGCTCTGTGCTCAGGACTGACTCCTGGCTCTGTGCTCAGGACTCATTCCCGGTTCTGTGGTCAGGGCTGACTCCTGGCTCTGTGCTCAGGGATCACTCCTGGCTCTGTGCTCAGGGATCCTTCCAAGCAGAGCTCAGGGGACCCTATGGGGTGCTGGGGATCGACAGTGTATAAGTCAAGCACCCTCCCAATGGCCCAATCTCTCCAGCCCCTGTTTTCTTCATTTCTTTCTGGATGCCTCCATTCGGGACTCCGTGTGAAATGCCCAGGGCTGGCCCTTGTCTAAGGGCAGCGGGAGGCTCCGGTCACTGTCCCTCCCCTCTGCACTCTCACCCTTTGTGTCTGTCTCTTTTTGGGATCCTGCTTGCCTCACCACCCCCTGCCTTGGTTTCTCTCCCCGCGTGCCTGAGGCAGAGAGCGCTACGTCCAGATGCTGGACCAGGTGGCCCGGCAGATGGTGGACTTCTACAAGGACCTGGTCAGCCAGCGCATGATGGACCAGCGCATCTTAGAGGAACTGCACAACTTCAAGAACGTCATTGAGGAGCTGACCAGGTCAGAGCGGGAGGCCCCGGCTGCCCCCTCGGATGTCGGGAATGGTGTGAGGGGAGGGTCCCAGGGCGGAAGAGACAGGACATCAGGGACAGCGCTTGTCTCGCCACGGGGCTGATCCTGGCTCTATTCCCAGCATCACGTCCCGTCCCCGGAGCACCACCAGGGAGCACTCCTGAGCATAGAGCCAAACCCACCCTTCCACACCCGAAAAGCAAAATACACTCGGCGAAGAGTCTTTTCTTGTTGTTGTTTTGGGGGGCCCCACCTGACAGTGCTCAGGGGTTCCTCCTGGCTCTGCGCTCAGGAATCATTCCTGGCAGCATTCAGGGGACCGTAAGGGATGCCGGGGATCGAACCCGGGTTGGGCTGTGCACAAGGCAAGCGCCTTACCCACTGTACTTTGGCTCCGGATCTGATTTATTTATTTATTTATTGTTGTTTGGGGGATCACATCTGGCGGTGCCCAGGGCATTCGCCTCACTCATGATTTGATTTATTTATTTCTTTAATTTTTTTGCTTTTTGGGTCACACCCAATGATGCTCAGGGGTTCTTCCTGGCTCTGCACTCAGGAATCACTCCTGGTGGTGCTCAGGGGACCATATGGGATGCTGGGAATCGAACCTGGGTTGGCCACATGCAAGGCAAACACCCTACCCACTGTGCTATCGCTCCAGCCCCAGGTTTTATTTATTTATCTATTTAGTTATGCTTTTTGGGTCACACCCAGGACAATGCTCAGGGCTAACTCCTGGCTCTGCACTCAGGAATCACTCCTGGCGGTGCTCAGGGGACCCTAGGGGATGCTGGGGATCGAACCCGGTTCTGCCACGTGCAAGGGAAACACCCTCCCCCGCCACCCCCTACCCCTGCCCAAACTTTGGTTTATAAAGTTAGACAATCTCGGATGAGAGTCACTATAAAAAAGGTTGTGGACAGATTTGATTTCTGGGGAAGGAACTTTCTGGAAACTTTGCCCACTGAGTGCTTGTGCTCCTTTGCTGGCTGTCCCTCAGGGAGCTGTGTCTGGTTCAGGAACAGGACATAAAGTTGACCCTGGAAGCCCACCGGGCCCACAAGGACTTGGCCACGGCCCTTCTGGAAGCCGAGAAGAACGCCAGGTGAGTCACCGTGAGTCCGCTCCCTGGCTCTCTTCATGCCCCACAGACTAAGATATTTATTTATTTATCTATTTATAATTTATTTTATTATTTCTGTTGCTTTTTGGGTCACACCCGGCACTGCACAGGGGTTCCTCCTGCCTCTGCACTCAGGGATCACTCCTGGCAGTGCTCAGGGGACCCTATGAGATGCCGGGGATTGAACCCGAGTCAGCTGCATGCCAGGAAAACGCCCTCCCCGCTGTGCTATTGCTTCAGCCCTTCTTTTTTTCTTTCTGTCTTTAATATTTATTATTATTTTTGTGTGTCTGTGAGGCTGGGGGTCCTGGATGGCTTTTAAATTCTTTTCCTGGGGGTACTGAGTTTCAGTACTCCTGAATGCCTCCCGGTCCCTCCTCCCCCTGAAGCCCCCTTCACCTCCAGCCTCCTCAGATGGGCTCACCGTGGGCGTGGCCGGACGCTTGCAGACTTTGCACAAAACTCTCGGAAGGGGCAGAGGAGGAGGACGAGGAGGAGGATGAGGGTGATGGTCTTGGTTTTTGTTTTCGCTTTTTGGACCACACCTAGCTGTGCTCAGTGGGCACACCCCATGGTGTTTGGGGGGATGGGCGGGCTGGGAATGAACCCCAAGATTCCCCACTCAGGACTGGAGTGATAGTACAGCAGGTAGGGCATTTAATTTGCACGCGGCCGACCTGGGTTCGATTCCCAGGATTCCATAGGGCCCCCCCAAGCACTGCCAGGAGTAATTCCTGAGTGTAAAGCCAGGAATAACCCCTGTGCATCACCAGGGGTGAACCCAAAAAGAAAAAAAATTCCCCACGCCCCCCACAACCTAAGCCCGGATTTCCGCCCCCCACCCCCCAGCACCGTTGTTGCTCCAGCCCGATGTCACAAGTCAAGTGTGTCGTTGCTATTCGGGGACCCAAACTGAGTGACATTCCTGGGGACCAGGACTGTTCCCTGCAGGACTGGGGGGGTGCGGTGCCGGGTTGGGGGAACCCCACATCTTTCATGTGTTCAGGCCTTGCTGCACCCTGGGGACCGTGCCCTGAGCCCAGCAGGCTGTTGGGGTCCCCCAACGTGTCTGTTTCTGAGTCGCTGTAGAATCGTCGAAGACTACCACGAACTGTACTCAATGCAGAGACAGAGGCTGGAGAACTGCATCAAAGACCTGATGTCGGAGAGGGACACGTGGAGCATGGCCGCCTACGACTTGGCCCTCAAGGTCAGCGCTGGGGAGCTCCTCCCCCGAGGCTGCTCAGACAGTCCAAGCCGAGAGCCGTCATTCTGCTGGTTTTGTTTCCGTTTGGTCTCTGAGCCCCACCTGGTGATGCTCGGGGCTTGCTCCTGACTCAGTGCTCGGGAATCTCACCTGTCAGGGCTCAGTGGGGTTCGGGGCATGCCGGGCCTGAAGCCTGGTCAACTGTGTGCAAGGCCAGTGCCCTTCCAGCTTCCCAGATGTGCAGTCCCAAATCTTCAGTTGTCCGGAAATGTGTAAAAATACTCCATGTTATTTTTCTTTCGTTTTTTCTTTTCTTTCTTTATTATTATTTATTTTTTTTGGCTTTTTGGATCCCACCTGGCGATGCTCAGGGCTGACTCCTGGCTCTGCACTCAGGGATCACTCCTAGCAGTGCTCGGGGGACCCTATGGGATGCTGGGGATCGAACCCGGGTCCGCCGCGTACCAGGCAAACGCCCTCCCTGCTGTGCTCTTCTCTTGCCCCAGGATTGAAGTTTTGTCCCTGGCTTAAAGATGAAGTTGAGGTTGAGCGAAAAATTCAATGAAAGGTGCAGGAGCAATAATCCAACGGGGAGGGCCTGGCAGGCAGCCGACCTGGGTTTGATCCCCGTCATCCCTTAGGGTCCCCTGAGCACCGCCAGGAGTGATTCCTGAGTGCAGAGCCAGGAGCCAGCCTTGAGCATCGCTGGGTGTGGCCCAAAAAGACCAAAAGAAAAAAAGAAAAAAGAAAAAGAAAACAGTTCGATGAAAATGTGCCGTTGGTTTAGGTATAGTCCAGTCCTTTTTTTTTTTCTTTTAACTAGTTAATTTCAAGAAATCACATCGTATTGGCTAAGACGCTCTACCTGCATGAGAAAAGCTGGCACCAGCATGCGAAACACTTCATCATCCTCTTGTGCAGCCAGGTACGACTCCCCAGAGGGGCTCTGAGGGGCTCTGAGGGGCTCTGAGGCCCTTCCAGGTCTGTTTAGTTTAGTTTTTTTTTTCTTTTTGGGTCCCACCCGGCGATGCTCAGGGCTGACTCCCGGCTCTGCACTCAGGGATCACTCCTGGCAGTGCTCAGGGGAACCATATGGGATGCTGGGAATTGAACCCAGGTCGGCCGCATGCAAGGCAAATGCCCTACCTGCTATCCTATTGCTGGGGCCACAAACCCACTATTTTTTTTTTTTTTTTGCTTTTTGGGTCACACCCAGCAATGCTCAGGGCTGACTCCTGGCTTTGCACTCAGGAATCACTCCTGGAAGTACTCGGGACCATATAGGATGCCGGGGATCAAACCCGGGTCAGCCGTGTGCCAGGCCAATGCCCTATCTGCTGTGCTATTGCCCAGGTCCCTGGTTCATCACTCTTGATTGATTGATTGATTGATTGATTGATTGACTTTTGGGTCCCACCCGGCGATGCTCAGGGCTGACTCCCAGCTCTGCACTCAGGGATCACTCCTGGCGGTGCTCGGGGGACCCTAAGGGATGCCGGGGATGGAACCCGGGTCGGCCTTGTGCCAGGCAAGCGTCCTCCCCGCTGCCCTCTTGCTCTGGCCCCGACTCCGGGGATGTCAGTGAGCGATTCGCAACCCCAAGACGTGCAGCTGGGACTCAGTTTCCTGCTGTCCCCAGGACACCTCGGACCTCGCGCTGCTGCAGAAGCTGACCGGGAGCTGGCGGACCTCGGCCCGGAAGTTCAAGCAGGAGATAGAGCAGGAGGAGGAAGGCACCAAGCACAGGATGGAGGACATGCGGGCCAGCCTGGAGCGCTGGCGGGACACGCTCCAGTCCATGTGCGCGCGGTGGAGGCCGGCCGGGTCACTGCACGCTCAGCGGCCCTTGGGGTGTCGAGGGCCGGGGATGCTCCGGGCCCGCAGTGCGGGGGAGGCTCAGGGCATCCCGTGTGGAGCCGGGCACAGACCAGGGTCCACTGCGGGCAAGTGGCCTCTCGCTGGACTCTCGCTCCAGCTTCCTCCCCCTCCCCCTTCCTCCCGCCTCCTCCCTTCTTCCTTCCTGCTCTCCCTCCTTCCTTCTTTCCTTCCCTTTTTTCCTTCCTTTCCTGCGTCCTTCCTTCCTACTCTTTCTTTCTTCTTTCCTTCTTTTCTTCCTTCTTTCCTTCTCTTCCTTTTCTCCTTCCTTTCTTTTCTTCCTTCCTTCTCTCCCTTCCTTCCTTTCTTTTCTTTTTTCCTTCTTTTCTTCCTTCTTTCCTTCCTTCCTTCCTTCCTTTCTTTTCTTCCTTCCTTTCTTTTCTTTCTTTCTCCCTCCCTCCCTCCCTCCCTCCCTCCCTCCCTCCCTTCCTTCCTTCCTTCCTTCCTTCCTTCCTTCCTTCCTTCCTTCTCCTTTCTTCCTTCCTTCCTTCCTTCTCCTTCCTTCCTTCCTTCCTTCCTTCCTTCCTTCCTTCCTTCCTTCCTTCTCCTTTCTTCCTTCCTTCCTTCCCTCCCTCCTTGCTCTTTGGGTCACACCCAGTGATGCACAGCCAGGCTCTCAGGCTCTCTCTCCTTCCTTCTTTCCTTCCTTCCTTCCTTCTCCTTTCTTCCTTCCTTCCTTCTCCTTCCTTCCTTCCTTCCTTCCTTCCTTCCTTCCTTCCTTCCTTCCTTCCCTCCCTCCTTGCTCTTTGGGTCACACCCAGTGAGGCACAGCCAGGCTCTCAGGCTCTCTCTCCTTCCTTCTTTCCTTCCTTCCTTCCTTCCTTCCTTCCTTCCTTCCTTCTCCTTCCTTCCTTCCTTCCTTCTTTCTTTCTTCCTCCCTCCCTCCCTCCCTTCCTTCCTTTTCCTTCCTTCCTTCCCTCCTTCCTCCCTCCCTTCCCTCTTTTCTTCCTTCCTCCTTCCTTCCTTCCTTCTCTCCCTTCCTTCCTTTCTTTTCTTTTTTCCCTTTTCTTCCTTCTTTCCTTCCTTCCTTCCTTCCTTTCTTTTCTTCCTTCCTTTCTTTTCTTTCTTTCTCCCTCCCTCCGTCCCTCCCTCCCTCCCTCCGTCCCTCCCTTCCTTCCTTCCTTCCTTCCTTCCTTCCTTCCTTCCTTCCTTCCTTCTCCTTTCTTCCTTCCTTCCTTCTCCTTCCTTCCTTCCTTCCTTCCTTCTCCTTTCTTCCTTCCTTCCTTCTCCTTCCTTCCTTCCTTCCTTCCTTCTCCTTCCTTCCTTCCTTCCTTCCTTCCTTCCTTCCCTCCTTCCTCCCTCCCTTCCCTCTTTTCTTCCTTCCTCCTTCCTTCTCTCCCTTCCTTCCTTTCTTTTCTTTTTTTCCTTCTTTTCTTCCTTCTTTCCTTCCTTCCTTCCTTCCTTCCTTTCTTTTCTTCCTTCCTTTCTTTTCTTTCTTTCTCCCTCCCTCCGTCCCTCCCTCCCTCCCTCCGTCCCTCCCTCCCTTCCTTCCTTCCTTCCTTCCTTCCTTCCTTCCTTCCTTCCTTCTCCTTTCTTCCTTCCTTCCTTCTCCTTCCTTCCTTCCTTCTCCTTTCTTCCTTCCTTCCTTCTCCTTCCTTCCTTCCTTCCCTCCCTCCTTGCTCTTTGGGTCACACCCAGTGATGCACAGCCAGGCTCTCAGGCTCTCTCTCCTTCCTTCCTTCCTTCCTTCCTTCCTTCCTTCCTTCCTTCCTTCCTTCCTTCCCTCCTTCCTTCCTTCCTTCCTTCTCCTTCCCTCCTTCCTTCCCAACCATCTTCCTTCCTTCCTTCCTTCCTTCCTTCCTTCCTTCCTTCCTTCCTTCCTTCCTCCCTCCCTCCCTCCCTCCCTCCTCTCTTATTCTCTCTCCCTCCCACTCACACTCTGGTCAGTGCTCAGGGGCTTCTCCTGGCATTGCTTTGGGGGTCCATGTACGTTGCGGGGTGGGTAGTGCCAGGCTGGGCTCACCCAGGCCCCCCTATGGGGCAGGACACGTGCGCTCCCATTAAGCCACAGCCCTGGCCCGCGAGACCACCCATCTTTATGGGGGGGTAGGATGTCCTCTTGGCAGTGCTGGGGGGCCCAGGACCACTCTGATACTGACACAGCCGGCTGGTGGTGCTGCCAGGGTTCGAGTATGTGGTGCTGCTCTGGTTTCCCCAGACTCTGACCGTACCGGGGGCACTGGGGGGTGCTGGGGGTCTCCAGGGGTGATGTCCAGGGGGTCTCACAGGATGTACACTCCAGTATGTGCCCGTGGCCCCGTGTTACTTCCTGCCCAGCATATAACCCGTGATCCTGCCCCCACCCAAGGGTACGCATCTGAGTTGGGGGCTTGTCCACTAAAGAGGGGGCCGGCCCCGCTGAGGAGAAGCTGCCAACAGGTGCTGGCCGCATTCCGAGACCTTCCTCTCGCTCTTCTTCCTGCAGTCTAAACGAAGGTTTGGTCCCCGACAAGCAAGACTTCCTCCTGTCAATCACGGAGGACTTCAAGACATGGCAGAAGGTGAGCCCAGGGAAAGAAGGACCCCTCCCCCGGCCATGGAAAACCTGGCCGCTCCCGCCCCCAAGTGGGTCATGTCCCATTCTTCAAAAAATGCTCCTGGAAGAAGGGCTGGAGCCATAGCACAGTGGGGAGGGTGTTTGCCTGGCACCTGACCGACCCGGGTTCGACCCCTGACATCCCATAGGGTCCCTCGAGCACCGCCAGGAGTGATCCCTGAGTACAGAGCCAGGAAAAACCCCTGAGCATCGCCGGGCGTGACTCAAAAAAGCCAAAGATAAATAAGATAAAGAGCCCGGGCAGAACCATACCACAGCAGGGAGGGAATTTGCCTTCATACGGTCGACGCGGGTTTGATACCCGGCATCCCATAGGGTTCCCCGAGCACCACCAGGAGTGATCCCTGAGCACCGTTGGGTGTGGCCTACAAACAAAAACCTTTACACAAATAGTCGGGAGACAGTTCAGTGGGCTGGAATGCAGTCTTGGTATAAGGAGCCCCAGCAAGTAGCCTGCAAACAAAATCCAAACCCCTCCACCCCCTAATAACAATAACAACAACAGCAACAATAATCACTGTATCACTGTCATCCCGTTGTTCATCGATTTACTCGAGTGGGCTCCAGTAACATCTCCATTCATCCCAGCCCTGAGATTTTATTTTATTTTTTAAAATTTTTATTAGTGGGGCTGGAGAGATAGCACTGCAGGTAGGGCGTTTGCCTTGCACGCGGCCGACCCGGCTTCGATTCCCAGCATCCCATAGGGTCCCCTGAGCACCGCCAGGAGTAACTCCTGAGTGCAGAGCCAGGAGGAACCCCTGTGCATCGCCGGGTGTGACCCAAAAGGCAAAAAAAATTTTATTAGTGAAACACCATGAGGTACAGTTGTAGACTTACAAGTTTTTGTGCTTGGGTTTCAATTATACAATGATTGAGTACCCATCCCTCCACCAGTGCCCATTTCCCACCACCACGGGTCCCAGTATCCCTCCCACCCCCCATCCCCCCATCCCACCCTGCCTCTGTGGCAGGGCATTCCCTTTTGTTCTCTTTCTCCTTTTGGGTGCTGTGGTTTGCAAAAGAGGCCTGAGTCCAGCCCTGAGATTTTATCAGCCTCTCCTTACTCGTCTTTCCCAAAGCTGCTGTATTAGAGGCTCTTTCGGGGTCAGGAGAATAAGACCTGTTATTGTTACTGGTTTTGGTATCTCAAATATGCCACAGGGAGCTTGCCAGGCTCTGCCATTCAGGCGGGATACTCTCGGTAGCTTGCCGGGCTCTCTGAGAGGGAGGGAGTTTTACAGGTGCTCCCAGTCTACAGAATGTCAGCTTTTGGTCAACTGGCATGTTGTGCGGGAGCTTTGTTTTATAGTCTCTGGGATTTTGGATCTTGGCTGTTGATGAGATTACATGGCGCTGGGGGCAGTTTGTGGGTGTGGCTGCCAAGCTACTGGAAACCTGGGGGTCTGGGGGGAGGAGGCCCAGTCCTGATCTGAGCGGGCTTGGAGATCTCAGCCCTGGGTCCCGCACACCTGAGTTCCTCTGCCGGTTCCTTCATGCGTGAGGCTCGTGCGAGCTTGTGGAGAGTGGCCTTGAGCATGGCTGTGGCTGGGTTCTGGAGGTTTTTGGCTCCCGGGGCTCTGTTTGGGGCGGGGAGGGAGACCCAACCCAGCCCCCTCTAAGGGGCCCCGGTGAAGACAGTCGGCACAGGGGTAGGAGATTCTGCTAATAATGCTAATAATGATAATAACAATAATAATAATAATGGGCTGGAGTGATAGAACATAGGGTGGAGCATTTGCCTTGCATGCGGCCAACCTGGCTGACCCGAGTTCGATTCCTCTGCTCCTCTTGGAGAGCCCGGCAAGCTACCAAGAGTATTCCGCCCACACGGCAGAGCCTGGCAAGCTCCCCGTGACGTAATCCATATGCCAAACACAGTAACAACAAGTCTCACAATGTTACTGGGCCCGCTCGAGCAAATCGATGAACAATGGGAGGACAGTGACAGTGACGATAATAATAATAGTAATCACGATCACGATCATCCTGTTGTTCGTCAATTTCCTCGAGCAGGCACCAGTAACGTCTCCTTCTTCCTAGCCCTGAGATTTTAAAAGAGCCATTTCTATGCTCTTTCAGAATTAGGAGAATGAGACCCATCATTGTTACTGGTATTTGGCATATCGAGTATGACACGGGAAATTTGCCAGACTCTGCCGTGCGGGCAGGATACTTTTGGTAGCCTGCCAGGTTCTCCAAAGGAAAAATAAGACAGTAAGATGCCGCGCGGCTGCAAACGTGGCCACGCGCTTCTGGCAGCTGGGTTTTATAGTCTCTGCGTCTTGGCCATTGATGGGACCAATCTGGCGCTGTCGGCAGCTGGTGGGTGTGACGCCTACCTACTGGAAGATGGGGGGTCTGGGTGGGGAAGACCCAGTCCCAATCCGAGTAGGCTTGAAGACCTCAGACCCGGGACCCGCATGCCTGGGTTCCTCTGCCAGTTCTTTCATGCATGAGGCCCATCCGGACGTGTTATTATTATTATTATTATAACAACGGGCTGGAGCGATAGCACAGCGGGTAGGGCGTTCGCCTTACAAGCGGCCAACATGGCCGACCCGAGTTCGATTCCTCCGCCCCTCTCGGAGAGCCCGGCAAGCTACCGAGAGTATTGGATATGCCAGACACAGTAACAACAAAGTCTCCAATGGAGACGTTACTGGGCCCGCTCGAGCAAATCGACGATCAACGGGAGGGCCTTTTATTATAACAACAACAATAATAATAATAAATAGCATATAGTTCCAAGATGCTCAGGGCCTGGGAGGATGTGGACCGTCTCTCCGCAGGTGCTATTCGACTTGAAAAACAGCCTCTCGGGGGAGTCACTGGCCTCCAAGTACGACTCGCTGAGGATCATCCGGCACGTGGAGGACAACTGGGTGGACGTGAGCTGCAAGATTCTGTTCCGCCACAAAGACCTGAACGGGAAGATGCCCCCGGAGCACAGCCACATGCAGGAGATCCTCAGGCTCACGGATCGCTTCCACAGCGAGCTGGAGCTCAGGATAACCGGGAACAACGGTGAACACCGAGTGGGCGGGGCTGGCCCGGTGGAGGAGCATCCGTGGACCAGCTGGGCCTTGGCACGGTTGGCCCAAGAATTGCCAACGAGGGGCTGGAGTTATAGCACAGCGGGGAGGGTGTTGGCCTGGCACGCAGCCGACCCGGGTTCGATCCCCGGCATCCCATAGGGTCCCCCGAGCACCATCAGGAATGATCCCTGAGTGCAGAGCCGGGAGTCAGCCCTGAGCATCGCCGGGTGGGACCCAAAAGCAGAACAAACAAACAAAAAGACAGACTCGGCCAGAGCAATAGGACAGCGGGGAGGGCATTTGCCTTGCATGCGGCCGACCTGGGTTCGATCCCAACATCCCATATGGTTCCAACATCCCATATGGTCCCCTGAGCACCGCCAGGAGTAATTTCTGAGCGCAGAGCCAGGAGGAACCCCTGAGCATCGCTGGGTGTGACCCAAAGGTAAAGGTAAGGTAAAGGCCCTCCCGTTGATCGTCGATTTGCTCGAGCGGGCCCAGTAACGTCTCCATTGGAGACTTTGTTGTTACTGTGTCTGGCATATCCAATACTCTCGGTAGCTTGCCGGGCTCTCCGAGAGGGGCGGAGGAATCGAACTCGGGTCGGCCATGTTGGCCGCTTGTAAGGCGAACGCCCTACCCGCTGTGCTATCGCTGACCCAAAAAGAAAAAAAAATAGATTTGAGTTTGCTTTTCAGGAATACTTCTAGAAATTCATTTGGGCCTTTTGTGTTTGTTATTTTTTTTTTTTTTTAATCCTCACCTTTTAGGTGTGTCTTGGGTTCTCTCGAGGATGATGAATACTCTGGAATACTGTTCTTTCAAGATCAAGGAATTAGTGGGGGCATCTGAGCTTCTGATTTTGGAATGCGAGGACCTTTACCTGAGGGTCTGTGAGCTGCTGTCTCAGCTGGAGACCTTCTTCACAGTCCTTGGGAGTGTTCCCGAGGTTTCCGGCCAATTTTCTGGAACGTAAGAGCGTCAACCTCGCTTTCCCTTAAAGATATTTTTGCTGCTTTGTGGGGGGATGGGGGGATCAAGGGGTGGTTTGTTTCGATAGCTTTTTTTTTTTGCTTTTTGGGTCAACCCCCGGTGATGCTCAGGGCTGACTCCTGGCTCTGCACTCAGGAATCACTCCTGGCGGTGCTCAGGGGACCCTATGGGATGTCGGGGATCGAACCTGGGTCGGCCGCATGCAAGGCAAATGCTCTCTCTGCTATGCTATCAATCCTGCCCTTTGTTTTGGTTTTTGGGTCACGTACCCATCTCAGCGATGCTCAGGACTGATTCAGGGATCACTCTGGGCAATGCTCGGTGCTAGGGGATGCTGGGAATCGAACCCGGCTCAGCCGTGAGCAAAGCAAGCACCCTCCCCTCTGTCGGATCGCCCTGGCCCCAATTTAAACTTTTTTTTTTTTAGCATGGCTCTGATTGTAATGATTTCCTCACGCCCCGAGCACTCGGGGTCTTGCACCCCTTTTCCCGAGGGCTGGGGGTCATCAGCGTGGGAGACGGAAGTTGAGTCCTCTGCCCTCCTGAGCCCTGAGCACCTCATCTCCAAAACCCTTGCCCTTCCTGCAGGATACTTCAGATCTTCATCTTCAACACGATCCAACAGTGGCTCTTGAAGATGGACACCGAGATCAAAAACGGCAGCAGTGAACTCCAGCACAGAGTGCGTACTCGCCCGAGGGGGGCAGGGTAGGGGCCGCTCCCCTGGGCTGGACGCTTCCCAGCGGTGGCAGTGGGTTTGCGGGGGGGTGGGGGGCAAACGAGGGGACTTACAAGAGACCCTTGCTCCAGATGCCATTCAGCTGTTTTCAGTTTGGGCACTTTTTCTTTTTTTTTGCTTTTTGGGTCACACTGGGCGATGCTCAGGGCTGACCCCTGGCTCATGCACTCAGGAATTACTCCTGGCGGTGCTTGGGGGACCATATGGGATGCTGGGAATCGAACATGTGTCGGCTACATTGGCTGCGTGCAAGGCAAACGCCTTACCCACTGTGCTATCGCTCCAGTGTCTTTTGATGCCCCGCTAATAGTTTCTAAAATAGTGGCCGGGGTGATAGCATAGCAGGGAGGGCATTTGCCTGGCACGCGGCTGACCCAGGTTCGATCCCCGACATCCCATGGGGTCCCCCAAGCACCGCCAGGAGTCATTCCTGAGTGCAGAGCCAGGAATCAGTCCTGAGCATCGCCGGGTATCATCCAAAAAGCCATAAATATATAAATAAAAATACAATAATGATTCACTCATATAAAATAATAGATGAGACTGACACCCAAGGACAGTAGAGACAAGGACCAGGAATATTGCCCTACGGTTGGAAATCTGTCTCATGAGTTGGAGGAGAAGTCAGCTGGGATAGAGAAGGGGTCACTGAGTCAGTGATGGTTGGAGGGGTCGCTCGGGATGGGAGATGGGTGCTGAAAGTAGATCAAGGACCCAATGTGATGGCCTCTCGGTCTCTGCATTGCAAACCATCATGCCCCAGAATAGAGAGAGAGTCTGGGGGAGATTGTCTGCTATGGGGGCAGGGGGAGGGGTGGAAAGGGGGGATACTGGGGACGTTGGTGGTGGGGAATGTGCCCTGGTGGAGGGATGGCTGTTTGATCACCATACGACTGAAACTCAGACATGAAAGCTTTGTAACTGTATCTCACAGTGTAGCACTGTCCTCCCATTGTTCATGATTTGCTCTAGGGGCCCAGTAATGTCTCCATTGTGAGACTTGTTGTTACTGTGTTTGGCATATCGAATACGTCACGGGTAGCTTGCCAGGCTTTGCCGTGCGGGGGAGATACTCTCGGTAGCTTGCTGGGCTCTCTGAGAGGGGCAGAGGAATTGAACCCGGCTCAGCCGGGCCGGCTGAGCGCAAGGCAAACATCCTACTGCTGTGCTATAGCTCCAGCCCATCTCACAGTGATTTAAAAAAAAAAAAAAGAATGGGGCTGGAGCTTGCACGTGGCCAACTCGGGTTCGATCCTCGGCATCCCATAGGGTCCCCTGAGCACCACCAGGAGTAATTTCTGAGTACAGAGTCAGGAGGAATTCCTGAGCATTGCCGGGTGTGACACAAAAAGAAAAAAAAATTGGCTTGGTCACAAACAGACACGGTGTCTGTGACATGGCCTCGTGTGGCTGTGTTGAGAAACAGCCCCTCCCGTCACCCCCCAGACCGAGGAACTGCATCTGAGTATGATTCGGTGGATGATCAACCTGCTCATCGTGATGGTGCCTGACACTGTCGACCAGGACACGGTGCCTGGGACCAAGGAGGGCCCTGAGAAGTGCAGCATGGGCCTGGCCAAGCTAGAGCTGGAGGCCATGGAGCTCACCAAACGGCTGTACCGGTTCTGCACCTACCTGACCAGGTGGCGTCCCCGGCACTCCCTCCTCCTGTGGGTGGGGGTGGGTTGGGCCCTATTCCTGGAGGTGCTCAGGGAGCACTACGAGGCAGCTGCTTTCTCCCCTGTGCAGTCTCTCTGGCACCTCTACTCATTTTTTTTTTTTGTCTCAGATCCTACTGCACTCAGGAATCACTCCTGGCGGTGCTCGGGGGACCCTATGGGATGCCAGGATTGAACTTGGGTCGGCCGCGTGCAAGGCCAACGCCCTCCCCGCTGTGCTATGGCTCCAACACCCTTCCCATTCATATATATATATATATATATATTTTCTTTTTGGGTCACACCCAGCAATGCACAGTGGTTACTCCTGGCTCATGCACTCAGGAATTATTCCTGGCGGTGCTCGGGAGACCATATGGGATGCTGGGAATCGAACCCGGGTCAGCCGCGTGCAAGGCAAACGCCCTCCCCGCTATGCTATCACTCCAGCCCTCCAACTTGTTCATTTTTTACACTAGCTTCATCACTGCCCAGTTGAAGCCCAGGAGTGAACTCAGAGTACAGAGCCAGGAGGATGCCCTGAGCACTGCTGGAGGGGACCCCCAAACAGAACAAAACAAAACAAACTCCCAAACAAAAGTGTCCTGGGGCCGGAGCAGTAGTAGAGTGGGGAGGGCATTTGTCTTGAACACGGCCGACCTGGGTTCGATCCCCGGCATCCCACAGGGTCCCCCGAGCACCGCCAGGAGTGATTCCTGAGAGCAGAGCCGGGAGTCAGCCCTGAGCATCGCTGGGTGGGTCTCGAAACCAAAATATTTTTTTAAAAATTAAAATAGCTGGAGCGATAGCACAGAGGGGAGGGCATTTGCCTTGCACGTGGCCGACCCGGGTTCGATCCCCGGCATCCCACAGGGTCCCCCGAGCACCGCCAGGAGTGATTCCTGAGTGTGGAGCCAGGAGTCAGCCCTGAGCATCGCTGGGTGTGACCCAAAAAGGAAAAAAAAAAGTGTCCTGATATCTGTAGGTTTATTCTTGTTTGTTCAAATATCTTGTTCATTTCCCACAAATAAACAAGAAGTCTAAGTAAGCTTGTTGTCTTGGGTCTGGAGGTCTAAGGGGCTGAGCAGATGGGAGGCATTTGCCTTGCCCAGGGTGGACCCCAGTTCAATCCCCAGCATGGAGGGTCCCCCCGCCCCAAACATCCCCAAGCACTGCCGACTGTGACCTGGAAACCCAGAAAAGGGAAGTACCTTACTAGCTGAGGTAGCAAACATCCCCATAGGTACCTCAAATTTGGGGGTTCGCTTTGACCGTCCGCTGTGGCCCACCTCAGTTGCATTCAGTGTCTCCCACCCCCACCTCAGGTGCATGAGAGGATTCGAGAGCAGGGGGGAAGGAGAGAGTGAGAAATAGACAAAGGACTGTTCTGTAGAGGGGCCGGAAAGAGAGCACAGTGGGTAGGGCGCTTGCCTTGCAAGCTGCCAACCCTGATTCGATCCCCGGCATTGCATAGGGCCCCCTGAGCACCGCCAGGAGTAATTCCTGAGTGCAGAGCCAGGAGGGACCTCGAGCATTGCCAGGTGTGTCCCCCCATCCAAAAAAAAAAAACCTAGCAAATTATGGTCCTCTTTATATATTTATTTTTGGGCTTTTTGGGTCCCATCTGGTGATGCTCAGGGCTTCCTCCTGGCTCTGCGCTCAGGGATCACTCCTGGTGGTGCTCGGGGGACCCTATGGGATGCCGAGGATTGAACCCGGGTTGGCCGTGTGCAAGGCCAACGCCCTCCCTGCTGGACTATCGCTCTGACCCCTGCTTGTGTTATTTATTTATTATTTTATTTATTTAAACGCCCTACCTGCTGACCTATCGCCCAGGTCCCTGGTTCATCACTCTTGATTGATTGATTGATTGATTGATTGCTTTTGGGGTCCCACCCGGCTATGCTCAGGGCTACCTCCCGGCTCTGCACTCAGGAATCACTCCTGGCGGTGCTCGGGGGACCCGATGGGATGCCAGGGATTGAACCCGGGTCGGCCGTGTGCCAAGCCGACTCCCTCCCCGCTGTATTTGGGACTCCAGTCCCAGAGGACAGTGCTTTAGTTTCCTGCCCTGAAACCCGGCGGGACACGCGTCTCCCTTAGGGGGGACTCACGCGGGGCGCATCCTTCACCCCTGCAGCTGCTGCAAAGGCCTGGTGTCGGCTCTTTCTACCAAGGACTCCAGCATACACCACGCCAAGGACCTGGGCCAGCTGACCCTGATGAAGGTCGGGACCCCCTGGCTTCCCCTCCACATTGCCTCTAGATGTCAACTTCCTTTGATGACAATAGACGGTCGCCCCTCCCCCGCCCCCATGCTGGGGGCTGCTCCAGGCTGGCTGTGGGTGTTGGTGGGGAGGGGCTAGGGGGAGCACCCTAGGGTGCCAGGGGGTGACAGCCGCATCTCCTGCGTGCAGAGTCTGGCTCAGTCCTTTGAGCATCTCCCAGACTCATCGTTGCCTTCGTTTCCCTCTTGTTGGAGATGAATTCACGGCGACGTTGCTTTGGCTTTTGCTGAGTACTTGGCTGCTTTCCTGAGCCCTGCCAGGAGTGAGCCCTGAGCACAGAATAAGGAGCCAGCCCTAAGGACAGAGCTGGGAGTAATCCCCGAGCACAGAGCCAGGACTGAGCCCTGAGCACAGAGCCAGGAGTGAACCTTGATCACAAACTCAGGAGTCAGTCCTGAGCACAGAGCCGAGAGTCAGCCCTGAGCACAGAATAAGGAGCCAGCCCTGAGCATAGAGCTGGGAGTGAGCCCTGAGCACAAAGTCAGGAGTAATCCATGAGCACAGAGCCAGGAGTCAGCCTTGAGCACAGAGCTGGGAGTGAGCCCTGAGCACAGAGCCGGGAGTGAGTCCTGAGCACAGAATAAGGAGTCAGTCCTAAGCACAGAGCTGGGAGTAATCCCCAAGAACAGAGTCAGGAGTGAGCCCTGAGCACAGAGCCGGGAGTGAGTCAGGAGCATAGAGCCAGGAGTGAGCCCTGAGCATAGAGCCGGGAGTGAGCCCTGAGCACAGAATAAGGAGTCAGTCCTGAGCATAGAGCTAGGAGTAATCCCCAAGGATAGAGCCAGGAGTGAGCTCTGAGTACAGAGCCAGGAATGATTCCTGAGCACAAAGCCAGGAGTCATCCCTGAGCACAGAGTGGGGAGTCAGCCCTGAGCACAAAGTCAGGAGTAATCTCTGAGCACAGAGCCAGGAGTCAGCCTTGAGCACAGAGCCAGGAGTGAGCCCTGAGCACAAAGTCAGGAGTAATCCCAAGCACAGAGCCAGGAGTGAGCTCTGAGCACAGAGCCGGGAGTCAGCCCTGAGCACATAATAAGGAGTCAGCCCTAAGCCCAAGAGCCAGGAGTGAGTTCTGAGCACAAATCCAGGAGTGAGCTCTGTGCACAGAGCCGGGAGTAATCCCAAGCACAGAGCCAGGAGTGAGCCCTGAGCATAGCGCCAGGTGTGAGTCCTAAGAACAGGGCCAGGAGTGATCCTTGAGCACAGAGCCGGGAGTCAGCCCTGAGCACACAATCAGGAGTCATCCCCGAGCACAAAGCTGAGAGTAATTCTTGAGCACAAATAAGGAGTCATCCCTGAGCACAGAACCGGAGTAATCCCCAAGCATAGAGCCAGAAGTGAGCCCTGAGCATAGAGAGCTGGGAGTGAGCCCTGAGCACAGAGCCGGGAATAATCCCTGAGCATAGAGCCAGGAGTGAGCCCTGAGCACAAAGTCAGGAGTAATTCCTGAGTACAGAGTCGGGAGTCAGCCCTGAGCACAAAGTCAGGAGTAACCTCTGAGCACAGAGCCAGGAGTCAGCCTTGAGCACAGAGCAGGAGTAATCCCAAGCACAGAGCTGGGAGTGAGCCCTGAGCATAGCGCCAGGAGTGAGTCCTAAGAACAGGGCCAGGAGTGATCCTTGAGCACAGAGCTGGGAGTCAGCCCTGAGCACACAATCAGGAGTCATCCCCGAGCACAAAGCTGAGAGTCATCCCTGAGCACAGAGCCGGGAGTCAGCCCTGAGCACAGAGCCGGGAGTCAGCCCTGAGCTCAGAGCCAGCCCCAAGAGCGTGGTTCAGGCACGGGGCTAGGCACGGGGCTCTCCCCCTGGCCGCTGCCCCGCTGCAGTGAGGTGGACAGCCGCGGTGACCCCCGCAGAGAGAATGCTACGAGTGGATTGAGTGCTGTGCCTCCTTGCTGTCCGCGCTCAGGAGCTCCCGCGTGAAACTGCTGAAGTCCACGGAGAAGGTGGTCCTGCTGGAGGAAGAGGTGAGACCCCCGCGAGCTCGGGCCAGAGCGCTGGGACCCCCGGGTCGGTCGCTCTCAGGGAGACCCACCTGCTCGTCCCGGGTCCCCTCCGCCTCTTGTTCCATACATTTGAACTTTCCACTTCTTTGGCCACACCCGGCGGTGCTCAGGGCTGAGTCCTGGCTCTGCACTCAGGAATCACTCCTGGCGGTGCTTGGGGGACCCTAGGGGATGCCGGGGATCGAACCTGGGCCGGTCTCGTGCAAGGCAAACGCCCTCCCCGCTGTGCTGTCGCTGCAGCCCCTTACTAGTCTTTTTCTTCCTTCCTTCCTTCCTTCCTTCCTTCCTTCCTTCCTTCCTTCCTTCCTTCCTTCCTTCCTTCCTTCCTTCCTTCCTTTCTTTCTTATGGGTCTGCAGCCAGCAATGTTCAGGGCTGTCTCCTGGTTCTGCACTCAGGGATCACTCCTGGCAGGGGATGGGGGGCCCTATGGGATGCCGGGGATCAAACCTGGGTCAGCCACGTGTGAGGCAAATGCCCTCCCCGCTGTGCTATCGCTCCAGCCCCAAATGATGCATTTTTGAGCCACTGGCAAATAGACCACAACAATATTTCCACACGCTAAACTTTCATTGTAAACTCTCACCTAGAGTATGGACCAAGAATTCATTGAGCCTCAAATATACAAGCCTGTTATACACTTAGACTTTGAGGAAGAGGAAGAGGAGGAGGAGAAAAGGGTGGCGGAGGAAGAGAAGGAAGAGGAGGAGGAGGAGGAGAAAGAGAAAAAAGAGAAGAAGAAAGAGAAGGAGCAGGAAGAACAGGAGGAAGGAAAGGAGGAATTTGATGACTTTGAGGAGGAGGTAAGTTTTTGGAGTATTTTTTTTTTTTTCACTTGGTGCTCAGCACTGACCCCTGGCTCTGTGCTCGGGGATTACTTCTGATGGGGGCTCAGGAGACCACTTGGGATGCTGGGGATCGAACCAGCCTTGAACACCACCCCTCAGCACTGGCTCTCTGGCTCAGGATTGTTGCTTTGTTGTCCCGTGAGTCCAGTGAGTAGTGGACATAGGGGTCGGTCACCGAGAAGTAACAATTAGGACAGGAAGTGAGTAGCAGACCTAGGCAGAGCTCAGGTAACTCCCGGACAGGAAGTGATGGCAACAGGAAGTTGAGCGTTTGAGAGCAAAAGTATCCCTCCCTGCTCCCAGGCTGGTCTCCACTCACCCCCTCCACCCTCTCCCGCCTCTCCCCTGCAGGGTCCAGGGAGCTGCTGGAGCTCATTCCTGCAGCCCCTGGGAGAATACTGCTGAGTGTTCCAGGGTCTCAGGCGTGCGGCCTGTTAGCTGACCAGTTCCATCCCCGGAAGTGCAGGTGGTTTGCTCTGGGCACCATCAGGAGCTGTGACCTCTGGAGGAGCCAGGAGGAGCCCCTGAGACAAGCCCCTGCCCCTTAAAAGAAAAAAAAAACTCCATAAAATGGAGGTGGAGGGCTGGAGCGGTAGCATAGTAGGGAGGGTGTTTGCCTTGCACACAGCCAACCGGGTTCAATCCCTGGCATCCCATAGGGTCCCCCGAGTACTGCTAGGAGTGATTCCTGACTGCATGAGCCAGGAGTAGGCCCTGTGCATTGCCGGGTGTGACCCCCCAAAAAAAAGACTTATTAATAAAACCCCCCCTTTTTTTTTTGCTTTTTGGGTCACACCTGGCTATGCACAGGGTTTACTCATTACCGTTGGTGGTGCTCAGGGGACCCTACGGGATGCTGGGAATCGAACCGAGGTCAGCTGCATGCAAGGCACACGCCCTACCTGCTGTCCAATTGCTCCAGCCGGCTGGAGCAATAGCACAGCGGGTAGGGTGTGTGCCTTGCATGTGGCCAACCTGGGCGACCTGGGTTCAATTCCTCCGCCCCTCTCAGAGAGCCCGGCAAGCTACCGAGAGTATCTCGCCCGCACGGTAAAGCCTGGCAAGCTCCCCGTGACGTATTCGAGATGCCAAACACAGTAACAACAAGTCTCACCATGGAGACGTTACTGGGCCCACTCGAGCAAATCGATGAACAACGGGAGGACAGTGCTACAGTGCCCACTCTCTGCAAAAATAAAACCTTTTAAAATTAAGCAGGTGGGAAGAATCAGAGAGCTAGCACAGTGGGTAGGGCCTGGCCTGGGTTCAATCCCCCGCACCCCATAGGGTCCCTCAAGTCCCACTAGGATTGAGCCCTGAGCAGAGTCAGGAGTCAGCCTTGAGCACAGCTGGGTGTGGTCCAGACCTCCACCCCCCCTACATAAGCTGTTAGGCAATGCCAGGCCAGATGGGGGGGCTCCCCTTACCCCTGCCCACTCCTCCATCCTGTCTGTTTCTACGCCCTAGGAACCATCCACGTCTGCCCAGAAGGGACCGGTCATTCGATTCGTGGGCAGAGACGACAATGTCCATGTGAAACCTCTGTTCGAAGAGAATGTGTTTACGACCTGGGTACGTATATGGAACTCCGACGTGGAGCTTGGAAGCTCGAGAAAGAAGTGGGGAGAATCAGCCTTGGAGGGGGGCCACCGCCTGGGGCCCACATCCTTGGGGCTTCTCCAAAGGGACCAGGAGCTAGGTGTGACCCCCCCCAAAAAAAAACACAAATAAAAACTCTCCAGGGAGCTAGAGCGATAGCACAGCGGGTAGGGTGTTTGCCTTGCACGCGGCCGACCCAGGTTCGATTCCCAGCATCCCAGAGGGTCCCCTGAGCATTGCCAGGAGTAAATCCTGAGTGAATGAGCCAGGAGGAACCCCTGTGCATTGCTAGGTGTGACCCAAAAAGCAAAAAAAAAAAAGAGCCATGACTGCAGGATGGAGTTGGCTTTGCATGTAAGGAGCCTGATTTTAATTTTTTTCCTTTTTTTTTTCTTTTTGGGTCCCACCCGGTGGTTCTCAGGGGTTCCTCCTGGTTTTGCACTCAGGACTCACTCCTGGCGGTGCTCAAGGGGGACCCTATGGGATGCCGAGGATCGAATCTGGGTCGGCCGTGTGCAAGACCAATGCCCTCCCTGCTGTGCTCTCGCTCCGGGGACCCCCTGTGACATAGAATATTCTAGAAAGTTGCTCCAGACCGTACTGGGAGATCGTGGGCAGGCACAGCCCTGACTTGTGGCATACTGAGTGCCCACATTCCCTTTGTCAGAAAGACTCGGCTCAGCATGGGACCCTGGCCCAGAAGTACCTCGAAGCCATGCACATCATCGAACGTGCGCAGGAGAAACTCATGTAAGTACCCCCCATCACCCTCACATGAGAGCATGTGAAGCTGGAAATGGCCGTGGAAGGCCTGCCTGAGCCCTCCGAGGAGTTGGAGAAAGCAACTGTGTGTGTGTGTGTGTGTGTGTGTGTGTGTGTGTGTGTGTGTGTATTGGATCACATCTGGCGATGCTCAGGGCTGACTCCTGGCTCTGCACTCAGGGATCATTTCTGGCGGTGCTTGGGGACCCTTATGGGATGCCGGGATCGAACCTAGGTTGGCCACTGTCTATAGCACTGTCCTCCCATTGTTCATCGATTTGCTCGAGCGGGCTCCAGTAACGTCTCCATTGTGAGACTTGTTACTGCTTTTGGCATATCGAATACGCCATGGGGAGCTTGCCAGGCTCTGCCGTGCGGGTGGGATACTCTCGGTAGCTTGCCGGGCTCTCCGAAAGGGATGGAGGAAAGAAAAGAAAAAAAGAAAGAAAGAGTTTGGGAGTTGAATTCTTCCAACACGGGTGGCTGTGACGCCTGCCTTCATCTGCCTCCCTTCTTGAGCCCTCCTGGGACCTGCACCCCCCACTGCCTTTCCCCTGGGTGGCAGGGTCCCCTCTCCTCCACCAGACGCTCCCTGAACCGCCCCCTCCCTCCCGCGTGCCCCCTGGCCTCCGCCCACCGCAGGCAGGTGGAAACCCGGGCCAAGCAGGCCGAGGAGAATTTCGAGGAGGTGAACCAGAAGCTTCACTGCACCCTCATGAAGAACCAGGAGCTGGAGCGGGAACTGCAGGTCCACGCCAGGTTGGCGCTGGAGAAGCTGCCGGAGCTGGAGGGAGACGAGGACCCGGTCAAGAAACCCGAGAAGCGCTGAGCACGGAGCAGCAGCAGCGGTGAGCCTCCCCAGGCCTGTCAAGGGCTCGGAGTCAGCTTCAAGTTTCGGGGGTGGGGGGCGCACCGGGGTTTTAGGAAAGATGGAGATCTCCCGTGCAGGTGATGGGGGAAAAAGATCTCCCAAGGGAGGGCTGGAGCAATAGCACAGCGGGGAGGGTGTTGGCCTTGCACGTGGCTGACCCGGGTTCGATCCCCAGCATCCCACAGGGTCCCCTGAGCGCCGCCAGGAGTGATCCCTGAGTGCAGAGCCGGGAGTCAGCCCTGAGCATCGCCGAGTGTGGCCCATAACCCCTGAGCATCAGTAGCCAAAAAAGAAATGAGATAGATCAGGGTCTAAGAGATAGCACAGCGGGGAAGGCGTTGGCCTTGCATGCGGCCAACCCAGGTTCGATCCCCAGCATCCCACAGTCCCCTGAGCACTGCCAGGAGTGATTCCTAAATGCAGTCAGGAGTGAGCCCTGAGCATCGCCGAGTGTGGCCCCTTAAAAATAAAGCCGGGCCAGAGCCATGGTACAGTGGGGGAAGCATTTGCTTGACACACAGTTGACCCGGGTTCGATCCCCGGCATCCCATAGGGTCCCCCAAGCACCGCCAGGAGTGATTCCTGAGTGCAGAGCCAGGAGTCAGCCCTGAGCATCGCCGGGTAGGACCCAAAATTGAAAGGAAGGAAGGAAGGAAGGAAGGAAGGAAGGAAGGAAGGAAGGAAGGAAGGAAGGAAGCTTTTTGGTTGGAGAAACAGCACACAAATTAAGATGTTCAGGCTGGAGCGATAGCACAGTGGAGTGGGGAAGCTGTTTGCCTGGCACGCGGCCGACCCGGGTTCGATCCTCGGCATCCCCTAGGGTCCCCCGAGCACCTCCAGGAGTCAGCCCTGAGCATCACCGGGTAGGACCCAAAATCGGAAGGAAGGAAGGAAGGAAGGAAGGAAGGAAGGAAGGAAGGAAGGAAGGAAGGAAGGAAGGAAGGAAGAGGGGCCGGAGCGCTAGTACAGCAGGAAGGGTGTTTGCCTTGTATGTAGCCGACCTGGATTTGATCCCCGGCATCCCTAATGCTCCCCCAACCTTCCCCGGGAGTGATTCCTGGGCACAGAGCCAGGAGGAATAAGGCCCTTACCGGCCCAACCTCCCTTCCCCTCCGAAGAAAGAAAGAGAGAGAAAAGCCATTTGCATGTACATGGAAATCATCCTTTCAGGAATTCTTTAATTGGGGGAGATTTTATACCCAGCCAAAGAGGCCATTTGCTGCCCAGGTGGTACGGCTGTGCGGTGGGCGGGGGGCGGGGTGGCGGGAGCGGGGGCAATGAGTTTGGTGGGGGTGGGGTCGTGACTCTGCCCCTTGAGGGGCTCTTGGTGTTTTCGGGAGAAAGTTGCTCTCGGGTGCAGGAGCCGGGACCCTGTCCCGGGCTTTGGAACTCTGGCTTCCGAGGCCACATCTCGGCCCCGGGGGGGGGGGGGGCTCAGTGCCCTTGGCCAACGCCACATGGCAGGTCGGCAGCCCTGGCCTTGAGTCACTGTGTATGTGTGCATGTGTGTACATGCATGTGTGTGTGTCTGTGTACATGTGTGTTTGCATGTGTGTGTGCGCACGCGAGCATGTGTGTGCATGTATGTACGTGCATGTGTGTCTGTGTACATGTGTGTTTGCGTGTGTACATGTGTGTGCATGTGTGCATATGTGTGCATGTGTGTGCATGTTTGTGTACATGTGTGTGCATGTGTGTACATGTGTGTGCGTGTGTGTGCGTGTGTGCATGTGTGCGTGTGTGTGAGCATGTGTGTGCCTGTGTGCATGTGTGTGCGTGCATGTGTGTGCATGTTTGTGTACATGTGTGTACATGTGTGTGCATGTGTGTGCGTGTGTGCATGTGTGCGTGTGTGTGAGCATGTGTGTGCCTGTGTGCATGTGTGTGCGTGCATGTGTGTGCATGTTTGTGTACATGTGTGTACATGTGTGTGCATGTGTGTGCGTGTGTGCATGTGTGTGCATGTGTGTGGGAGCATGTGTGCCTGTGTGCATGTGTGTACGTGCATGTGTGTGCATGTTTGTGTACGCGTGTGTACATGTGTGTGCGTGTGTGCATGTGTGTGTGCATGTGTGTGCGAGCATGTGTGTGCCTGTGTGCATGTGTGTACGTGCATGTGTGTATGTCTGTGTACGTGTGTGTGCATGTGTGTACACATTTGCACATGTGTGTGCGTGTGTTTGCATGTGTGTGCACATTTGCACGTGTGTGCGCATGTGTGTGTATACATGTGTGTGTTTGCATGTGTGTGTGCGTGTGTGTGCCTGTCTCCTTTCCTCCCTCTCCCTCTATCCCTCCCCCTCCCACGCCCAGGGCCCGGCACATGGTTGGGCACTGGGCAGGCTGCCCCTAGCGTGGCCCCGGGACTCCCTAGAGCATGGGGGAGTCCTTCTTCTTGGGCCGGGCGGGCCCCGGGGGGCAGGGGAGGCTGGCTTGTGTCCTGCCCCCGGGGGCGGCCGACAGGCAGCTGAGCCAGTCCAGGGGCAGCGGCAGCACCACGGTGGGCGGCTTGTCGGCCGCCAGGGACTGCAGTGCGTGCAGACAGCGCAGCTGGGCGGCCGCCGGCGCCCCCGCCAGGATCTCGGCCGCGCTGCGCAGAGACTCGGAGGCCGCTTTCTCCCCTTCGGCTGCGATCACCTGCGGGAGGACAGCGCCTGCTGGGTCCTTTGGCTGACTCCCGGCTCAGTGCTCAGGGCTGACTCCCAGCTCTGTGCTCAGGGCTGACTCCTGGCTCTGTGCTCAAGGATCACTCATGGGAGGGGGGGTTCAGGGGACTCTAATGGAAGGCCGGGAATCGAACCCAGGTCCAGCCTGCCCACTGCCTGTCACTCTGGTCCCACAGTCATCACTCCTTAAGAGCAAAGTCTCTAGGCACAGTGCTCTGGAGCACCGCCTGTCTGTGCCCAGTCAAGGTGAAGTGGGCAGACCTGGCACAGCCCCCGTCAGGCTGAGGAGGTGCAGGGAAGCTCCTGCCCTGGGTGCGGGCCTGCGGGGACCCAGATGAGGCTCTGCTTTTTTTTATTTTTTATTTTATTTATTTTTTTTGCTTTTTGGGTCACACCCGGCGATGCTCAGGGGTTTCTCCTGGCTCTGCACTCAGGAATTACCCCTGGCGGTGCTCAGGGACCCTAGGGGATGCTGGGAATCGAACCCGGGTGGGCTGCGTGCAAGGCAAACGCTCTCCCCGCTGTGTTATTGCTCTAGCCCTTTTGTTTTTTAGAGAGAGAGAGAGAGAGAGAGAGAGAGAGAGAGAGAGAGATTTTGTGGTGTTTTTTTTTTCTGGATGAGGCTGGAATAATAGTACAGCGGGAAGACATTGGCCTTGAACACAGCCAAGTCAGGTCCGATCCCCGGCATCCCATAGGGTCCCCCAAGCACCGCCAGGAGTGATCCCTGAGTGCAGAGCAAAGAGTCAGCCCTGGGCATCGCTAGGTGTGGCTCTCAAACAGAAAACAAAACAAAATTGACTAAAAAAAATTAAAACAAGGAGCTGGAGTGATGGCACAGCGGGGAAGCCTTGCACACGGCCGACCCGGGTTCAATCCCCGGCATCCCATAGAGTCCCCCGAGCACCGCCAGGAGTGATGCCTGTGTACAGAGCCAGGGGTCAGCCCTGAGCATCGCCGGGTGTGATTGTAACCTCCATCCCCTAAGGAAAGAGAAATGGGGTTTTGGATCCACAAGTTTCTGGGGGAGAAACCGGCCAGCCTTGCAGATGGGGGCGTGGGAGACGGCGGGCACTTGTGCACAGTGACTGGGCTGGTGTCTCCGGAGAGGGAGTCCCCCGGACCCCCTACCTTCCATGGTGCTCCCAAGGGGCCAAGCCGGAGCTCAGCCCTTGGGCTGGAGCACGGAGGAACGGGGACCCGGAAGTCAGCAGACTCGGGAGTTGGGGGGACACCCCAGGCAGTAGTGGCGGGCGGGGGCCTCACTCACCCGCACTTTGGCCTGACGCTGGGCTTCAGCCTCAACGGCCAGTGAGTGCTGGACCCCGGCAGGCAGCCGCACATCCTTACTGGAGGAGAAACAGAGGACAGGGGAGCTGGCCGTGGGGGGCACACACCCGCCTCCCCTGCACCCAGCCAGAGCTCTCAGTGAGGGGCAGTTATCTTTCTTCCCAGTACAGTTTTTTTTTTCTTTTTGGGTCGCACCCAGGGATGCTCATAGCTGACTCCTGGCTCTGCACTCAGGGGTCACTCCTGGTGGTGCTTGGGGGACCCTATGGGATGCTGGGGATCGAACCGGGGTTGGCCACGTGCCAGGCAAACGCCCTCCCCGCTGTGCTATTGCTCCAGGCCCCCGCCCCCGCTCAGGACAAGTTTTACGGGCAGGGGCAAGGAGGATTTTATGCCCACCACCCCCATGTAATAATAACTGCCTCTGAGTCCCAGATGCGTCAGCAGACAATTAAAAACAGCCCTGGACATGCACAGTAGGACAGCCACCTCGGGCTCTGGGGAGCACTGTTCCGAACTTTTTGTTTTATTTGGGGACCACACCCAGCAGTGCACAGGGATTCCTCCTGGCTCTGCACTCAGGAATCACCCCTGGCGGTGCTCAGGGGACTCTATGGGATGCTGGGAATCGAACCCGGGTCGGCCGCGTGCAAGGCAGATGCCCTACCCGCTGTGCTATTGCTTCAGCCCCACTAACCCAGATTTGATCCCTGATTTGACCCGGATATGGTTCCTTGAGCACCGCCAGGAGTGATTCCTGAGTGGTTTAATGCAGATTCCCTGAATCAAGTTTGGGGGGATGCCTATGGGATGCCGGGGATCGAACCCAGGTCACTTGCATGCAAGGCAAACACCCTCCCTACTGTGCTATCGCTCCAGTTCCATGGGAGCAGCTATTGTGAAAGATATTTGCTGCATCTTCCTTTTTTTTTTGGCCACACCCCCTGCTATGTGGTGCTAAGGTCGAACCCGGGGCCTTCTCCGTGCCAAGCACGTGCTCCAGTTCTTTGAGCCATCTCCCCGCCCAACTCGCTGCATCTTTCAAAAATATATGAGTGTGAGATTATTAGAAAATTTTTTTTTCCTCCCCCACTAATTTCTTCACCCTCCCCATCCCCACCCCCCAGGCTAATTTCTGCAAACACGACTCTGGTCCCTGGTCCCCCTCCATGGAAAATCAACTTTTCGGGGCTGGAGTGATAGCACAGCGGGGAGGGCGTTTGCCTTGCACATGACCGACCCGGGTTCAATCCCCAGCATCCCATAGGGTCCCCTGAGCACTGCCAGGAGTGATCCCTGAGTGCAGAGCCAGGAGTCAGCTATGAGCATCGCCTGGTGCGGCCAAAAAAGACACACACACACACACACACACACACACACACACACACACATACACACACCTTGGCCGATCTGGGTTCGATCCCTGGCATCCCATAGGGTCCCCCGAGCACTGCCAGGAGTGATCCCTGAGTGCAGAGCCAGGACTCAGCCCTGAGCATCGCCGGGTGTGACCCCCTCCCCCCAAAAAACTCAGCTTTTCAGAGAAGAGATTTCACCCTCATACTTCCCGCCTGCATCATCATCCATCCTGGGTGCTACCCACATTTCCGTTCTCTCCACTTTGATGCCCCACGTACAGGCCACTGAATCCAGGGCGACCTGTGGAAGGGAAATCAGACGTCAAAGCGGGCAGGAAGCCCCCAATTCGCCTTTTTGCCATTTTAGCCATCAACCTGTTCCTTTTGTGATGCAAGTAAGTGGCTGGCTCTAGCCCAGCCTGGGAGGCCCCTCTCACTGCCCCCCACATCCAGAACACTGCTGTGAACGGCCCCCCCACCCCCCGTGAAGATGCCTTCTATTCAGCAGAGCTGGAAGGATCTGGAAGGCCCCATCCACCCCCACCCAACTGGGACTGGCTGTTCCTTTGCCCTTTCTCTACCTTTCGCCTGTCTTCACACTTTTCCATTCCCGCTTTAAGATTTCAGTTCCCTTGGGAGGAAACGCGCAACCCCCTATCCGCCCCCACCACTCCCTGCCTCAGTTTCCCCACCATGGCGACCTCCCCTGGACCCAGGGTGCTGCTGTGTTTCTGGATCTTGTAGATAATAAAACGTTCTGCTTTCATGTGCTGGTTCTTTCACTTTCCCCCTGCACCGGGGACGGTCCCTGGTCTTTCCAGGAACGCAGTGGGGGAGGGCACTTGCCTGGCATGCGGCTGACCCAGGTTCAATCCCCAGCATCCCATCAGGTCCCCTGAGCACCACCAGGAGTGATTCCTGAGTCCAGAGCCAGGAGGAACCCCTGTGCATTGCCAGGTGGGGCCCAAACAGAATCAATCAATCAATCAATCAATCAAAGAGTGATGAACCAGGGACCTGGGCAATAGCACAGCAGGTAGGGCGTTGGCCTTGCACGCGGCCAACCCAGGTTCGAGCCCTGGCATCCCATAGGGTCCCCCGAGCACCACAAGGAGAGACCCCTGAGTGTGGAGCCAGGAGTCAGCCCTGCTGAGCATCCCAGTGGGACCCAAAAAGCCAAATAATAATAATAATAAAAACAACAACAACAATAATAATAAAGAGGGAAGGGGACTGGAGCAATAGCACAGCAGGGAGGGCGTTGGCCTTGCATGCAACTGACCCCGGTTCAATCCCCCGCATCCCATAGGGTCCCTTGAGCACTGCCAGGAGTCAGCCCTGAGCATCGCTGGGTGGGACTCAAAAAGCAGGAAAAAAAAAGACCGAAAGCATAACGGAGGACCAGTCTCCCACCTCACCCTCACTTCCTGGGCGATGCTCTTCCGCTCCTGCAGGATCTCGGCCAGCGTGCGGTGGGCCAGGAGGCGCTTCATGGTGGTCTGTGCCAACAGTTGCACGGCCCGGGGCACGCGCGCCACACTGCTCAGGAGCACCGACGCGTTCTCCATCCGGTAGTAGCACACGGCGTCCACCTCCATGACCAGCATGTCCTTGGTGACCACCTGGCGGGAGAGCGACACGTGTCCTCTGCAGCGTCCTTTAAAACCTGCCTGGTTGGGGCTGGAGCATTAGCACAGCGGGGAGGGCGTTGGCCTTGCACGAGGCCGACCCGGGTTCGATTCTCAGCATCCCATAGGGTCCCCCGAGCACCGCCTGGAGTGATTCCTGAGTGCAGAGCCAGGAGGAACCCCTGAGCATTGCCAGATGTGACCCAAAAAGCAAAAATAAATAAATAAATAAAAAATAAAATAAAACCCGCCCGAGGCACCTGGACGCCCAAGCATCTTGTGGGGGGTGGGGGAGGGGGGTCTCCCTCCGACGCAGATCAGAGCAGGGAAGAAAAACACGGCAGAAGGCCAGAGAGAGGGGCTGGAGCGATAGCACAGCGGGGAGGGCATTTGCCTTGCACGCGGCCAACCCGGGTTCAATCCCCGGCATCCCATAGGGTCCCCCGAGCACCACCAGGAATGATTCCTGAATGCAGAGCCAGGAGGAACCCTTGAGCATTGCCGGGTATGACCCAAATTTTTTTTAAAAAATTGAAAAAGAGGCCAGAGAGAGTGGACAGCAGAGACAGCTGCTGGCCTGGCCCCGTGGCTGCCCTGGGTTCGATCCCCAGCTGCCAAAAGGTCCCTTGATTCTACCACGAGCACAGAACCAGGAGCAAGCCCTGAACATCACTAGCTGTGCCTCCCAGCCGCTGAAACAAACAAACAAAAAAAGACAAAATAAGAGAAAATTAAGATAGACTGGATGGCAGAGCAGTGGTGCGACTGCTTTGCACGAAGGAGTTCTCTGTTTTATTTCCAACACTGCATGGTCCCATGAGCACCACCGGGGGTGCCTCCCTCAAAAATGAATCATACAGGGGCTGGAGCAATAGGAAAGACAACGGGGAGGGCGTTGGCTTTGCACGCAGCGACCCGGGTTCAATCCCCGGCATCCCTTAGGGTCCCCTGAGCACCGCCAGGAGTGATTCCTGAGTGCAGAGCCAGGAGTCAGCCCTGAGCATCCCCGGGGTGATCCCAAAATAGAATATATAATATATATTTATTATTATTATTATTATTATAGGGCCAGAGAGATAATGGGCTGGAGTGATAGCACAGTGGTAGGGTGTTTGCCTTGCAATCTGCCCACCCAGCCAAGCCGGGTTCGATTCCTCCGCCTCTCTCGGAGAGCCCGACAAGCTACCGAGAGTATCTCGCCTGCACGGCAAAGCTTGGCAAGCTACCCATGACGTATTCAATATGCCAAACACAGTAATAACAAGTCTCACGATGGAGATGTTACTGGGCCCGCTCGAGCAAATCGATGAACAACGGGAGGACCGTGACCGTGACCGTGAGAGAGAGAATATAGTAGGGAAGGGGTTTGCCTTGCATACAGCTATCCAGGTTCGATCTCCGGCATCCCATAGAGTCACCTGAGCACTGCCAGGAGTGATTCCTGAATGCAGAGCCAGGAGTCATCCCTGAGTGTATCCCCCCAAAAAACAAAAAAAACATACAATAGGGCTTGAGGGAAACCTCAGGAGGGGGAGTAGTAACCGTTTCCAGCGGACCCACAGCCAGTGTCACACTCACAGGGACTGTCTCAGAACCTCCCCTGACATGTACAAGGCAAAGTCTGCCTGCCAACTGCACCCAGGAGAAGACCAGAGTCCTGGCCAGGACCACTGCGGGTGAGGGCCCTTTAAGGGGATGTTGAACTAGCCGGCCAGCCCAGACACACATTCTGCGTTACTGGCCAGCGTCCACCAGAGGGCAGACCGGTGCTGGTCATTGGTGCTCATCTGGGAGCCAGGGACCACATTTCCAGGAACGGTTTGAGGATTGGAGTGGTAGGACAGCCAGGAGGGCGCTTTGCACTCGGGTCCGATCCCCAGCATCCCGTAGGGTCCCCCGAGCACCATCAGGAGTAATTCCTGAGTGCAGAGCCAGGAGTCAGCCCCTGAGCATCGCCGGGTGTGGCCAAAACAAAACCCATTTTTTTGTTTGCTCATTGCAATAACCAACCCTGTTTTAACTCCCAGCATCCCATATGGTCCACCGAGACCACCAGGGTACCAGGAGTGATCCCTGAGCACAGAGAGCCAGGAATAAGTCCTGAGCATCTCTGGGTGTGATCCACCACCACTAACCCCCCCAGACACATTTTTTTTTTTAAATAAAAAGTGGAGCACGAAAAGCAAATGAAGCGTCCAGCTAACCTCATGAAAGGGGATCTCCAAGGTCTGCAGACGAAGGTCCACTGTGTGGTAGGTATCCAGGCAAGGCAGGAAGAAGAAGAGGCCTAGAAGGAGCGGTGGGGAGGCGGGGGGGGGGGGGCTGGAGCGATAGCACAGCAGGGAGGGCGTTTGCCTTGCACGCGGCCCGACCTGGGTTCGATTCCCAGCATCCCATAGGGTCCCCCGAGCACTGCCAGGAGTGGATTCCTGAGTGCAGAGCCAGGAGGAACCCCTAGGCATTTCTGGGTGTGACCCAAAAATTTTTAAAAAAATTAAATACGGGACCAGAGCAATAGCACAGCGGGGAGGGCATTTCCCTTGCACACGACCAACCTGGGTTCGATCCCTGGCATCTCATAGGGTCCCCCAAGCACCGCCAGGTGTGATTCCTGAGTGCAGAGCCAGGAGTAACCCCTGTGCATTGCCAGTGTGACCCAAAAAGCAAAATAAAATAAAAGACTCAGATTCCTGGGGCCAGAGCGGGGATGGGGGAGGGGGTGAAGGGGGGATACACAGCGGGGAGGGTGTATACTTGGCATGCAATCAACCCGGATTGGGCTTTTTTTGGGTCGCACCTGGCGATGCACAGGGGTTACTCCTGACTCTGCACTCAGGAATTACCCCTGGCGGTGCTCAGGGAACCATATGGGATGCTGGGACTCGAACCCGGGTTGGCTGCGTGCAAGGCAAACGCCCTCCCCGCTGTGCTATCGCTCCAGCCCCACCAACGCGGATTTGATCCCTGATTTGACCCTGATATGGTTCCTTGAGCACCACCAGGAGTAATTCCTGAGTGCAGAGCCAGGAGTTAGCCCTGAGCATCACAGGGTGCAGTCCCAAAACAAAACAAAAAAGGACTCACAGGTGGTGTAATGCAGATTCCCTGAATCAAGTTTGGGGGGCTGTCTGCTGGTGTCTGGGCTGTAGGAGAGTTGGGATTGGGGTGTTTGAGGGGCTAAGGGGTGGCTGGGGTGCTCCTTACCTGGGCCTTTGGCTCTTCCCGGAAGAAGGTGTCCCAGCCGGAATATAATCACTCTCTCATACTCTTGCACAACCTAAAGAAGAATTTAATACTTTTGAGTCACTTAGAGAAAGAAAACTAAAGGCCTTTGAATCACCTTGGCATAGGATGATTTGAGGTATTCTCTGAGGATCAAGAAAAAAAGAGGGGCTGGAGCGATAGTACAGCGGGGAGGGTGTTTGCCTTGCACATGGTTGACCCGGGTTCGATTCCCAGCATCCCATAGGGTCCCCCGAGCACCTCCAGGAGTGATTCCTGAGTGCAGAGCCAGGAGGAACCTCTGAGCATTGCCGGGTGTGACAGAGAGAGAGAGAGAGAGAGAGAGAGAGAGAGAGAGAGAGAGAGAATTACACTCTGTTCCTGAGCACGGAAGTAGATGTGGTCCCTCAGCACCATGTAACATAGGACAGAGGCCAATTTAGTATCAATCCGTAGCACTGCATATGGTCCCCTGAGCACCACCAGGAGCGAAGAACCCTGAGCCCAGAGCCAGGAACCAGCCCTGGGCACTGCGGGTATGGGCCCCAAAGGAAGCAAATTTGACACAAACTACCCAAATCTACCCAAGATGGCAAATCTGAAAAGAACTAAAAGTCAAAGTTCGGAGTAGAAGTGTACAGATGGACAGAGGGAGACGGACAGATGGACAGTCCATCGGATGGAAGGAGAGATGGACAGTTAGATGGATGGATATACAGATGGACAGTGCATTGGATGGAAGGACATATGGACAGTTGGATGGATGGATAGACAGATGGACAGCCCATCGTATGGAAGGAGAGACAGATGGACAGTTGGAGGAATGGAGAGACAGATGGACAGTAGGAGGGATAGACAGATGGACAGTCCATCAGATGGAAGGAGAGATGAACAGCTGGATGGATGGATAGATGGACATATGGACAGTCAATTGGATGGAAGGATATATGGACAGTTGGATGAATGGATAGACAGGTGGACAGTCAATCAAATGAAGGAGAGATGAACAGCGGGATGAATGGATAGATGGACAGATGGACAGCCCATTGTATGGAAGGAGAGACAGATGGACAGTTGGATGGATGGATAGACAGGGGGACAGTTCATCGGATGGAAGGAGAGATGGACATTTGGATAGGTGAATGGACAGATGGACAGTCCATTGGATGGAAGGAGAGACAGATGGACAGTTGGATGGGTGGATAGACAGATGGAAAGTCCATCAGTAGGAAGGAGAGATGGACGGTTAGATTGATGGACAGACAGATGAAATGGATGAGCAGCTGGATGGATGGATAGACAAATAGATGGACAGACGGATGTCAATGGACAAACCAACATATAATCAAATGGGTGGACAGACAGATGGACAGTTGGATGGAGAGACAGAGGCAGATGGACAAACAGTTGGATGGATAGATGGATGAACGGGCAGACAGACAGGAGAGTGCCCTCACACCTCTCAGCTCTCATAGATGGTGCCTCTTGGCCAATCCCTGAGCTGCAGACTCCCCGCCACCCACGCCTGCCGACCCAAAGGGGGATTTTTTTTTGCTTTTGCTTTGTGGGTCCCACCCGGCGATGCTCAGGGGCTACTCCTGGTTCTGCACTCAGGAATTACTCCTGGCGGTGCTCAGGGGACCCTATGGGATGCTGGGAATCGAACCCGGGTTGGCCGCGTGCAAGGCAAACGCCTTACCTGCTGTGCTATCACTCCAGCCCCCAAAGGGGGATTCTTATCACCCAGCCCAGTGCTGGGGAGGTCAAGTAGAGCAAAGCGCCTGTTCTAGACTGTTCTCTGCGAGCAAGCATCACAGGGGGCTGACGGGGTCTGCACTGCGCATGGATGTCCCAGGGAGTGACAGGAGAGACAGGGAGGGCAGCGGGAGGCAGAAGGCAAGTGAGGGGTGAGGGGGTGGGGGGTGGTATCTGAGTTCTAGTCGAGCCAGATCTTTGAGGTGTTAGAAGGTGGGGGACGTGTGCCCGGTAGGGATGAGGCCACAATCCAACAGTGACAAAATCCCTCCCCCGCTCCCCCCCACACCATCTCACCTTTATGCAGAACCAGATGGAAAAGGGGAAGGTCAGGACAACACAGAGCAGAGACGCCAGGACAAGAAGCCACTCACAGGCCCCTAAACCCGAGGGCTTTGTGCCTGGGGGAGGAAGAGAATAATCCGGTTGATTCTTTCGTTCCCTTCAGTTTGGTTTGGGGGCCAGACCTGGTGGTCCTCAGGAGTTACACTAGTCTCTGCTTCTGTCCTGCTTTGATGGGGGGTACCTGAGCCACCCCTGATGTTTGGGGGACCACGGGGTGCCTGAAATGGAACCTGCCTGGTGCATGCACCCTAACCACTATACTATGTCCCAGTCCCTCGTTTACTGCATTTAGAGGTGAGCCCACGCATTTCATTGCCTTAGTATTCTTTTTAGAAGTTATATGGAAAAAAATAACAATAAAAAACATAACTAGAAGGGAGGCTGAGTGACAGTACAGCAGGGAGGATGCTTGTCTTGTATGCAGCCAAGCAGGGTTCAATACCCATGATCCCATAGGGTCCTCCAAGCACCGCCAGGAGTGATCCCTGAGTGCAGAGCCAGGAGTGACCCCTGAGCATTGCTGGGAGTGCCCTCCAAAGCCAAAAAACAAACAACCCCCCCAAAAATAAACCCCACCCAAACCAAAAGTGTGTGGATGCTTTTAGTTATCTTACTGCATTTAGTTATGGATATATTTAGTCATAGGCATTGGATTACTGAGTTAGTGATCAGAGGCCTGTAGATATATTGGTGCACTGCATTTAAGGGCAGATGTATTAGTGTACTGCGTTGAAGGGCAGATGTATTAGTGTACTGCGTTGAAGGGCAGATGTGCTGGTGCACTGCATTGAAGGGCAGATGTATTAGTGTACTACTGTGTTGAAGGGCAGATGTATTGGTGTACTGTGCTGAAGGGCAGTGGGTGCGGTCAGGTACAGTGGTGAGTGGGTGTATTCAGTGGGTGTCATTGTATTGACGGAGGTGTTGCTATCTGGCATGCAGAGGTGGGTGCAGTTTCATGCCTTTGGATGCCCTTAGTGTATGTTCAGAGGTGCTGAGTGCCTTGATCTGATGGCCCCGTCCCCTATGCGGGTGGACGCGGGAGTCCTGTTACCGATTCCAGCGGCGTGGACGCCACCCGTGGGTGCCAGCGCCTCCGGGGGGCTCCCGGGGGTCGCCTCCTCCTCCCTGCCGCCTGCCCCCAAGGCCCCGCACACCCCACCTTCCTCGGGCCGCTCGCTCTCCAGCAGCGCCGCCTCCTCGGCGCCCTCGTCCGCCGAGCCCCGGACCTCGTCCACGTCCACCACGGTGGCGGCGGCGGCGGCCGCGCGGGGCTCCCGGGGGCTCCCGGCGCGCCTGTGTCCGGCCCCGCGGCGCCCGCGCTCCCCGGGGGCGCGCTCGGCCTTGGCCCTGCGGGGCTCGCGGTGCGGGGACCCCCCGGCCCGGCCCCGGCGCTCCCGCTCCCGGGACGCGCTCCGAGCCCCGCGCTCCATCCCGCAACGCCGCCCGCCGCCCCGCGCCTTAAACGGGGCCGGGACGGGGGCTGGGGACGGGGTGGGGACCTGGGACGGCGCGGGGAGGGGCCCTGGTGATGGGGGCGGGGACCTGGGACGTAGGGGGGGCCCTGGTGATGGGGGAGGGGATCAGGGACCGGGAGGTGGTCCTAGAGATTGGGGAGGGAACCTGGGACAGAGGTGGGGGAGCTGGTGATGGGGGAGGGGACCTGGGACAGGGGGGGCCCCTAGTGATGGGGGAGGGGACCTGGGACAGGGGGGGCCCCTAGTGATGGGGGAGGGGACCTGGGACGTGGGGGGGGGCCCTGGTGATGGGGGAGGGGACCTAGGACAGGGAGCCCCTAGTGATGGAGGAGGGGACCTGGGACGCGGGACCCTAGTGATGGGGGAGGGGATCTGGGACGGGGGGGTGGTCCTAGAGATTGGGGAGGGGACCTGGGACGGGGACCCCTAGTGATGGGGGGAGGGGATCTAGGACGGGGGCCCCTAGTGATGGGGGAGGGGACCTGGGACGGGGGCCCCTAGTGATGGGGGAGGGGACCTGGGACGTGGGGGTGGTCCTAGAGATGGGGGAGGGGACCTGGGACGGGGCCCCTAGTGATGGGGGAGGGGATCTGGGACGGGGGGTGGTCCTAGAGATTGGGGAGGGGACCTGGGACGGGGACCCCTAGTGATGGGGGAGGGGATCTAGGACGGGGGCCCCTAGTGATGGGGGAGGGGACCTGGGACGGGGGCCCCTAGTGATGGGGGAGGGGTCCTGGGACGGGGGGGGGGTCCTAGAGATGTGGAAGGGGACCTGGGACAGAGGTGGGGGAGCTGGTGATGGGGGAGGGGACCTGGGACGGGGGCCCCTAGTGATGGGGGAGGGAACCTGGGACAGGGGCCCCTAGTGATGGGGGAGGGGTCCTGGGACGGGGGGGGTCCTAGAGATGGGGGAGGGGACCTGGGACAGAGGTGGGGGAGCTGGTGATGGGGGAGGGGACCTGGGACGGGGGCCCCTAGTGATGGGGGAGGGGACCTGGGACGGGGGGGGGGGGGGTCATAGAGATGTGGAAGGGGACCTGGGACAGAGGTGGGGGAGCTGGTGATGGGGGAGGGGACCTGGGACGGGGGCCCCTAGTGATGGGGGAGGGGACCTGGGACGGGGGGGGGGGTCCTAGAGATGGGGGAGGGGACCTGGGACAGAGGTGGGGGAGCTGGTGATGGGGGAGGGGACCTGGGACAGGGAGGCCCTAAAGATGGGGGAGGGGACCTGGGAGGGGGGGGACTAGTGATGGGGGAGGGGACCTGGGTGAGGGGGGCCCTGATGATGAGGGCGGGGACCTGGGACTGGAATGGGAGGATGGCGATGAGGCGGAGACCTGGGACTGGGGCCTGGTGATGGAGGCGGGGACCTAGGAGAGGGGCTGGGTCTCAGGGGAACTAATGATGGGGCCCCGGTCTGGGAGGCTTTCTGATGGGGTGCAGGCACCTATGATGGGGTGTAGGGGGTCCGGGCATAACCCCATCTCTCCAGAGGAGCTTGAAACTCTGAATCTATTTTTTCGGACTCCAGGTTTTTTTTTTTTTTTTTGCTTTTTGGGTCACACCCTCCGGTGCTCAGAGGTTCCTCCTGGCTCTGCACTCAGGAATTACCCCTGACGGTGCTCAGGGGACCCTACGGGATGCTGGGAATCGAACCCGGGTCAGCCACGTGCAAGGCAACCACTCTTCCCGCTGTGTTATGGCTCCAGCCCCAACCTCCAGGATTTAAGGGTTTCAGGCAAACTGTCCGGATCGCATCCCGGTCCCCTAATTTTTCTTTTTCAACGTTGATTGAATTCACACGGTACTGCAATCTCTTTCCACTCTTCAAAAAATCTTATTAAAGAATGAAAAATTGACGGCCCCCGTGGGTCTGAAGGGCACCAAGAAGGTGCAAAACAATAAGTGATAAGGTGATGGAAATTAATGTGTTCTTTTTCAATTTTTCATTCCGCGCGAGCCACACGAGGGAGGTCAAACGTTTTCCCTCTCAAGTGTGGAAATGAACGGTTCTGCCCAGCGCAGAAATTGGCACAAATTCTCAGCTACCTTGGGTGCAGAGAGAGAGACAGAAATATCATGATTTGCTTATTGGACCACGCTGAAGAGGTTTCATTAGCGTCCTGTGAAGATTTCCTGGTTTGGGAGCTGATAAATTGTCAGAAAGATGCTCAAAGGGAAAAAAAAAAGTCAAACTCCCGTGACTTCAATTCTATATTCTTAAGGCAAGGTGGTACACACTCATTATACATCTCTCGGGATTCTGAACAGCAGTGACAGTGTCTGAGAAAGTGTCTCACGTTCCACGGGAATGAAGTCAGCATCCCAAGGTTGGCCAGGGGGGTTGGGTGCTGAGTCAGGGCTGTTGGCCAGGCGGGTTGGGTGCTGAATCAGGGCTGGTTTCCTCCTCTCAGAACGGCAGTGTTTTCTCTTGGATTCCTTCTTAATTGAAAGAGCCCGGGCTGTGCTTTGATTGAAAATATTGTAGGGCTCCGTGTTCAAACACCCACCACAACTCCCTGTCCCTCTGTGCCAGTTCAGGGAACTGTGAGGGAAAGACTCATTAAAGTTGTTGACTTTTGAGTGGGTCTTCAAGGTCACAGAAGACGAAGCCCTCAGGAGACGACCCAAGAAATGTTTTTTTTTCTTTTCTTTTTGGGTCACACTCCACGAAGCACAGGGGTTACTCCTGGCTCAGTAACCAGGCTCCTGGCTCCTGACTCCTGTCTCTGCACTCGGGAATTACTCCTAGCGGTGCTTGGGGGACCCTATGGGATGCTGGGGATCGAACCCAGGTCGTCTGTGTGCAAGGCAAATGCCCTACTCACTGTACTATCACTCTGGCCCCCCAAGAAATGTTTTTATACCAACAAGAGGACTTGTCTTGGATTTCTTAGGCAAAAGAAACCATTACATGGGGAGGGGCTGGAGCGATAGCACAGCGGGTAGGGCGTTGACCTTGCACTTGGCCAACCCGGGTCCGATTCCCAGCATCCCATATGGTCCCCTGAGCACCGCCAGGAGTAACTCCTGAGTGCAGAGCCAGGAGTAACCCCTGTGCATCGCCAGGTGTGACCCAAAAAGAAAAAAAAAGAAACCATTACATGGGGACACTGATGGTGAGAAATGTGTACTGATGAAGGGACAGTTGTAGGAACATTGTATGACTATAAAGTCAATGACTGACAACTTTGTAACTGTGTATCTCAAGGAGATATTATTTATTTACTTGGAGGGGGGTCATACCCAGCAATGCTCAGGGTTCCTCCTGACTCTGCACCCAGGAATTACTCCTGGTGGTGCTCGGGGGACCTTATAGGATGCCGGGGATCGAACCCTGGTCAGTTGCTTGCAAGGCAAATGCCCTGCCTGCTAACTATTGCTCCAGCCCCTCACAGTGATTTGATTTTTAAATTTTATTTATTTTTTTTTGCTTTTTTGGTCACACCCAGCGATGCACAGGGGTTCCTCCTGGCTCTGCACTCAGGAATTACCCCTGGCGGTGCCCAGGGGACCATATGGGATGCTGGGAATCGAACCCGGGTCGGCCGCATGCAAGGCAAATGCCCTGCCTGCTGTGCTATCACTCCAGCCCCTTTAATTTTTTTTTAAAAGAAACCATTGCAACCTTTTATACAAGAGTACTCTCATCGACATATATCATTGAAAAAATATTTTTATGTGGGCCACTCCCAGAGGAACTCAGACCTGAGTTGCTGGGGGCATTCCCAGTCATCCCAACGGCCCTCAAATGCCACCAGGGCAACCCCAGGTGGCTGTGAGTGGGGCATAAATACCATATATCTCACCCAGGACCTACTATGTGCCAGGCTTGTGAGCTGCCACTTTACCTATCTTGTGAGGTTTCAAATTTCGCCAAACATTTTTTTGAAAAAAAATTTTTTTCAGGGGGCTCAAGAGGGTAGGGCCCTGCATGCAGCCGACCTGGGTTCAATTCCCAGCATCCCCTGAGCACCGCCAGGAGTGATTTCTGAGTGAAGAGCCAGAAGAAACCCCTGAGCACTGCAGGATATGGTCTAAGAACCCAAACCATAAATAAATGCAATTAGAATATTTCAAAAGACTAAAAACTCATGTTGGCAGTGTGTAAGTGGACTTGGTGAAGGAATTGGTGTTAGAATATTGCATGCCTGAAACCCGATCATGAATAAGTTTGCCATCCACGGCGACAAGATAAAATTTAAGAAAACGATAGTGCCCCCCCCAAAAAAAAGTAGAACACAATGAAAATTCTAAAGACGTCTTGCACACCTATTAGTTAAAAGCAATATTGTAACTGAGTTGGAAATAAGGCCAAGTGAAGGTGGGATACGATGCTTGCCGACCACCAGGCCCTTTCCTGAAGTCCCGCCCCCTAAAGCATGCCCCACCCCCTACCCAATATGCAGTTCCTTTTACGCAGTACGCTCCGCCTCCTTTCCGGCATGCTCCGCCCCTTGCACGCAATGCCCCGTGATACCCCGCCCCCCACAGCATGCCCCTCCCCTTCACGACATGCCCCGCCCACTCACGCCAATGCTCCGCCCCTACCAAACACACACTCCTCTTACACGGCATGCTCCGCCTGCTCACGGAATGTCCCGCCCCTTCATGGCATGCTCCGCCCCAATAGACATGCCCCGCCCATTAACGGCATGCTCCGTCCTTCACGGCATGCTCCGCCCCCTATTCAGCATACCCACCCTTACGAACATGCCACGCTCCGCCCCGCATGCCCCGCCCCTTCCCGCAGGCCCCGCCCTTCCCGGTATGCTCCGCCCCCTGCTCAGCACACCCACCCTTACGTACATGCCCCGCCCCTCCCCACATGTTCCACCCCTCCCCACATGCCCCGCCCTTCCTGCGTGCCACGCCCCTCTTCCGTGCCCCGCCCCTCCCGCAAGCCCTGCCCTTAATGCAAGCCCCGCCCTCCAGGATATGCTCCGCCCCCTATT